CAAACTCTGGCCTAAGGCACAGCAAGTTACTGCTGGTCTTGATACCTCGACTGCGATGTGGCGATCAATAAGTATAGTCATTGGTTAGTGTTGGTTAACAATCATGTTTGAGCCAAATCCATCTCTAGCGCTGCATATCCATTTGTAGTCACAGTCGCCAAAGTATAACAAAGCCAACATTGAGAGGGCCCGTGGTTCTAACGTCTAGAGCTTGACCCAGTCAAGCAAGTAACACTAATTCAGACTTCTGGTACAATAGCAGCTGACTTCACTTTCCGGTCGACGGAATCACGGGCAATCGACTCCGCCGCATCCCTATCGCCCGCCACGGCAGCCTCAATGACAGTGGCCCTGAATTGTTCCCTCTTGGGCCTACATGAGTGGTTAGAAGTCGTCTTGGATACCGAACAGGCGGCTAGGTGTACATACTCGAGATGCTTTGCATCAATGTAACGAAGCACGCACGTCATAATAATGACGAGGACACCGATGGCAATGGCTGACTGCCATGCATACTTGTCTGTTTGAAATGTCAGAGCCATAATCATCCTGTTTTGAGTCTCCTGACTTACAATACGGTGCTTGAGTGGCCGGCCATACCAGAACTTGCGACCAGGCGGAGATGGCATAGTATCCTGCAATGGCGACTCCAACGATGAGAGTCCTCGCCTCGGGGTCGTGGGGCAGAATATCAGCCAGCCATGCAAAGATGAGAGGCGCGGTTCCCATTGCCGTAAAGAGGATGAAGTTGGACGCGTAGGCTGTGGCGAGCGGTGTTGTAGTTGGGTGTGAGGACCAGACGCTCATCGCAATGCAGCATGCAATGCCAATTACAGCTGTACATATTGTCAGACGGGTTCTGTCTTAGTGTGGGGACGTGAAGGGATGCTTACCCTGAACAACGATGAGAGTCCATCTCGTCATGAACAAGTCCGATAAGATTGCCCAGATCCAGACTATAGGTCAAGTCAGCCTTGGCTCTTCTCATAGACTCCAAAGGGTTTCAAACATACCAAACACAACATTGATCGCACTTCCACCGATGGGGATCGCATTTACCTCGGATGTCGACCACCTGGGGGTTCCATCCGGATTCTTCAAGGCTTTCAGGAACAAGCCGAAGTAGTTGTTGCCATACGACAGGAGGACAGTCGCAATATACAGAATGGGTACGAAGTAGATCACCCAACTCTTGAATGCGCGCCTGTTCCTAATTAGCTCTTTGCTACCGGGAGAAATGAATCATCGGGGGTTATCGAACCTGGCAGCGGCCCATGTCATCTTCTTGGGCTCTGCTTTACCATGGCGCTCCAGCCGCTCCATGGCAAGCTCAGCGTGTCCCTTCTTGAACCAGAACGCGCGGGGGTTGGGATTGTTAGGCGTATCGGGAAGAAGGAAGAAACCCGCAGCGCCGACGCACACGGTCATGATGGCATTCACGACGAAAAGCCAGCGCCAACCGGCCATTCCGTGTAGTCCATGCATGGAGCTCCTAATGGCAACCTGCAACGCGCCCGACATCATGGAGCCCACCGCCTGGCACGAATGGTAGAAACCCATGCGTTTGGCCAACTCGGACGGGGTGTACCAGTGCATCAGCAGGGTCATCATGCCAGGCCAGGCACTGCTCTCGCATAGACCGAGCAGGACGCGGAGCGCGTAGACCTGTTGCGCGTTCTTGGCGAGGGCGATCATGCCTGTGATGATGCCCCATAGCACCTCGAGGCCGGAGAGCCAGTAGCTCGGTCGTACGTAGGTCAGGATGATTTGGGAGGGGATAAGCATGATGCAGTAGGCGACGTTGAAGTACGTTGTGAAGCTGAGATGAGCTGTTGAGCTTATGAGGCTTCTTAAGGTTTGTCACTGGGGTCGAACGTACTAGTTGAGTTCATTGCCGTAAAGATTGAGGTCTTCTTTCATGCCTGAGACGTAGGCGTTGCTGATATTCGTCTGGTCGAGGTCTTGATACCAGAGTTAACCAAACCTGCTCCTTGAATTCGAGTTGCTCTGCTACCTACATTTGATGACTAGGAGAGTGAATTAGCTCAAGTCGCATGCATTAAGGATTTCATAGTTATTCACCCTGGGAAATGCAACCGAATGTCATTAAGAAAATATCCAATCTCCTGACAAGCTTCCTCTCCTCTGGCGTCCGCTCATGGCGTGCCGCGAAGGCAAGGCTGCCAAAAATCATGTTGTCAATTGGCTGTCCAAAGATCTCCAACGTCTCTGAATGGGGGACGCCACAGGTAAGAATACTGATGCATGGCGGCAGGCGCAACGTTCTCCCGCCAGGTCTATATAAAGCGCCGATCGTCACTTCTCTCACTGCCCAACGACAACGGGACGCGTTTTCCAGATAAGACAGGGAAGGTTTCCCGGTACACTATTACCCCATGTTTTCTGAAAGCTGTCTATCTCACGGTCTTCACCCCGACCCCGGCTCAAGTTGCAGAAGTTCCGTTATCACCTGATGGGGAGACGTTACAGTGTCGCTGGGACCTGGAGATAGGTTCGGGAAAGAGGGGGAGGGATGCCGGTGCACAAACGCGGGCCGAACTCTCATTGGAGCGGCCTTGGCCGCCCGATGAGCGGCGGGTCCTCCGACGACCGCAGATATCCCGGGGCGGGTAAGCTGATAAGCAGTTTCGCCTCCTGTTCCCTAAATTGCTTCTCTTGACTTCTTCCTTACTGGACTTTGCCGTTTGGCGGCTGGCCAGTGCTCTTGAGAGACCCAAACCTGGCAACGATTTATGAATGTACTCCGTGACATGTGCTCTAATCGGTCTTCGGGGAATCCTTACTCTTGTCACAAAGTAGATCGGACCACCATGATTGTGTCACAAAAGAATACAGCATCTGTGCGTGTCTACTTGCAGCAGCTGATGCATCCAGTTGCCATATTCGGTTTGAGACATGAAGGTGGGTTGAGAAGTTGTGGCCCTATCGGTGCGGGAGCGGAGCGATGTTCGCCGCCAGAGGATCGGAAGGGCCTCCGACTTCGTCCCCACCTGCATGTACCCGATATACCACAGACAACACCTCTCAGATTTGAGCAGAGGCTGAATCATGGCTATCGTCCGGCTTATCTCGCTCAAGTTGATCAACTTTACAGATATCTTCCCCCGGTTTCGCAGAAGCCAGGTTTGGGAAAGAATGTCTACTTACTAAGGTAGCCATTAGCGGAGATTGCCCGCTCATAATGAACTGCTGTTCTTAAGGCGAGCTGTTGCGTACGCGGGAGTTGATGTATGTTCGGCAAGTTCAACAAAACTTGCTTACTCTTGAGAGTCAACTCATGATGACTGGTCTTCCTGTAAACGATCCCTGCATCTCGTTCTGGCAACAGACGACTAGATCATATCCTTACCTCAATCATAACGATGAAGCCTTCGTTCCGGGAACCGCAAAGTATGTTATCATCGGCTCAGGAATTTCGGGCGCATTAGCAGCCTTCAAGTTGGTTGAGGGTGGTGTAACAGGATCAGATATCGTCATACTCGAAGCAAGGGAAGCAGCCAGCGGCGCCAGCTCTCGCAATGCAGGACATATCCGACCGGACGCCTTTCGCGGTTTCACGGTCTACAAGTCATTCCATGGCGAGGAGCAGGCCCTGAAGATCATCGCCAACGAGAGGACCGTGTTCCTTGCAGTCGACGACTTCGTGAAGAAGCACAGCGTTCCCTTCGATTTTGTCCCAACAACCACATTTGACGTTTGCCTGACTCAGGACTTTGCAGACCACAATGCAAAGAGCTTCGAGGCATACCGGAGCGCTGGCGGCGATGTTTCCCACATCAAGTTTTACCCTGCCGAGGAAGCTCAAAAAAAGACCGGCGTACCGCAAGCGCTATGCGCCTACGAATGGCCGGCAGGTTCTGGTCATCCTGCCAAACTGGCCCAATGGCTTCTGACCGAATGTGTTGGCAGAGGCGTACTGTTCCTGACCCATTGCCCGGCAACCTCAGTGACACAATCACCATCTAGTGCAGAGCAGATTCTCTGGGATGTCAAGACACCACGAGGTACAGTGACGGCGCCAACAATCATCCACTGTACGAACGCCTTTGCACCACACTTGCTGCCGCAGCTATCATCCCTCGTCACACCAGAGCGCGCGCAGGCTCATGCTTTCGTACCTCCTGCGGCTCTCACCGGCAGCAAGGTCCTGCAGAGCACCATCTCTCTGCGTAGGGGCTTGCGTTGGTTCTACTCAGTCAATCAACGCCGTTCAGACGGCGTCATCATCCTTGGATCCGCATCAGCCAGCCCCAAAGTCAGTCAGGCGGCGTATGTGGAAAGACAGACAGCCGACGACAGCCAGTTCAGCGCGGAGATTCGCGACGATGCCGTCGCCAACTTCCAAGACTGCCAACCAGCGTGTAGGCCAGAGAACTTGCGTCACGGGGAGGGACTGCAGCACACATGGACGGGTATTATTGGCATGACGCCCGACTTGGTGCCCTTCATCGGGAGAGTTGATGGCTCCCCAGGGCAATGGGTGTGTGCTGGGTTCAATGGTCATGGTGAGTCGTCAATGCCCTTGTGCCAAAATGCACTTTTTCTGACTTGATGGTTCCATAGGTATGGCAAGAATCTTGACGTGTGCGTCGGGCCTTGCAAAGATGATTTTAGGCGGAACATGGCGGGATACCGAGTTGCCAGAGTGTTTTGAGATGACCTCGGAGAGGCTCGAAAGGTTGAGAGAACAACAGCGAAAGCAGTCTTCCAAGATATGAGAGAAGCAGGTCACAAAGAGGAATGGTCCAATTTCGTGATGTTTACCGAAGCTTCAGCGCCAAGGCAGTTTGCGATCGTCGAGGCAGGTTTCAATGGCCTAAAATAGGTTTAGTAGGTAGATGTTCGTGATTGAGGAAGTCGAGGCGGGCACAGCGGAGCCCCATCGGGAAACGCGCACGGACCACCACAGTACCACGAGCGGTGTAACTGCGCATCTGCATGTACAACGGCAGAATACCAGAATTTTGGTTCCTTCCAATCTTTGCGCATCACAGCCCAACCTGACCTCTTCATACTTCTTTTGACTCCCGTCACAGCCTGAAAGTAGTATACTTGGTCTCTCTCTGTTGTAAACGATTAGAAGTGGCACACGATATCCAGCTGTCTCTCAACTAACCCTAGCAAACCTCGACCCAGATTGTAACAGTCGCGATGCCTCCAAGCACCAACATGGTCCCCGAGACACCTCCGGGTAGAGGTATCTCCTCTCGTCTGTTGACGATGAAGTTCATGCAGAGAGCTGCTGCTTCGGATACTGCGCCGGAACCTTCTCCCGAAGAGCCTTCATCCAAGCGGCGCAAGTTCCAGAACTCGCCCCTCTCTGGCGACTTTCACTCCTTCGATCAGACAGCCGTTCAGGCGGCTCTGAAGCAGCAAGAAGCTAAGCGCTTGTCGGCATTAGAGGCGTCTAGAGCAGAGCTTGCGGACACGCACTGGGTTCTTGATGGTGGTTGGGGCAAGTCTACCGAGACAGAGAGTGCGCCGCCCAATATCGTCTATGTAGGATACGCCGACATTGATGTTGCCGACGGAGAGGAGGAAGCCACACCCACAGCTCAGGTCGGGAGAATGAAGATTGAGAGCATCAAAAAGAAGGCTACCAAGGTGATGCCGAACATATCGGTTTTGCAATAACCTAGCTAACTGATGTCAGAATGCCAAGAAGGAGACACCCAAAAAGACGAAGCACGAGTCGAGCGATTCCGATGGCTCTAGCGAATCCGACGACTCCAGTGATGGATCCAGTGACGACGATGAAGCGCCCTCCTCAAGCGATGAAGAGGCTTCGACGAAAACACCTCCGAAAGCCGTGAAAGGCCTCGCGTCTGGCGGCCAGGGGCGCACGAGGGTCAATCTCCAAGCGAAGAAATCAAGCGAGTCTTTGAAGGCCAAGGAATTCCGGGAGAAGCGAATGAAGAAGGAGATCAAACTGAACAAGCTGGCATCTATCTCCGGCGGTGCTACAGGCGGCTTCTCCGGAGCAGGAAAACCGAGCGCGCCCTTCAACTGCCACAACTGCAACAAGCCGGGACACAGGGCTGCCGACTGCCCACAGCGACGAGGAGGCAAACGGAAGTCGTTTGATAGATCACGATGAGCCTCTGTCTTGCGCGCCCTTTCATTTCGAGATACCCCCTATGCCCGGATCGGGCTTGCTTACCGGTTCTTCTATTCTTGCTTTGCGAAATTGGAGCGAGGTTCTTGTCGGCCTTACGACAGGCTCCCGCCTTGTGAGAGATCACGGAGGAAATGGGTTATGGGATTAATTGAAGAATCCTGCTGGACGGATATTCGATCAATGCGACATGTAGATACGTATTGCCTACCACGCCGGTTTACAAAAGCCCGACATGGACCGGCCACCTTAATGGAAAACAAATGACCATCAACTACATCTCTTGTGCTGCCGCGGAAGCCACCTGGCTGAACGACGGTCCGGATGCTAACGAAATAACCCGGTCTGGTGGAGCTACACGTCATAAGCTCTAGGATCAGATCGACTTGAATGAATTTTAAAAGTGTCTCCCGAGGCAGGCACCAGGCTACGTACAGCCAGTTTGCCGCCTGCGCATGTACTGACAAGAAGTCAAGGTTCGTGGAATAGACGCAATCGTTTGCCCGGCTTGGGAAACAATCTGCTTCCCTTCGTCAATCGTCTTCTTGGGGGTGGCAGCCGGGCGAAACATTCACAACTGCCGATGATCAGACTTACAGAAACCCTGTCGACACGTTTTCCCTACATCTCGATGGGGATCTAATGCGTAGGCCGGCCTTTCGATTCCTAGCCTCCTCGGGCACGGGGAAGAAGCCCGCATGTGAAATGTCGATCTTCTGCGTAATCAAAGGCGGCTCGCTCAAAACGGCACCACGGAAACTCTGGGGGTTACGAGCCGGCGCCCCGGGAAACCTGAACTTTGGATAGCGGGGTGACATGCTTTAACTCGCAAAAACCTTCCATCTGTTCTATCTATACGAAATCTCGTGTACTTAGGGATCGTGTTGTCCTCACATAAGCCAGCCTACATCTACTGTACAGGGTACCGCAAAGACAGGTCGGCGGCGACGCAGTCATAGCTGCAACCCTCTTCTTGGTTGTCATTGCCACACCACGGAACCGACGAGCGTCACAGAAGTCAACGCTTAACGCCCCCGGAGCTGTTTGTGTAACATAGCTGTCAAGGAGTAATCGCCTCGCCTCAAAACATGGAGAGCACCGTCACGACCTATGGATAATCACAGCTTGGAAACATACAGCTTCTCATGCTAGGCCGATGCAAAAGATCTTGATCGGCAGATTGGCTCGATGGTCAAGTGGCACTGGAACGGTGGGACACCTTGGTGCAGATTGCACTTTAACTCGCAGTTGACGACCGTTATCATAGCCAGGGCTAGTACTTCGTAGTTCGGTCTCTGTGTGGGTGCCACTTTGGCGGGGATGACGGCGAGGGGAGGCTTTTTCGTTTGACCTGATATCAGGCATTTCGGACTTGATGCAGAACAACGGGACGCAGCCGTTTGCGAGTCAACCACTTCGCCTACGATATCGACCGCGGCTCTTCATGTCTTGAGCTATTAACCTCAATTGGGGGCTGCTCGAGATTACTCAGCTTGTCCATTAACTTTTCTCCTTGGCGAAACGGAGCGCGGGGCGCGATCATCATTACAGATCGAGCGAACGATCGTGTTAGTTCGACGTCTCCGCAACATGACTACTTAGTTCCGAAAGTGTGCAACATCGTCAGACCTGACAAGGGACGGTCATGTCTTCCTATTGAGGATAGCGCGGCCGCATCTTTGCTTGCGAGCTAGGCGAGCGGGCCTCATTATTTTCGCAGCGAAGAGGGGTTAATAAGAGGGAATCAACGTCAGACGTGAGGGGAGGAGTGAAAGGTAACATGGTTCAGCAGCGGTCAGTCATTGACGGGCGGCGGTCTGGAAGATGGACAGGTCACGTCGTGCGTGTTGCGGGTTCAACAAATACTCAAGGTGGGCGCCCGGGAAGACGGAATGACTCGCCGATCCAGAGCGACGGACCAGAAGATCTTCTCGGTGCTCACACACTTGAGTCCCAAGAAACGATAGACGGCTTGGTCGAATCGGTTGCCCTCGGAGTTTCTTCCGGCGGACACCAGTTCGCCCAGCTCGCCTTTTCCTGTCACCCGGAAATATGCAACGAATCGGTTCTGGAATCGGGGGATTTCAAAGTCATTGGCGTCTTTAAGGTTTGATGGCCAGCACAGCTGCGGTATCCGTAGACTCACTCGTGGAAGCGAGGGCGGGGCCATATGGTTACATGGTCTGTTTCTGTTAGCGGACACTGGTCATGGATGGTATGCAGTTTCGACTTCTGTGGATATCTGAGGAGGCTTGCACAGCTTATTTGGATTGTGGCCATACGCGGGCGTTCGCCGTTCCACCCGCGGACCGCTTGCTCGAGGCACCAGGAAGGTTACTGAACCTACACAGTACGGATCTGTACAACTTCTTTCTGACGATCCCACAATAAAAGCCGATATCATCACGGAATGTGGGTTGCGCGATCTATACACCTGCAGAGTTCAAACCCCCTACAGAGGTGCAGAACGGGAGGCTGTGGAACCAGTATGAGATGTCTGTCAAAACTGACTAAAACGTCTACGAAATACAGGTATGCCGAGAAATCCAGTCGGCCATGCATGAGAGCGGCATGGCATCCCGCCAGGCGGATCGAATCCGAATAGCCGCACACGGGTTGGGGCTGCATAGCTAATGCTCACTAATCTGTCTAGGCTTACATGGCACACGTGTGCTGGTGTCCGTTGCTCCAGTCGAGATGTAAGTGATTGTGGGTTGGCATGCCAATAGATCCAGGCGATCGCTTCTCATGTCTGGTTCGAAGCATATGAGCAAGATAGTGCGGCAGGCTAGGTTCGTCCAATGCGAACAGTAGCACACACACACCACCACCACCACGATGCACCACGATGGCTCCATCCATGCACGAAGTTCGTAGGCGTGGCCTCCCACGGCGGGCCCTTGCCTGAAGTGGCCAGTGGAAGTCGACAAGGAATATGTAGTTAGCCTAGGCGGCGCTGACAACAGTATTACACGGTGATGGCTTGAGTATTTCCAGCAGACAGTCCTGGCGATCCAAGTTTGGGGCTTCGGGGGTATGGAACATGGGATCTTGAACCATGACAGTACAGTAGGTTGCCGACAACCCCTCTTTCACATCCAATTTGCATCCTTGATGGAATGGCAAGTTGATCAGCTGAACTGGCTATATCGCGAGTTGCTTACAACCCGTACAGTCTTGCTTATCTCGACGTTACTCAGGCTCTGTTACTTTCGAGTTGACATCACCGTGAGCCAATCGAGTCCGAGCTTTTCAAGAAGTTTAGTAGTGCGGTGGTGACGGCCCTGGGAACCCAAAAACCGCAACCAGATTGCCGGGAAACGCGCAGGACAAGGGGGGTTGTACGTTTTCTCCCCGAACGGCGAAACATTCGCATGTGCACCCCTTTGTCCACCTGTCTCACCAGTTTTTCTTCTTCGGCGATTGACACCCGAAAACTGCAACATCCGACTACGGGCTCAAGGGCTTTCTCACTCTCCCTTGTCACCGCCCTGCCCTTGATCTTGATCATCATCAAACAAACCCAACTGGGGCTGACGGGATCTGACAGGGGGAAGAGAGAACCTCAGAAACATGCACCACGGTACCTTTTGCGAGGCTTTCAAGGAGTGGTCCGTGGCATTCCGTACCCCCAACATCGCCACGTATTCTTGCATTTCAGCATCAACTTTCCCATCCCGCGCGACGGTCGACGTCCGGATGGCACCTTGCTGAAGAAGGGTGGGATCGAGAATAAGAAGGAACAAAATCGACCGCAGGGCGAGAACAGATTGTCAGGGGAAATTACCAGAGACAGCGGGCCAGCCCGAGTTTACCGTCCGCGCCCATTGCTTCTTTCACAGAAGACGCCTTCGACGAACCGTGGTAGAGCGAGAGCAAGATCAGCAGTGACCCCCAATAAGACAATCACAACGAGGCGAACAGCGGTATTTGCACCAGCAACCAGTCAATACCGAGAGGCAGTGCGTGGCATGTTGGAAAGAATAGCCCGAAAACGACCCCTGTACTCCGTGCAACATGGACTTGCCCAATAACCACACCGGTGACCGCGGTGCCGCGGCAGCTCTAAGGCCCCCTTGTCGCCGCCCGTCCCTTTTGTCCCCAGGCCGGTCCGCTCCCGCCGCTCCGCGTTCACATTCCCAGGAAATGTCCTCTAAGGGAATGTCGATATCATTCGTTTTTGATATCTAATCATCCCACCGTCAAAGACCCGCGGCGAAATTGGGATTGCCACGCTTGCTCTACCGTACTTGGGTTAAAGGGGAATAAGACGCGAAACTATTGGAAGCAAGCCACCCGACGGCCGATGCAAGACTTTCCTGCACCCCAAAGACGGCGGCGTTGCTTTTACATCCTGGGGCCCTACCAAGGGGGCTACTGGTACTGGTACTTGCGCAGTTACCAGTAGCTGCACTGGGCTTAGTAGTATCCTACATTCCGGTGGACGGATATGGAGACCCGATGTTTGCTTTCCGAACCCGCGAACCACGACTGGACTGACATGACATGGCCCCCAAGGATTTCTCTCTCCAACCTCTGACATTAAGATGCGGCTCCTATAGCACCAGGTTCCTGGCTCATTGTGTACCATCAATCAGCTGCGCTGGCTATTCTCGCCGAACCACCGTGTGTGCCTCGTTTCAAAGGGACCTGACAAACGCCTCTTTTCCCACGTGGAGCCATAGGCGGCTGGGGTAACCCGGCGACGGAGCCATCGGACCCCAAGAGAAGGGAGGGTGTGATGGGACTGAGGCTTTCACGGCTTCCTACTCAGGAACAGTCCCCCACTGGCCACTTTCAAATTGGCCGTGTTGATCATTTGTCTGAAATGACTCTCGATTTGATGGTCTTTCCCTGCCAAGAGGGCGGATGACGGGGATGTAAGTCAAAGGCCTGACAAGAGGTATGTCACATATATCAGATGTCATACTCCAAAGCCAGCTGAACCTCAGCACATCCCACGCCTGAGTTGTGGAATGCGAGTAGGATATGCAACTAGGCAGGGGCTTTGCGTCGGCCCTGCGTGCGGCAATACCTACGGATATGTTCCCAGGGCAATAGGATGGGCTCAGCACATTCCAGCTTTACAAAGATCCCGCCTTCGTATAGCTTGGATACCTGGACAGTGGTAGACGGAACGGGAACGGCAGTAGGCGGATGTTTCAGAGACGGCAGCCCACACCTTCGGGTCTTCCGCAGTCTCAAGTCTCTCTCGACTGACAGGTCGTCATCAATAGGTGTCATGTCATCAACTTGTTCAGCTGTAACAAAAAATGGGGCCCGGCACGTTTGTTGCAACAGCGCCAACCCATTAGCACAAGCAGCGGCTGCCCGGTTTGTCGCACCTTGTGGCCATGTTCTCGCCGATGCCGTCTTCTCCGGCTCTTGCCATGATCTTGTCCAACTAGATAGAACCCATGGTTCCGTTACTCTGAACCGAAGATCAGATCAATGGGCAAAGGGGAGACGGAGGCGGAGACGAGGCGAGGGGTGATTCGTGAATGACTGTAACCACTGCCGTTGCCGCTGCCGCTGCCGCTGCCGCCATGATACCTCACCCTACCTTGTCCTTACGCAAGCCTACCTGCCTCGCAAGGTAGGTCTGACTGACGACTGCGACCTTCCCAGCAGAGCAGCGCAAGTGTATCCGCAGGTTGGATTGCCCGGACTCAAAGATCAGCAAGCAGTGTGTCCGCTTCCGTCCATGGGCTCTGGAGTCCGTCTGGCCGGTACCTTGGGTCGCAGCGTCGCGGCGTTGCCCTGCGTCCCCACAGGCGGGCACGGACCCTTTCTTTGGTTCTGAATCTGAGATTGCCGGTGGCGGTGGTGATGGTGGTGGTGATGGTGGTGGTGATGGTGGTGTTCGTTCTGCTTGCTGTAAGCTGTGACTGCTGCTGCTGCTGCTTCTGCTGTTGTGACATGTCCATTGAGTTGTTGCCGCTGCCCAGTCGGCATGAGTCGTCGTATTATTTGCTTCAGATGAGTGAGATGTGAGGTGTCGTCTGTAGCAGTAACACCCCGAAAGAGATCTCTCTCCCCCATCTCGCCTCGCTTTCCTCTCCCCCCTCCCTTCCTTGCACCCCTCCACTGGACTGGACCCTCGAAAGTGAGGTAGGCACTAGTCTTGTCGTGTGGTCACTGCCTGGTGACTGGTCCAAGTAGGTACCTCACCACAATTGTCCAAGGCAAGCACGCTGCACACCGGTCAGCGCTGTTGCGGCAAGTAGTACTACGCAAGGTAGGTACTAACAGTGGAGGTTAAGACGGGAGACCTGTGTCATTGGAAGGTGCAACTCGAGCCAAACGATTCCGCTCTTTCCTTCCGATTCCCTGCACCTCCTTCACCTGCACATCCACTGCACCTGCTTCTTTGCTCCCCCGCCTGCATCTGCACTGCACGCACAGCAAGCCAACCCGCCAGCATCTTCCCGGCCGCCCCCAGTCGCGAGTTTCTTGTCCTCTCTCCCACCTTCTGTCCTCTGCGATTGTGACTGACAGCGACTGCTAAGGTACCTTACTCCGTCCCCGTCCCCGGTCCTACGGCCAAGTTCTTGCCTCCATTACCTCTCCAGGGCTGGATTCTATACCTACCTAGGCATATACATAAGGTACCTTAGTTACGCAAGGTATTCTTACATGTACCTCCAAGTCGAGTCCTGAGTCCCGCGTTTTAACACTTTTCATTCACTCGCACTCGCACCAACAAACCAACCGACTTGTATCCATCCGTACCTTACCTTGCCTACATACTCTGCATACCGCCTCTTATTTGCAGGCCCTTTTTTTTTTTCTCCTTCTTAATTCACTTCTTGGGCTTGTTTGCATCTTTTTCTTTTCCGTTAACCCTCTGCCCTATCTCATTCTACTCTCTCTACCTGAGGTGTTCCAACTTCCTCAATTCTCCTGTCCTGGCTGCATCTGCTGCATGTTGCGTCCCGTAGCCTCCAACCTGAGCCCGCGCCAGAGCCTGCGACAAATCCACAACCGCCCGACATCATCCACGTCTACGTCTGCGTCCACGTCCCTGTCCCTCTTTCTCTTACTTCAAAAGTGGCGTTCCTCCCCCACTAACCATACACGCCCTGAGCTTTTGTCTCTTTCAACGTGCCAGGCCATCAGCAGTCGTCTCCCGAACCGTCTTGCTGCTGCCCCGTGCCGTACACTCTGCTCTGAAAAGTCGCCCACCTACACCACCATCTCGTACCGTTCTTATACAACCTCCCGCTCCATCAGCAGCAAATCCACTATCTCATCGCACACAGACCACGGCAAACAGATCGCTGCCATGCCCAACACCGATACCGCTGCCGCCGGGCTTCCGGCTGGCTCCTCTATTCCTCACCGCGAGCCGAGGCAACAATCCGTCGAGCGGGTGACGGATCACCTCGAGACCCCCTCCCTCGACGATCGTACCTACCGTGTCGTGAGATTGTCCAACAAGCTCGAGGCCCTGCTAGTACACGACCCGGAGACGGACAAGGCCAGCGCCGCCCTAGACTGCAATGTCGGAAATTTCAGCGACGAGGAGGAGATGCCAGGAATGGCCCACGCTGTCGAACATGTACGGCCCCCTCTCCTACTACCCTTCCCCCTACGGCCGACCGCTTTTCCGCCCCGGTTCCGTGACGCTGACACTTATATGCGCAGCTGCTGTTCATGGGTACCAAGAAGTTTCCCATAGAAAACGAATACTCACAGTACCTCTCCAACAACTCGGGTAGCTCCAACGCTTACACTGGCGCAACCTCGACCAACTACTTCTTCGACGTCTCCGCAAAGCCTGCCAACGATCAAGAGCCAACAGCCGAGAACCCCTCACCTTTCAAGGGAGCACTCGATCGCTTTGCCCAGTTTTTCATTGAGCCCCTGTTCCTCGAGTCGACCCTCGATCGTGAGCTGCGCGCGGTGGATTCGGAAAACAAGAAGAACCTGCAGAATGATCAATGGCGACTCCACCAGTTGGAGAAGTCTCTTTCCAACCCGAAGCACCCGTTTTGCCACTTCTCAACCGGCAATCTCGAGGTTCTCAAGGAAGACCCAGAGTCCAAGGGTGTCAATGTCCGCGCAAAGTTTATGGAGTTTCACGACAAGCACTACTCGGCAAACCGCATGAAGTTGGTCGTTCTGGGAAGAGAGTCTTTGGATGTTCTCGAGACATGGGTTGCCGAGTTCTTCTCCGGAGTTCCCAACAAGGATCTGGCGCCCAATAGGTGGGAGGCTGAGGTGCCTTTCCGCGAGAGTGAGCTCGGCATGCAAGTCTTTGCCAAGCCTGTCATGGACTCTCGCGAGCTGAACCTCTTCTTCCCATTCCTCGACGAGGAGAAGATGTACGAGTCGCAACCCAGCCGTTATGTGAGCCACCTGATCGGTCACGAGGGCCCTGGTAGTATCATGGCCTACGTCAAGGAAAAGGGCTGGGCCAATGGCTTGAGTGCCGGTGCTTACCCCGTCTGCCCTGGCTCTCCTGGTATTTTCGACTGTCAGATTCGCCTGACAGAGGAGGTAAGTCTTGCAATGCGATACCGCTTTGACACTCCCCCACCTCGAATGCTGACGTACGCCACAGGGCCTCAAAAACTACAAGGAGATTGTCAAGGTCTTCTTCCAATATGTTGCGCTTCTCCAGGAATCGCCACCCCAGGAATGGATTTTTGACGAGCAGAAGGGCATGGCAGATGTCGATTTCAAATTCAAGCAAAAGACCCCGGCGAGCCGATTCACGAGCAAGATCAGCTCTGTCATGCAGAAGCCTCTCCCGCGGGAATGGCTACTCAGCGGATACAGTCGGTTGAGGAAGTTTGATTCCGGGTTGATCGAAAAGGGCTTGGCGTGCTTGAGACCAGACAACTTCCGTATGACTATTGTGTCACAAAAGTTCCCCGGTGACTGGAATCAGAAGGAGAAGTGGTACGGTACCGAATACCGCCACGAGAAGATTCCCGAGGACTTCATGGCCGAGATCAAGAAGGCCGTCTCAAGCCCTGTGTCGGAGAGACTCGCCGAGCTTCACCTTCCTCACAAGAACAACTTCATCCCCACGAAGCTCGAGGTCGAGAAGAAGGAGGTCAAAGAGCCGGCTCTGTCGCCGCGTGTCGTTCGAAGTGACGGCCTAGCTCGGACGTGGTTCAAGAAAGATGACACCTTTTGGGTCCCCAAGGCCAACCTGGTCATCAGCTGCCGGAACCCTAATATTTACTCGACCGCGGAAAATGCTGTCAAGGCAAGATTCTTCACCGATCTGGTCCGCGATGCGTTGGAGGCGTACTCGTACGATGCCGAGCTTGCAGGCCTGCAGTACAGTGTCTCGCTCGACGCCAGAGGTTTATTCCTTGATCTTAGCGGGTACAATGACAAGCTGGCGGTACTCCTGGAGCAGGTTTTGATCACGATCAGGGATCTGAAGATCAGGGACGAGAGATTCGACATTATCAAGGAGCGCCTGAATCGTGGATACAACAACTGGGAGCTTCAGCAACCGTTCAGCCAGGTCTCCGACTACACGACGTGGTTGAACTCCGAGCGCGACTACGTTGTGGAGGAATATCTAGCCGAGCTGCCGAACATTACCGCCGAAGATGTCCGTCAGTTCAAGAAGCAGATGCTCTCGCAGGTTCACATTGAGTCTTATGTGCACGGAAACCTCTACAAGGAGGACGCTCTCAAGCTTACAGACATGATCGAAACCGTCTTGAAGCCCCGCGTTCTCCCGCGACCTCAATGGCCAGTGATTCGCTCCCTGGTCATCCCCCCTGGATCGAACTACGTATACAAAAAGACTCTCAAGGATCCGGCCAACGTCAACCACTGTATTGAAGTTTGGCTCTACGTCGGTGACAAGGGCGATAGAATGGTACGAGCCAAGACGATGCTCCTAGATCAGATGGCTCACGAGCCAGCCTTTGACCAACTGCGAACCAAGGAGCAGCTCGGTTATGTCGTCTTTAGTGGAGTCAGAAGCTTCTCCACCACTTACGGCTTCAGGTTTATCATTCAAAGTGAACGGACACCCGAGTACCTTGAATCGAGAATCGAGGCATTCCTCAACCTGTTCTCTAACACGTTGGACAACATGTCTGAGGCAGACTTTGAGGGTCACAAGCGCAGTCTGATTGTCCGGAGGCTCGAGAAGTTGAAAAATCTGGACCAGGAGAGCAGCAGGCACTGGGCCCAGATTGCCAGCGAATACTACGACTTTGAGCTCCGTAAGTTGTCAGACATGTTTGTAGGGAAAACAAATTACTAACGTCCAATAACAGCTCAAGAAGACGCTGCGCACATCAAGACGCTCACCAAGACCGATATGTTGGACTTCTTCCAGACGTACATTAAGCCCGGCTCTGCAACGCGGGCGAAGCTCTCGGTGCACTTGCGCGCACAGGCTACGGCACCGGCCAAGGAGGGCGCCGAGGCCAAGGTTAACGGCGTCAGCAAAGAAGAAGAGTCTCTGCCGACAAGTGATTCTCAGCCGGTCGTTATCGAAGACGTTCGCAGTTTCCGAGCCAGCCTTGTTGCGACTAGCGGAGCGCGGCCTGCCAAGGATTTGACCGAGTACGAAGACACTGATGCCAAGTTATGAGGAGAGAAATGTGGTAGGAGGTTGTTCAAGATATTCACGCACACATGGTCACACACACACACAGGCGGCGTTGAGACTTTCGGGAGTGTTTTTTAAAGACGCATTTTCTAGAGAGACAACCGACTCAGTGTCACTGCGTTGTCTTCAGTCAATCAAGAGTTGGGAGAGACATAGCCGTCGGAATCGGACCCGGGGTGTACAGGCATTCATGTATAGGAATATAGGGAGCATGCCGTTATGAGGCTTCACGACATAGGATAGAACCCTAATAACTCCAAGGCCCCTAGTTCCGTTTGTCCACATTGGCAGACGGAAAAGAAGACTACCTCGTTCCATTGGTAGCCGAGGTTGCCTTTGGGACAGAGCAGTCGAATAGAGAAAAAGCTCTTGCATGTTATACCTCTCCTACATAGAAGTTTGACGAGATGTGATGGATACCCCGGATACCAACTACCGAGGATCCCCTGCTTGATGGAGCAGTCCGCACGAGTCAGCCCGAGTGTCCGGGCGGTCATATCTAGCCGGGTAAGTTGAAAGTGAGACTGTCAAGGGCATGACGATACCTTTCGCATGACAGTATCTATATTCATTATGGGCAGTATACCAATTGTCGAGTTCCGGTCTACCTTGAGTAGAGGACGCCTTTTCCGAGAAGAAGACATTTCCATCTTCTCTGCTCATCATGGACAAGCTGACGTCAGGCGGGACGGAGATGCGAGTGCAGTGGGGCCGTGAGGGCGCTTGGACATCAGGTCTGGATGGATGGCACTGATTTTTTTTTTCTTTCTTCACGAAAAGATGTACCTCAGTCGATACCAGTCTTTCCTTCCTTGTTACCGTTTTTCGGGAAGTTGAATGTGGGGATGGCGCCTGAAGTGCAGGAAGGGAAGGAGCACAAGATCTGGATCTGAGAAACACCTGATTTTTTTTTTCTCGCTCTTCCTTCCCCTCCTCCCCTCCTTGCTGAGCCCCTCTTTCCCTATTGCAGAATAGGTGCCTTCCCTGTAAATCTCTTGACCGTCTCTTTTCTTTTCTTTTTGGCAAGTGTTGAACGTTTCCTCGCGGTGGGGAGTCGAGAAAAAAATTTGTAAGATTTCCCCGGTCCCATTTTGGACGAATTCGAGTTGGTGTGAGTGATTCTGCTCTTTTATCCTTTTCCTAGTATTATTACCTATGAATATCTGAGTAGACAGGTCATCTCATTTGGCCTTGGTTAGGGCAAACAAACCCAATACTAGGTGGTGGAGGGAATTGAAGTGTTATTATCCTAGGTGTATTCCATGACTGTGCTATTAGAGCATCTATTCAGACGAAGGGAAGGAACGTGAACAAGTCATGACATGCGTCACTTCCAGGTTGTTCTCAGGAAGGAGCCTGCCTCTAAGCCGCCGTCAGTCGCCTTGGGTGCTTGGCAAGTCATTCATCCAATCGTCAGGTCAGCACGGGCCAGGCCAGGCCACCCACCACCCCCGATCCCAGACCAATATAGAAAACAGAGAAAAAGAGAGGGAGGGGGGGACTGAGATGCTTTGGGGTGTGGAATTGGTCTAAAAACTCGGGCGTCGAGTCTCTGTACCGCACTGACTAAAATTCAAATAGAAAGACCGCATCCAGAATTAGTTGCCTTTGCTGCATTGGATTGACGAGTCCCCCAAAGGGCGATGAAGTTCCTTCCAAGTAGCAGGGCAGCAATAGCATTACCTACTTGCTTTGTATCTGCAAGGTACAGTACGCAGTAAAAGGTGAGGTGCCGTGCAAAGTCGTGACAAGCAGATATTGTGACCTGACTTGAGTGAGACCTTGACCTTTCAACCCACACACCTCTCTCGGTTCAATCCGTTTAGTCTCTCTTACCACTCTCCCTCGCTCTTTCCCATCTCTCTAGCATAAGGTAGGTAAGGCAGGCCACAAAGTAGACACGCAAGGCACTGGACTGGGGGCATCTCTAATCTGCCCCAACTCAAACACACCCACATCCGTTCACCCTCCCGTCACCGTCACCTGCTCACGTCCCTTTCACACACCTCACACCGGGACACCGACGTCCTGGACAAGAGCACGGCGCATTTACAGCACAGCACAGCAAAACACTGCACACCTCAGCCTTTGCCGACCAGTTGCAATTGGATTGCTGTTGTCCTCACCTTACCTTACCTTACCTTACCCTACCCTCTTTCACTGTCTGCATCTCTTTCCATCAGACCCTCCCACTTTCTACTCTCCACCCCACAGCCCACCCCCAAAGTGCAGTCGTCTGTCTGGAGGTCCTCAGCTGTAATTAATTCTCTCTCCCTCCCCCCGACAGGACCTGCCACTGCACTTGCACTTGCACCAGCACCTGCACACCCCCATCGGCTTTGCGGCTTGCCCTACCTCACAGAATTATAGTGAGGTACCGTCGACTCTTCCCCACGAGGTCCAGTGCTGCTGACCTCGAATCAAGTCGAGCCGGATCCTCTTTGTGAACCCGAATCTGGACCTGGATTTGGCTGCACCACACATGCAATACGCCCTCTCCCACCCTCTGTCACCGCACCTAAATTTCCCCCGCTGCCATCCCGGAGCTGCACAGGCAGCTCACCTTCACCACGTCTTCCTCAAAGAAGAGAAAGATCTCTCGCAACCAGACGCGTACCGACGACACATCTAGTCCATCGTCTCCCGATACCGTCCTGCCGTCGTGCGAGCCAAACGACGATCCCGCCTTCTCCTTCTCTGCCGCCCACTCTACCGACGGACTGTCGACTCCTACATACCTTCGAGGCGACTCATACCCAGCATCAAGTCTACCTGCGCGCCTGCAAACTGGCTCCCTGGTCACTGCCGAGTACGCTTCGAGCACAGCAGCCTCATCACCCTGTGGTGTTGCCGACCTGTCCATTGACAGCGACCGAGGAGGCGATCTTTCTGGCACAGAGACTGGCACTGCGCTGACGTCCCATTCAGCCAGAAGCCGGTCTCCCTTCAACGTCTCCCGCCGCGCCATCATGACCAGTGATGCCAACCCTCACCAGCGTTCCTCCTCTCCCTTGAAACGAAGAGCCTCCAGTATGGATCCCGACGCTGATGTCAGTATGAAGGAGGAGGATGTCGAGATGGCCTCCACCAACCAGCAGCAGCAGCAGCAGCAGCAACAGTCAGCCGAGGATGCCGAGTCAGCCCCGACTTCCTCCAACACTCACTTGCCCAGGGCCATGAGTGTCGACCTGCCCGACAATGTTGCAAAAGGAGCATTGAGCAAATCCAATGACAAGGGTACGAGTATCTAGGGTTGTGAGACTAAATAAAAGGCTTTTTCGCTGACCAAGGGGTTTCCGGTAGATCTCCCCCCTCTCGAAGATCAAATCAAGACCATTCAGACCCTTCTCAAGGCCTTCAACGACGAACCCCCGAAAGTTGGCGATGTCGCATACGTTGTGTCGAGATCATGGGTGGAAAAGGCTTTGGCGCTTGGCGGCGACCCCAAGTTTGCCAAGAAAGAGACGACAAATGAACCGCTAGGCCCTGTGGACAATTCAGACCTTATTCTCGAGGTCCTGTCCCAGCCCGGCGGTGACGACTTTGTCCGGATGAAGCCTGGTACTGGCATGGAGGAGTGCGAGCTCTTCCCGGAAGACGCCTGGACGCTCGTCTCGGAGTGGTATGGAGTCGGCGAGGGACAGAAGCCGATTGTGCGCAGTGCTATCAACGCGGCGCCGGACTCGACGAGCGACAAGAACGTCATGTTTGAGCTGAACCCGCCCGTCTTCACAATCCACAGACTCTGGTCCCTGTCGAGCCCTATCAAGATTAAGGACGAGCTCAAGAGCAAGGAGCCCCTCGTCCTAGCCCGGAGTGCCACCACACCCTACAACCCGTTCTATAAGGAGCTGAAGGAGCTCACCGGGGCATCTCTAGATCGTAAGATGCGGGTATGGCAGCTTACTCAACAACCCGAGGCGCAGGAGGCGTCGCCCAGGTCCGCCCTCACACCGCCTGATTCTCCAAACCCGGACAAGGACGGCGAGAGCTCGTCGGGTCCCTGGCAGCGCATGCTCGTGGAGGTACAAAACTTCACCAAGGTCAATGGCGGAGACCGACAGGTAGTGCCTGCGGTGGACAACACTACCAACCCCAACTACAATGGCAACTCACCCCTCTCGGTCTACGGACTGATGCAGGACATGACTCTCGTCATTGACGAAGAGATTGCGAAGAACTCATGGGTCTCAAACTACTTCAAGGGGGGCAAGAACGACAAGGTTCTGGCATCTAGAGGTTCTGCCACGAGCCTGAAGGCCAACAGCAGCGGAGGAAGCAGCCCTGCTCCTCAAGGGCCCGTCACTCGAGGCCGAACTCAGCAGAAGAAGAAGCCTGGCCGGGGTCTAGGCGCCGTAGGCCTTCAGAATCTTGGAAACACCTGTTACATGAACTCAGCCCTGCAGTGCGTCCGCAGCGTAGAGGAATTGACAAAGTACTTCTTGACGGACAAGTACAAGGAGGAACTCAATAAGGGCAACCCTCTTGGTTACAAAGGACAGGTAGCCATGGCTTATGGTGGGCTTCTCAAGGAGATTTACAACGAGTCGAGAGGTGCAGTCAGCCCTCGCGACTTCAAGAATACGGTCGGTCGTGCTCGCGCTACTTTCCAGGGCTGGGGCCAACAAGATACCCAAGAATTCCTTGGTTTCCTCCTCGACGCCTTGCAAGAGGATCTCAGTCGTATTCACAAGAAGCCTTATATTGAGAAGCCAGACTCGACGGACGACATGATTGGTGACGAGGAAGCCATTCGCAAGATGGCTGAGGAGGTGTGGGACATCACTCGGAAGCGCGACGACTCTGTCATCGCAGACCTCTTCACTGGTTTGTACAAGTCAACTCTCAAGTGCCCGACGTGCGACAAGATCAGCATCACTTTCGACCCTTTCAACAACCTGACTTTGCCGCTGCCTATGGAGGACATGTGGAGCCGGCCTGTCAAGTTTTATCCGCTCAACGATGTGCCTGTCAAGTTTGAGGTCGAGCTGCCAAAGCACAGCGCCATTGAGTTATTGAAGAAGGCGCTTTCGGACAAGACTGGTGTGCCTGTGGAGTTATTGATGGGAGCAGAGGAGTTCAAGGGCAAGTTCTTCAAGGTCTACTCCGACGCCACCTCAGTATCGGAGGAGATCCAGCCCAACGATATCCCTGCTTTCCATGAGCTGGAATCGTCGCCGACCAACTACCCTCCTAAGCAGAAGAAGATGGGTACGCCCAGCTCGATGCTAGAAATCAGCGATGAGCCATGGGTTGACCCTCGTACTGAGCGTATGCTGGTCCCTGTTCTTCACCGCAAAAAGACGGGCAATACTTACCGATTGCGGGGAGACGACATTGCATCGCCCCCTCACTTCATTGTTGTCACGCCCGAGGAGGTAAGCTTGACGCGCTAGCTTTTTGTGACACTCGTGTGATACTAATAGCATCATAGTCCCGCAGTGAGGATGCCATTCGTCGCAAGGTTCTAGAAAAGGTCGCAACTTTCTCTACCTGGTCCGATTTCGAGGAAACCGACGAGAGCACAGATGCAGACATGGTCATCACATCCCAGTCAGACGCCGATTCGTCAGGTGACAGTAAGGTTGTCTCCAACTCGGTAGAAGGCGAGGATGACTTGGTCAACGTTTCTGTCGGCGCAGGCGAGCAACAGCAGACCCGGCGACCTGCCCTGAAGCAATTCAACGTCCGCCGTCCCAAGTGGGCGGATACCAAGGAGTACCTTCCACCTCATCTCCAGAACCTGTTCGAACTTAGCTTCTTCGGCGAGAGTACTGACTATGGGTTGCCCGTGGGCTGGAATACGGTGGACGAAAACAAGAGTTTCCGTCTTCTATCTTCTCGCGCCCCGGAACCTCCCAACGAAGACTCGAACAGCCCTGGCTCTACGAACGGTGCAGATAGTGAGCACGAGAGTGTCAGCGAAGAGACTACCCCGCAGTCTGTTGAGGAGCAGACCCGCATGGCAGAGGAGTCGGAAGAGGACGAGCCCGTTCGCGTGATCAAGGTATGTATTCACCATTCAAGCGGCAGCATGACAGGCGGCCGAAGCTAACGTTGCACAGCCTATGAACCGAGGAAGAGGCAATCACAAGGTTGGCGGAGCTCGCCGAAAGAACAATAAGGGCAACAAGACCTATGGAAAGAAGGGCGGCAAGCGCCGCGACAGAGAGAACCGAAACAGCAAAGCGCAGCCATTCCACGTGATTGACGTTGAGCCTCAGCCGTCACCTGAGGACGACGTCCGCGGTGGTCCGCTTGTCCGTCTGGACGAGGGCATAGTCGTCGATTGGTCCGAAGAAACTTGGGACTTGGTCTTTGGCAAGGAGTCGTTGCGCGACACCGACGACAACCGCGGCTCAAAGACTTTCACCGACCCGGAGGAGCTCAAGGACCCTATCTTGGAACAGAAGCGTAAGTCACGGATGGCTAGGAAGAAGCAGGGCATCACCCTTGAGGAGTGCTTGGATGAGTTCGAGAAGGCCGAAGTCTTGTCTGAGCAGGACATGTGGTACTGTCCGCGCTGCAAGGAGCATCGACGTGCTAGCAAAAAGTTCGATCTCTGGAAGACGCCAGACATCCTCGTTGTTCACCTGAAGCGATTCAGCAGTGCTGGCTGGCGCCGCGACAAGCTTGACGTTTTGGTCGACTTCCCCATCGAGGGTCTCGACCTTCACAAGCGCGTTCTTTGCCAGGAGACGGGCAAGGAAGAGATCTACGATCTCATCGCGGTTGACGATCACTTTGGTGGTCTCGGCGGTGGCCACTACACTGCTTACGGACGAAACTTTGTTGACGGCCAGTGGTACAACTACAATGGTAGGTCAACTCTTGCAGAATATCACTTCTTGTACTCACCATTTCCCAGATACCTCAGCCAGCAAGACTTCGCCCGAGAGTGTCGTTACTAGAGCGGCCTACCTGCTCTTCTACCGGCGTCGGTCCGAGGGCCCATTGGGCGGCCCTCGCTTCAAGGAGATCTTCGACAAGTTCGACAAGGATGGAGAAGATGACGATGAAGAGGATACCGATTCGGGGGAAGATCAACGTCTCGTCGGGGGCTCCTCCCTAACTGGATCGTCGAGACTTGGGACCGGAGCCGAAGCAACTCACCCGCGCGGAAATCGTGGTTTGGCTAGTAACACAATGTCCACGGCCAACGCGGGTGCAGATGATGAATTGCCACCTTATGAGGGTAGCTCCAGCACCAATGTTGGTAGCGACAACATCCAAAATAGCATTGAGGATGAGGGCATCGGCATGACGGACTACAACGGAGAATCGACTGCGTTCTCAGCTACGCAAGGCTGGAACTGGAATTCCTTGGACTCCGCTGAGGGAACCAACAACTCTCTTGGTCTGGACGGCTACGGCAGCGACGACGCACAACCAGACTCTTCAGACGAGCGCGACGTTGGCAATGACACTGATATGCAGTTCGATGAGACCATGGGAGATTACGAGACCGCCAATGACGAGGCGCCTCCGCCGCCTGACTTTGGCGCTCAGGTTGGCCTGTCAGAGATTCAGACTGCCGCCTGGGCCCGTCAGAACAATGCCGAGGTCATTTCTGTGCCAGCTGCTGATGACGATGCCGCTTCCAATGAGGCAGCCGAGATCCACCTTGACGATGACGCGGAGCCGCACGGGCAGACTTCTCGGACACACTAGTTCCTGCCGACGGATCTGCTAGATGATGGCGACGTATTGTGATTTCGAGGAGAGAATTGGTACCCGCTTCGGTGCCCCAGAGGGAATGAAGAGACGCCTAAACGTATACCAAGACGCGAGCACAGCAAATGTGATCATGGGTCATGAACAAGAACCAGGGGGTTGGTTCATGGAGCGAAGGAGGAATTACACAAAACAAAAGCAGAAAGGATACAATGAGGCGTAAATAGAGATAGAGTCCCCCTCATGCCCTGGCATATACAAGGCTAGTCTTTCATAGCCTCGTTGGTTTTTATTGGAGTATCGGTTGCATGACGGCACGTGTGTATGACTTTTGATTATTACGTTACGCTATAGGAGGATATGGCAAACTCGTAAGAAAGGTGCTGTGTGCCTCGTATGTGAAAAATGTGCTCTTGGGAATAATGCTTTGGAGTGGTAGCCGACTGACAGACTTGGTGTACTAAAGTCTACATTCTAGGGTACCTGGTGAGAGCGGATTTACAAAACACTGCCGTGACTGCCCAGTACCACATTCCGCCAGGTCCGTGCCCCATGGGTGGGTCTGCAACTCGGTCGACGGGGCATCAATTCTTCCCGACGAATAACAGCAGGTGTAATCAATTGCTTCAGTGAACACCAAGCTATCCCCAGAAACCCGAGTGTCGAAGCCGCCCAGGACCGGAATCGAATTGACGACCGCCCCCCCCCCCCCCCCCCCCTCCGATCCCCGAATCAATCCCCCACCACTCAATTGAGCCAGCACAACCATGTGGTCGGCATCCAGACGAGCAACGACGAGCGCCCTGTCGCGGCAGCTCCGCGTCGGCGCCTCGAGACCCTTTACCGTGTCGGCGACGGTCCGCACGACCGAGAGACCCGCCGTCGTCGAGAAGAACGAGGCCGCAACGCCCCAGGTGACCGATAACACCGTCCCCGAGACGGCTGGGCAGGCGCCGAACAGGTCGCTTGTCTGGTCGCGTAGCCAGAAGGCTCGCGCTGAAGCCATGACTGGGCCGCGGTTTGAGCAGACTGATTTCTCCCTTCAGGTGAGTTGGCGACCCGGGAAAAGGAATGAGAGATTATAGAAAGAACGAAGGAGAGGCAGAAGGAGAGGGAGAGGGAGAGAGAAAAAAGACTATGGAAAGCTTGGTGCGATTGAAAAGAATTGGGTGACTGACGTTTTGCCGACGACAATTATAGCCACAACCTCACTCCGCGATGGAGCTCGTGCACAAGGAGCCCGTCCGGTGGACTCACGCCCGCGTCGTGGCGTGCGACGGCGGCGGCGGACCTTCGGGCCACCCTAGAATCTTTATCAACACTGATAAGCCCGAGATCTCGAGCTGCAACTACTGCGGTCTTCCTTTTGTATGTATATCCCACACGTCCCTACTATCTGTATATCGCAATGGGTCGAGTAATGGAGAGGAAGCTAATCGGTGAAATACTCAGGCCAACGAGCACCACCGCAAGCACCTCGAATCGCTCCCCGAGACGTCGTACCCCCTCGCATAGAAAGAGAGACAATTTCCAGCCGTGGACAGTGGACTGTAGACGGGGGGCAGCAGCAGAAGGTGCAGCAAGCATCAAGGACAGGCTGATTGAAAAGAGTGCGTCCAGGCTTTTGGTGCGCTGTGTGACGTGGGCTGAGCTGCGGATGTGTAAATATAGCAGGATCAGAGTTGCTTCGGGTCAAACCAATTTCACAATTATTTTTTCAAGACAAGCAAGAAGTTTGCAAACATTGGGTTTATGATGCGTAAAGACAAACGTCGTCGTCAATGTGCTTGGAGCACCGATTATCAGAATAGCATGACCTCTTGCAGGGCTGCTGCTTGATGCATACTCCCCAGCATTTGCAAGAAGGAAGTTAATGATATGGCATCACGGGTTAAACTCAAAACCCATGACCTTTTAGTATTGCACGGGAATTGATTTGGAAGACATAAGAAAAAGGTTGCATGAGGTCGATGAGATACAATTGACATTCGTTATCGTGCACTGCAGGAAGTGAGTGGTTGGTGGCTTGGATTTATTTCACCATGATCTACAACACCAGTTTCCGTAGGCAAGTATAAGTCCAGGAGATGAAAGACAATGACTACAAACGACAGGAAATTGTTGTCAATGAATTCAATAATGGCAACTCAACTAACTCACGGGTCCGAGGTCTCATACCTTTAATTAAGGTGGTACTCCTGCGTCTCTGCGTGCGTACCTTACCTGGAGAATCGTCCAATCTGCTGCTTCCTCAAGGTAATCTGACCTCACTTTATCCATCAAACCTACCCCACCAGATTGGAGACCGGCGCGCGCCCGCATCATTTTCCACCTCCAAGCACTGCCAGCAATGTCTCCGACACCTCACAACAACCGCAACCAGACCTCACAGACGACAACCCTCCTCATCCTCTGCTTCATCATCATCTGCCTCTTTCCAAACCTATTTCACTTTCTCTGGAACCTGCCCCTCACAGCCCTAGGCTACGCATTTTCGACAAGCAGCAGTAGCAGCAGCTCACCAACCCCACGTCATACCCCCCCCACCAACAACCACAACCATGACGGGCTCCTGGTTCCAAAAGCAGTTCTCCCTGCCCGCCCGCTCGCGCGGCTCCTACCTCATCACAGACGAGATCGTCGGCGCCCTGCCCGAGCTGAAGAACTACAAGGTCGGCATCCTGCACCTGTTTGTCCAGCACACGAGCTGCGCCCTCAGCCTCAACGAGAACTGGGACGACGACGTCCGCGCCGACATGAGCGATGCGCTGGACCGCATCGCGCCCGAGGCTGGGCCCAAGGGCCAGGAGCTGTATCGCCACAGCGCCGAGGGCCCTGATGATATGCCGGTGAGTTTTTTTGGGTTTTCCGTTTTATCTTGCTTTTCGATGCTTCATCGCCATGTTCTAATCTCATGTGTTCAAAGGCTCATATCAAGAGCGCTCTCGTTGGTGCGAGTGTCACTATCCCGATCAAGGATGGCAAGTTGGTAAGTCCGATCGCAAAAGTTTGAAGGCCCGATTACAGCTCACTGACATCACTCAGGCCACCGGAACATGGCAAGGAATCTGGTACCTGGAGTTCAGGGCCAGCAAGCACCAGCGCCGCCTCGTGGCCACCATCCAGGGAGAGCCCAAGGCGTGAGTTTCTTAGATGTTATGCAGATAGAATGAGGAAGAAAAAAAAACCCCGTCGATTCCCCCATTGAAACAGTGAATACCAGTCTATTTGGTATCGATGCAAATATCGAGTCGACCCTATTGTACAGTCCCACCGGTCTACTTATGGCACTTTTGTGACCTACGCCAAAACGCCTCGCCCCTGATCCCTTTTCGTGAGAAGCTCCCATCTCCCCTTCTGCGTACCACATTTCGCAAAACTCGCAACCCCCAACTCTTGCTTTACTGCTGCTGGTGCTGCTGCTCGCCGTTCTCCTCTTCGTCTCCCTTAGCCTCTTGCATATCCGTGTCGTCGCCGCTCGCCAACACCTTAATTCTCGGGACGTATCCTTCCGGTGCGCTCGCGCCGGGCGTGGCAGCGACGATGTTACCGTTTTCGTCGACGAACTCAAAGTTGTATCGGCTGAGGAGGTGGGGAATCGCGGAGAGCTGAGGGCCGTATCTCGCCGTGTTGTCGTAGAGCTCGAATAGGGGAACTGCAAGGAGCTTCATGTTCTTGGGGACGCTAAGCACCTCTGTTGGGGGACACGGGTTAGCAAAACTGTTGTTATTGTTGTCGTCATCGTCGTCAAGGGTTTCGTGAACGTACTGCTCTTGGGCAACTGGATAAAGTAAAGCTTCTTGCATTCCTTTGGCCGAGTCACATGCGCCGGGACAAAGGGATACATGAAGGTCTCAAAGTTGGGCCGCCACCACTGGGCCAGACAATCGCCGACCTGCCAGTCGGCGGGCTCTTCGCCCTCGCCGATGCGGCCGACGGGGGCGAGGCGCTCGTCGAGGCGGGCCTTGAAACCCTCGACCTCGTCGTCCTCGGGGCGGAGGTAGTCTCCGGGGAGCTTGAAGAAGGCGTTTGCGATTTGCAGCATGAGGATGTGCGGGTGGTTGTGCTCGTGGCAGACGAGAATGCCCTCGCAGGTGCGGCGCATGCCGTGCTGGGTGTAGTGCTCCTCGAGGCGCTTGAGGCGGGCGATGACGGAAGGGTCTTCCTCTGGCTGGGTTTCCTTGACGCCAAAGGTGTAGTTGGAGAGCGGGTAGAGGCGGATCGTGTCTGGTTGGTTTGAGTTGAAGGAGAGGGGGATGATGGGCGCGTGGCCCGATTGCAGGGCCGTGGTTGTGATTGTCGACATTGTGACTGTGTTCGCTTTCGGTCAGTTGTTTTGTATTCCTCGTGGGATGTGTGCGATGGCGGGGATTGCTTGTAGGGAAGTTTGCAGTTGATAACCAAGTTCAGTCTTGGGAAGAAGGCGCGTTGGACAGGGCTGGGGAAGCTGAGCTAAAGCACGGAGGTGTTCGGAGCTTCCACGGTTCGACTAGGAGGCGTGTTGGCGAATGGGGAAGGCGGCGAGTATTGACCCCTGGTACCCCGGCCCCACCCTCTAGACTTCCTCCACCGAGGTGAGCGGTTCAAGTCCAACGACACGCCGTGCTATCATGAAGCATGGCTGCATTGATCCCACTACCGTTGCTGCTTCACACCCCTGTCTCATAGAATGAGCCTATTTAAGCAGTACGTTTGACTGTCTCGGGCCAAACATGTTACGGTGGCCGCTGAAGATCTTCTCTGCGAAAATGAAAAGCGAAGCCGTTCACCGGAATAGTTAGCAGGGCAGACGATTAGCTATGCTTGAAACTCTTCCATGAATCTTATCGATTCCATCACCTTCACCTTGCATTTTAAGACCTGAATGCGAGCTCTGTTGAGAGAAATCCTAGGGTAGAGCTGATCTATCTGGGTTGACACTCATTGAAGCATCTGCTGGTACACCAGACACAAGGCACACGACTGAAGTGCCACGCTTCAGGTTTAACAGTTCCTCAATGACCTGAAACAACTAGATAAACTTGACTGCAGGAGCTAGACTATAGCTGAGTATACGTTCGAGGGCATTTTTTGGAAACTCCAACCCTCCCAGCGTAAATAATCCATGAAAAAGATTTGGGTCCCCCTTAGTCACATAGTCTATGTTCTTTTTCCCTTACCCGCCATTATCTCCCTTCAGTTCTAGCAGACCTGTCACGACTCTGGTAAGCACGAAGAGAGCGTATAGGCCATGCCCATTCATGTTTTCTCTAGCCTTCCGCTTTATCGGCATGCGCATACTTCAGCGATCATGCATTTAAACGCCTTCCGCCGCGTGTCCAAGATTTTGCCCCACCATGACGACCGCTTCTGTTACACGGCATGTATGCCACATCGGATTTATAAATGAGGGAATCGAGGCAATAATAAAAATGGCCTGTATTCTGCCATTCACTATCTCGATTGTTATCGCAAGCCTTTTAAGCTTCTTATTTTTCTTATCTAATCCGTACATCGATCTACCTAGGCAGTAGATATTTTTTGCTTTCTGGCAGGATGGCCCTCTTCATGTCTTCGCCATGGCCGACGCCAGCAAATCAGGGACTGGAGGAACAAAGCCTATGCGTGCAAGTCTTTATGACGACCCGTCTCTATCATTTCCATATGGGAATACTCTTCCAAAATACCACACCGACTTGTGCACCGGATCGCCACAATGCAAGGTGGAGCAGTTGAAAGACAGATCCGCCTTCCGTCAGATTCTGAAATCAAATAAGCACCAGCGCCGGCCTCACTCTAGTAATACCATTCGAGGGGGGGGGGCTCGTGCCTCTCAAGTTTTCCGGGCTCTTCTTACTTTCCTCTCATGCCGCCCACCACCACATCTCTTTCCCCTCTCTGACCTCAGCTTCTCACTCTTCTACCAAAGCTCACATCAAGATATTCCTGTTTTTAACACCTGCGAAAGGCTTTCATTGCCTCGGTCTGATAAGTTCCAACTTGTTCTGTCGAGGGCCAGCAGAGGAAACCGGGGTTTTCCTTGCCTGTGGCTTTACTGAGTTCAAATATTGCCCTCTGCATCTCCTTCCCTCTCCTCTCGTTGAGAGTCTTGTGAGAAATTGCGCCTGTCTCTCTCTCGTTCACTCGTTGCATACGCCACTTTGCAGACAAACTTTCCCGCAAACAAGACGAGGCACACCTTGGGGTGTCCCCTTTTTGGGGCGAGAAATGCTGAAGAACTCTGGCCTACAAATCAATTCGTGCTAATTTCAATTTACATTGCGCGTTGGTAACTCAGATGGACTCGCAGACTACCGACTCGGCCATCAAAAACGAAGCGTTCCGCCCATCAGTGGTAAAGATGGAGGAGAACGATGATCTTGCCGCGAATTCTATGAGTACTTTGGCTCATCAGAGGCTCAACGATGCCAAAAAAGAGTTTGGATGCTACCGAGCTTCGCGAGGTGAACGCCAAGACAACCCACCTCTTGAGTGATATGCATTCGGCCTTGACTAGCATCTTGGATCTGAGGCGCGTGAAGCAGTGGCGCGACAACATCGAAAAGCTGATACAAGAGTAAGAGACCATAAGGTGCTGCGATTCGTCATCGGCGTTCTTGGCGACACCGGTTCTGAAAAGAGCTCCCCCGTCAGTGCAGTCTTGGACGAGGAGCGAGTTGTTCCTACCCACTGCATGCGTGCGTGCATGGAAATATCGTGAAACGACTCCGATAACCCGAACATGGATTATCGCGCCGAGATCGATTTCATTACCCAGGCTGAGTGGACTGCCGTGGTCGCTGCCCTCCACCGCGACATCCTTGACAACAGGGAGATGCTTTCTGCGGATATCAGGAATGTGGATAGTGGTGCTGGCATTGCATATTCTGTCTTGAAGGCTGTCTATCCGAAGCATTCTGACAAGCAGCTCAGATTTGCTGCCCCCGAAGTTCTTGCAAACTCCGGAAAGTTGCGAGGTGAGTGATAAGACAAAGGTGGTGGAAGAAGCGGAATGCGCTCCTTTCTACACCGAGATCCAGGTTTTCGTAGATCCAGAGAGTAAGCGTAACGTGTCTGGCGCAGAAGTCGAGGATGCTGAACCTCAGGAGCTGGAGATGGCGAACTGGTCCCTGATCAAGGTCGTGCCGGGTTTTCTGAAGTCAGAAGTGGTATCTACCGGCATGGTCATTGTGGATTTGCTACTTATCGTTGGTTTCTCGAGGCAAGTTTCTCATTAATGTCAGCATAACCCCGAGGTCGACACAGCAATGCTACTCGCGCTACCGTTGCCACCAAGTACCTCAAAGAACGCTCAAGACTGTGGATGGTCGCCCCCATCACCCGCACAGTTGATGATAAGACGGCCAAGACTCTTGTTGAAGATCGTTGCACACAGCAACCTAAGTATGACGAAGCTTACAGCAACATCATGTTCGTCTGTAGCAGAGCCGACGATGTATCCCTGGATGAAGCCGCCCCGAGTTTTGGGATCGTGAATTCCATGGAGAAGGAATAAGAGCGAAGGAGAGGACTGAAAGCTGAGATTGAGCGCAGGCAGAACGATCTGAGGACACTTGAAGCCCAAGACTAGGTGGTTAATGATATCAGATTGCTAGCTCCTGCCAGTAAGATACACGTACTTGAGGTACACAATCAGACATAAGAAATACGCTTCACATTTCACAGTTTCTCGAGGATACGAAAGAACTAGGTAACTTTGAATGCAGTGAGCTAGACTATCAGCTAGGTATGCATTCGAGGGCAATGTTTTTCTCCTTAGTCGAGTAAGGTGGCGCATCTCAAACGATGCAGTAACTTTCTATCTCATAACTTTTTGAGACTTCGACCTTCCCAGCGCGACTGAATCCATGAAATGGATATGAACTGCCCTTATCAATTTTTTTTCCCTTACCCGCCATTTTCTTCTTGAGTTCTCGGAGGCGTGTAACAGCTCTTGTGAGCACGAAGAGGGCGTAAGGGCCATGCCCTTCCATGTTCTCGCTGGCATTCCGCTTTATGGTCATATACTCGCTCCTTTCTTCTCCCTGCTCTCCGATCGGAACAATGATACCTGCATATCTGCAGAGAATTGCATTCAAAATCATACGGCAGGTTCTGCCGTTGCCGTCTCTGAAGGGGTGAATCTGGACATATTCGAGCGAGTACTTAGAAGCGATAGAAAAAGGATCTATGACGCCACGTGTTTCGGCGAGTGTGATGTCTGCTTTGAGGTTCTCGCAGAACTCTTTCATCTTGCGCGGCACGAATTGCGGAACCGTGAACATAGTTGAGCCAGCTCCGACCGCGACATCCCGATAAATGCCACCGTATTTTTCAGGTGCAACGTCATCTACTCCCTCCTCGATGATTGGTATTCCCTTGGTGAGGATTCGATGAGTTTCCTTGATGGTCTCCTCAGTGAGATCTTGACGCAATACAACAAACGAATGAATGAGGTATTGAAAAGCGCGGGCGTGCTGAATGATCTCTCTCCGTCCACGGAGGACATACTGCGCAGGCATGTCCTTCAGGTTTCCTTGCCTTCGATACATTTCAAGCAGGTCGCTTTCGCACTGAGGCGTACGCTCTGGAATGTCCGTGACATCTTCCCCAGAAAAAATCTTTCGGCAGAGGTGTACAGTTATGTCCCAGCCAAGTCCAGCTCGCTCACGCATGGGGGGGTCTGGTATGAGGAGGGCTCAGTAGTTGCCTTTGACACAGCTGGCTTATCAAGTGGATGAATGCGAAAGTCCTTGCCGCAAAATCTCTGGACGGATTCATGAGAGCTCGCGTGTAAGAGGTTGCTGCTCGCCATCACAACCCCAACAATTGATGATTGATTGCCAACCGCCCAAAAAGGCACAGGGTACGACGTAGACTCTCCTCTCTATAATGATATCTTTCAAAGTGAGCATACAAATCCATTCACAATGCCAAAGCATCGAAGAAGACTCGGTCGGCTCCGAGCGCCCGGCGGCCGAAGAGGCCGTGTGCTCGGATAACCCTTGCAGGCAAGCCGTTGGGCACGGCGGTTGCGGTACGTAGCACGGCAGGTATGACCGCACCGTGCAGCGGTGACAGCGGGAGAGCGGCATCCCGTTGAGAAAACCCTCCGTTCTAGAACACCCCGACGGGACCTTTCCTCTCTCAGCAGGTAGGCGGCATAGGTACATGTGATGATGGGAAGTGCAGGGCAGAGCAAAACAGAGCGGGTCTGGCCAAAGGAGAAAACATGACTGCTCGCACACCCGGCACTGAAGAATTTGGTCTCCTAGGTTGGTTGTCCCTATGCTCGAGAGAGTATTGTGTGGCGTTGAGCTCTCCCATTGGTGTTTTACTTACTCGTTCTCTTAGAGATACACCGCCATAAGCACCCGCCACTTGTACGTTGCACTCGGATATCAAGTGGCATGTTTCTCGGTGTGATCAAGGCTCATGGTCTTTTCCACCCCCTCCTGCCGCACCTACTGCGTACATAAGATGCGCAATATCAATGCAAGCAGCGAGAGTACATTCGTCGTGTAAGCGAGAGAAAGCATTGCATCACCACATGCGTAAAATAAATTGGACAAGAACACGGAAGTACAGGCAGGGATGGGATGAGTGGGACCATTTGTCGAGAAATGCGAGTCATCAATAAGCCCGAAAAGCAAGGCAAACCGTAAAACTTGCTGGGGACAAGCGGGCCGAAAGGTGGAAGGAACCTCAAAAGTTTGTTTTGTTTTTTCAGCTTTGGGGAATCCCGTGACTACTCGTGGAGCCCGATGTCCCCGTGGAGGCATGGAGGGAAGAGGTCACGGGGTTCCGGGACCGGTGAGAGGGGCGGCCAGTCATGCGCCGCGGGGGTGGACGGCCGCGTGACACCCCAAGAGCCGGACTCGGTCTGGGAAAAGAAGGCCAAGGTCCGGCGGGGGGGGGGGGTTAGAGTCGTCGACGTGGGAGGCTCCCTTGCCCGAGGCAACCACTTGGCACCACTTGTTCGCCAACGAAACCTGGGCAGGGCGGCAGGCGGCACACCACATCACCCAAAGAATGCCACCTTATCTGCGGGCGGAGGCGTCTAGGAAAGTATGTCGGAAAGTCAAATTCTATGCTTCACAGTTTCCCACCCCATCCATGCTGACGACCTTGTTCCGTCGTGGGGTCTTTCTTTGTTTGGAGACCTTTGACATTGATACCTATGCTCCCCCCTCTCACCTTTCGAGTTGTACAACGATAGAGCTTGCCAGTGCACGTTGCAGGGCGTCTTTTGAGCCCTTCGTCTTTTGTGTTGGAGGGGGGTTGCGCGGCTTCTCGTCTGAAGAAGAGGCAAGATAGTCAAACGTAACTTCATCCAAAACAGACCCCGCGTTATCAGTGAAAGCTAGAGCCTAAAGACATCGTTCTCGGGGATGCTGTATAGTATGGTTTGCTGGAGCGGGTTGACAACTTGCGATTTGTGTTTGTGAGTTTGTGAGTTTGTGAGCGGCCGTCTCGAGAGGGTGACCTGTAGGCGCGTGTAAGTGTCATGGAACGACCCGCAGTTCGTGACTGCCCATTATGCGCATATATAGAGCCGTAATCCATGGCGAGCTGTGAAAGGCTTTGATTGACTGCGAGTCCGAGAGTGTTCAGCGAAAAGGGCGCTGCCGGGTGCCGAGATCGTTTGTTAGCTTGAGGGTTGCAGCAATCGTTGCAACAGTAGCTGCCAGGCTGGGGGTTGAGTTGAATTTTTTTTTTTTTTGGCCTTCTTGATGGATTGTCAGGTCTGGGTGCCAATGTCATTGCCCGCGCAGTACCATTGTGGAGCTGGGAGCAGTCCTAGTCTGATGTTGAACGGGGATCGGCGGTTCTGAGAGGGTTGAATCTCTGGGAACCTAATGCGACTTTTTCGTAGCCGGACGCAGCGAGAAGGCGAGTCTGTCGGGCCAGTGAAGACTGGTTGACTGGCAGAAAGTCTAGAAAGACAGCTCATGGCATGACTGAGTGATGGAAAAGCACATGAAGAGATTTCCATATGCATGTGAGTGCTAGGGTGCCAGAATGTAGCGAGAAGGAACGGGGAGGCCGACGGTGGATGGAATTGATGGAGTTGGTCCAGGCATTCATTCGGCCGTTCAGAAGTTCAGCTCTCAGGTCACTGCTAGTTGCGGGCTACCGGTAAGGTACCACAAAGTGCCTGCACTTGCCGGGTTCCGGCTTCTAATGTAAGGTAGGTAATGGAAGTTGCATGGTTCGAGAAGAGAAAAGAAAAAAAGCAATGAGCAAATTAGACATGTTCTGGGGGAGAATGGCCACGTGCCTGTCTTCAAGAAGCAATTCGATGTGTAGTTCGGTGAGGAGAGCGCCGTTGATACCCGAATGACATGGGGCGTCCAACGTCCAAAGTCGAGGGTCGAACGATGCGTGGTATAGTATTGCATACTACGTATACGGGAGAAGGCGCAGACCGTCACCATCTTTGGGTACTGGGCGTATGCCGTGATTGAGGCGCGGCAGGTAAGGTAGTAGTAGTTATTATTGCTGGCGCAGACCTGGATGTTTTTGTTGGACTGCTACGTTCTCGATGTTATGGCTGTCATTGCTGTACGGAGTACGGAGTAGGGATAATCGTAATGTAGATGCCCAAGTACCCTTGCCGATGACCCCCATGCGACTCGTGAGATGGCATGTCGAAAACTATGCGCCTGACAATCACACCCTAGAATTGGAAGGCGGCATGGCGCCAGGATCCGCGCCCACTGAAAGCACCGAGGAAAAAAGCAAACCCCAAGACCTTCATTGAACTCTCGAGAGACACGAGCGACTGTGAGGCTTGACTCTTTCCAATTGGGAGGGGGGAACTGGCACTGGGAAGGGACGAGGCAGGCGTGGGAGGCACGGAGGGCAACGGGAAGGGGGAGGGGGGGCTACCTGCCTTATTCACCCCTGTCTGCTTGGCAATGCCGGTACGTACCTGCCGCCCACCCCGAGATTCCAAGAATCGGAAGCCCGCGCCCCCCCCCCAAAAGATTCCATTTGGCTTTCCATTGCAGAGAGACTGGGGGGGGGGGGACAGAGGGGCGGAACCAAAAGGCCAAGTCCCACGTCTCTTTGCTCTCGATGGTGAACCACGCATCCGACCCGACCCAAAATCCAGACAGCGGGGATCGGGGACACCATCTTTAAGGGTGTTCTAGGCCTCTCAAGTACATATTCCCGCCACAACCACCACAGAGATACTTGTTGATTTGCAGTCCCGGATCCTGCTCCTGGCCTTCTGCTTCTGCACCGCCCAAAAGAATTAACCCACATCGCACATTGGATTTGCACATTTGCACATCATTCGGCCACTTGGACCGACCACACACACACCACACACACAACAAGCGCACCCACGCGCTTGACTCCCCACGCACAATTCATCTCTCGTGCCTTTCTGCACAAACTCCCGCAGACGAGGCACCAGTTTCTCCATTTCTGTCTTACCTTTGGGGTCTCGCTTGGATTGACCTGTGTGTGCTTGTCCAGTCCAGGTTGTTGTCTCGTCCGCTCCTGGCAGTTTTTTATCTAATCTTTTCTATTTACCTTAGATTCTGGCCTGATTCGAGTCCACAATCCACACACACCCCTCCCCGGGCCCCCGACTTTCCCATTGATCATCTCTCCGCGGGGAAGAGAGACAGACACACACACACACACACACACACACACACACACCACAACCACACACATTCGCACACAGAGAAACATTCCCCAAACGCGTTCATCTGCAACCTTAACCTCTTTCTCGACTCTCGCCGACGCCCACCCCAGTGTGTCTCTGTCAACACTCTTTGCGCCTGTGCGTCTGTGCCTCTGTGCCCGTGGTCTGGACGCAACCGTAAATCGCCCATCCCGAACAAACATTGGACGCCGCCGACCATTTCGCCGCAACCTCGACCCAGACGCCTTGCGTCATGCCCACGCCCAGGAACCCATTGGCCCACCTCCACGCCCCGATTCCTGACCCTCGTCTGTCTATCCGTCTATCCCCTAGTCGCCGCTACCGCTGTCACTGGCATTCTCCGTCTTGCAGTTGCTGCCTCTGCCTCTGCCGCCCTTGAGCGACATGGTCGACATGGACGATGCGACGAGGCTCATCGGAGACCTGCATCAGAAGCTAGCCGACCTCGACCACAAGGTTGCAGCCTACCGCCAAGACATGGCCCTCGAGTTCCATAGATACTCCCACCAACTGCTCCAAAACATCCCACAACACACAAAGGCCGAGGTTGATCGTCAAGTTGCCGCTTCCTTCGACAACTACCCAGCTCTGCGTCCTGCCCTCGGCCAGACTCTCAATACTCCCCTGCGAGACATAGACCTGCCTGACTCACCGCCGCCACCACACTCCACCGAAGACACCGAAAACCTCACCGAAGGCCACAGCAACCCCGGCAACCCCCGCGAACCTCCGCCGCCGTCGTCCACGTCCACGCCCCCATCCGTCCTTCCCCATGCCGGCACTGCTGCCCTAACCTCCCCCGACAGTGTTTATGACCGGGAAAGGGATAGAGGTTTCCACGGTCTCTTCACCCCAAGCTATCTGCCCCTGCTGGACAGCTCACACGAGGCGCCTGCACCAGCAGCAAATCAGTTACCAATCCTACCGCCAATTTCAAACTCTGCTGCTACTATTCAAGACGACATGGGTCGTCGAAAGTCCAGTCAGACTCAGGAGCAGCCTGCGATCCAGGTGTCGGTTGCTGCGACTCAGACGCCCGAGAGGCCGAACCACGAACGTCGGGCGACTGATGACACAACGTCTTCTGGAGCTTCGGAGCAGAGCGAGTCCAAGGTGCGCCGCAGTGCCTTGCGAAGAAGTTCGAGCGGAATCAAGCCACCCGCCAGCCCTAGGCGAGTGCGCTTCGAGTTCGAAGGAGGAGAGGTGCTGCCTACAGCCTCGCCCCAGTCATCGGAGCCGTCCCTTGTACAGTCGCACACCCTTGCCAACTCGAAGTCACCCCCTCCGTCGGAAGATGAGTCAATGAGTGTCGAATCCTTGCTGGGTCCAGATGAGGACGATAGCGGCCCGCCGCCAAAGAAAGTCTCTTCTTCACAAGCACTTCGTGCTCTTTCTCGCGCTCCCTTGGATGCTAACACGGTTTGGACTGTTGTAAATGCCGAAGCCCAGGATAAGGAAAATGGTAGTATGGCAACATCAGACTCAGAAACGTCATTGCAACCGAGCGATAGTATTGGAACTCTGCCGAAACCTCAATCACCACTAAAAACTACTTCAGTGGAGCGCAAACGAGTCCCAGAGCCATTGCGACCTGTTTCCCCAGAGAGAGTCAGCCGGAGGGATGAGGATGATGAGGACAGTGATGGCAGTTCTTCCGATGACGGCTTCCTCGCCATGGCAAAGCCGAAATCCTTTGCCAACAAGAAAGCGATTCTTTCACCGTTATCGCGCTCACCAACTAGAACGGCCACTGTGCCTTATAGCCCTACTCGAGACAAGTCCGGGTCGCACAACGAAGATAAGCTGGTGACACAAAGCGATGGGCCAGAGGACGAGGACGACGAGGACATGTTCCATTTCGAAGGGCTTAGTGCGCCACCAAAGCCCCGAGCCCGACCAGCTCCGATACAGGAGGAAGAGGAAGATGAAGAGGAAGAAGAGGAAGAGGAAGAAGCTGCATCGAATGAGCCAGTCACCCAGACCCTATACTCGACCTCGCCTGCTGTGTCCATCCCGAAGCCAGTCGAGCCAGCGATCCCGGCGCATCTCATTTCAGGTTCGGTTGGGTCTTTCAGAGGCCGCCCTGTTATCATGCCTGTGGTTAAAAACCCCGATGTATACCAACAGGCAGCCTCGCTCGGCGATGTCAGCAGCTTTATTGGAGGACTGGACGGACGCAGCGGCGTGGACGATGGGGATCTCAGCAGCTATCGTGCCAGTGTCGGACAGGCATTGTTCTCGGGAACTCCTCGAAGCCTGACGGAACGAATGATGATGGAGGAAGCACAGAGCCAGAGACGAGCGGCAGCGCAGCGACCTCAATGAGTGCAGCGCGTCACAGCGCTCAGAGCCCCTTTCCCCTGTTGATGTATATGTTACAGGTATGGGCCAATTGTAGAGTTCCGGAAGTCTGTACATAGACTATTCTTCGGCGTTTAGATGCTTTATGGCTGGGCAACTAGGAGGTAGTGGCATGCCGAGGCCTTTGGCAGGACGGTTTTGGAAGGTCTGGGCCGGTGGCACAGGCATCATTCGTACATGGCATACCCGCATCATGGTAAGGTAGTTTATAAACAACAAATCCAATGCCGACGGGCTTTTGAAAGAGACAAGAAATATCCGCACTGCTTGGAACGGTGAGATGTTGAAGTGTGGATTGTCGTCTCAACCCTCGTTACGGTTAACGGCGGTGGTGTTCCTCTCGGGCTCTGTCAGATCGGGCTGTTGGGACCCACATCAAAGCCCGGACCCGACTTGAACGTGTGGAAAAAACCTGCCCCGAGACTCCGGGTCTCCCGCCCAATCCCGGGCGCGTCCAATCCCGCTACAGATGATTCTCAGGTGGTGCAGCTGGGGCGCGCCAAAGAGCTCCCATCCATCGACCCTGCAAATCGTCCAACCACTCTTACCATCGTCATCGACTCCAATCGCACCACCACCACCACCACCATCGCCTCTTCCACAAGCACAGCGCAATCACAGTCACAATGGGCGGCCTCAATCTCGAAGTTTTCAAGGTACGAGCTTGACATTTTGCAGGAACCCCCCCAGTCTTTCAATCGCAGAACCCTTCATCACATGAAGAAACATCTTGACTGACAATGGCGCCACCAAATAGTTTGGCATGTATGTCATGTTCCCCATCGGTGTCATGTACTACTTTGGCACGAACCTCGACAACCGATTCGCGGTGCCCGAATTTTGGCCAAAGGCCGAGCACTCCCACAAGATCCCGTTTGATCGCGACGAGATCAAGAGCGAGTATATTCGCCTGGCCAAGAGGCAGCGGGCGTTTGACGAGGTTAAGAGGGAGAGGGAGGCTAGGGAGGCTGCGCAGAACCCGCCTTCGAATGCGGAGCAGTCATGAGGGGGGTTCGATGTACGGCTCAAGCGGATGAGGGGGAAAAGGCGATGGCACATTCGATCTGGATTCTCGCCGGGACTTGAAACTTTGAAAAGGACGACTACCGGGAGACTGACTGCCTTGCGAGAACCGAGAGAAGTTTCGCGCTGTATCATATGGGCGTTTTTGGGCTGTCAAAAAGAAGAACGTGCTTGGCTTGGGAAATTTGTCATGCGATTGACGCGGAGTTTTTGGGCGGAACGGATATCATTCCTTGGGGGTTGATTCGGATTCTCGGGTTGGACCCCAGACAACGCCCCTCTGAGCATTCTACCATTGCTTGTATTACGTGGTTCTTGTCTACATGTTGTACACAAAAAATAGGGTATCCTACAACAAGATGTACATCAGCACCCAAGGGTCAGGTGTGTATATGCACCCAGCATCTACGAGTCGAGGTTCTCCTCAATGCCAGACCACTGCTCCTCGGGGATGTCTCCCCGCGTGGGGTTACCGTACACAGCCTGCACCTCGGGAAACTCCTGCAACGCAGCCAAGAGCTCGCTCAGCGTCGTGGCCTCGAGCCCCTCGTCAATCTTGACCTTTGTATCCTCGTTGGCGCTCCAGATGATCTCGGAGCTGAGCAGCCCGAGCTCAAACTTGGGGCCCACGCCGTTGACGACGGCGTTGGTCATGTTGGGCTGCGTCCAGACGACGAGGTTGCCCTCCTCGTCGGTCTCGAGGTCCTCTGCGCCGCACTCGATGGCGTCGTCCATGATGTCGTCGACGGTCACGGGAGAAGGCGAGCCTTCTTTTGCGGCAAAGACGACGCGGCCTAGGCGGGTGAAGAAGAAGGTGGTGGCGTTGGCGGCGCCCTTGTGTTTCTTGACGAGGACTTTGAGGTCTTGGAGGGACCGGGCTTTGCTTTCGGTCTCGACTTCGATTATGAGGGCGACGCCGGGCGGGAGGATGGCTTCGAGGGTGAGGGGTTCGAGGGAGGCGCCTGAAGCAGAGCGGCCTTGGCCTCGGGCGATGGCAGAGTCAATTACGGCTTTGGGAACGCCATCTTTTGGGGGTTTCCAGGTTAGCTGTTTGTGTGGTTTCCTGATGGTGAACGAATGCAGTTGTTTGGGGACGAGGTACCAACCTTTCTTCGCATTCGCGACTGCTGTGACGAGCTGGGGATTGTTCTCGGTTCCGTGTACTACGTGGGATTGGTAAGCTTGTGTGTGCGATGCGAGGGCCGGTGATGCGATGGGAGACGCACGCCTGGAGTAGAGGGCAATTGTTTTTGAGTGCTGGCTGCGCATGTTATTCTTTTGCGCATCGGCAGCACCCTTTTTGTGCTTGATCTTGGACCACTTGTTGTGCCCACTCAGTACGGCGGGCGTCGTCGAGAGTGGACGCAGACATTGGCAGCAGAAAGACGTTGTGGTGGGCTGAGCTCTAGGTCTGGGAACGGGGATTTGAGGGACGGCGACGGCGATGCGCGATGTGATGGTCCGGACAGGGCCGGAGACGAACGGGCGCATGGTTGATGACGGAGGTTACCTCGGTGACGATTGCGCCGGTCGATTGTTCTCCGGGTCGTAATTCGGAGCTGTCAATGGCTGTTTTGGTTCATGTCGGTGCATGTCATGTTTCTGTCCGGGACACACTTCCTGCCACACGGACGGCGGGAGCTCGGAGCTTCCTCGAAATTTAAGTGGAACCACCGGGTGCGTCTGACGTGTGGCTGATTACCTATTGTACAGACCCTTGACTTTCAGAGTTGACACTTTTTGAGATGGTACGGCTGAGCCACAGCCGGCGCCTCAAAGTGATATGTCATGGCTCCTGTCTCCCCCCTATGGAGCCCTATGGAGAGAGCTTGGGACAGACCCGCCGGGGGGTAGCCGCCCCTAATTCCATGGGACTCACTTTACCTTAGACCATCCCGTACCTGACCGCATGCCTGTCCTGTCCCTCAACCTGTCCCCAATAACCCATCCCACCCTTCGACAACACATCCGACGAAAAGGGAACAACAACATCCATTGATACAAAACACCAGAACCACCTACGTGTGTGCGCTCGACGGCGTAACCTCACACACACAACCTCCCCGTCGTCTCCAATGTCGTCGACAGGAGCCCCCAATGGCTCCAACGGGGACCACGCGCAAGCAGTTGCCTCGCCTAGGCCATCAACAGCTGCATCGGGACCACCACCACAACCGCCCCCGGCCGCAGCGACAGCTATCGCGGTAGACTCGTCCGCGACATCGACCCCCGAGCTCGACGTCCCGAAGCTGCAGTCCCTCCCCGCCGAACAACAGGAGCTCTTCCTCCTGACCTTTGTCTCGACCCTCTCCAAGCACGTCCTCAGCCTCCCCGCCGACGACTGCACCGCCCAGCAGTTCTACCTCAAGAAGGAGATCTTTCAGATCATCAATCTCCCCTCGCCGCAGCCGAGCCGAGTCGTCAGGAACAACCTGGGAAAGTGTCTCGCCCACATCTTTGGCCATGGCGATAGGAAGCTCCTCTTCGAGACCATCAACGATCTGATTGGCATCATCTCGGGCGCCAAGTCCAAGGCCGATGCCGGTCCGCGCACAAAGCACGCTGCTGTCGCCTGTCTGGGAGACGTATACGTATCTGCCGGCGACAGCGCCATCGGCCTACACCAGCTGGCCTGCGCCACGCTCATCAAGCTGCTCAAGTCTTCGTCCAACAATGCCGGCCTCCGTGCTGCCGTCTTTGTGTCCCTGGCCAAGCTTGTAAAGATGGTGGAGGGGAGTGTAGACGAGAATGTCGCCAGGGATATCTTTAAGCAGTCGCGCAGCTTCGCCACTAGCGATAAGGGCTCGCTCGTCATCGTTTCGGCGTGTCGGTGCCTGCGATCCCTGGTTCGGCACACCCCGTACTTTGAGAACTCTAGCGACTTTGAGAAGCTGCAGGCTGCCATATGGAAGGTCACTGACTCTTCGTCGTCGCAAGTGAGGCACGCCGCCGCGGAAGCGCTGGCTGAGGCCATGGTGCGCGGTTATTCAGAGACTGGAGTGGCGGAAGGCGCTCCCGTGACATCAAAGGCGTCCAAGAGGTTTTCCAAGAAGCCCATCAAGCGCACGGGTACAGCGGCCAGCATGGTGGCTGACGAGGACGAGTTACCGACGTCGCGGCCTGGCAGCCCTGCCCCTGGTGGAAAGAGGACGCAGGACCTTGCCCTGTCTCTGACGGAGATTCTCAAGATCTTATCAACGCAGTATGCCAAGATGCCGACGTCTAACAGGGCGAGAGCCGCCATTGGCGTGTGCTACGGCAAGGTGCTCAGAAAGCTCGGCGAGAAGACCGTGGAGGCGAATTACCTCAGGATTCTCGAGAGCTTGACCATTGACATTTTGGGACAACCCAATATCCTCAATAACCGTTACCGTCTTCTCATTTCGAGGCGCATTGTTGATACAATCCTCCAGGATGTTATTGGAAAGAAGATTCTGGGTGAGTCTGGTCAGACTGCGGCGGCCAAGTCGATTATCAACGACATTTTGAAGAACTACCCTCAAGCCCTGACGGAGCGGCCCGAGCCGTCGAAGCACACTCTCATCGCTTCCCTCGGCGCTGTGGCAGCGCTCATCAACAACTTGGGATCCGCTGCGAACAACTTTGCCGAGTCTTGCCGCGACGGTCTCTTGCAGGTTCTCCAGCACCCCAGCTACTCAGTTCAGGTGCACGCTTCGGCATGCATGAAGGCGTTTGTGTTGGCTTGCCCACAGCAGCTCCTTCCCTGCTTGTCAGTTTGCATGAACAGTTTGAGCAGAGAGCTAGCTCTCTTGACGAGTGGCCGAAACTCTCCTCGACGATGTGTAGGTTTTGCCCATGGTTTGGCGGCAACACTAAGCGCCAGCCCAGCGCGACCTCTGCATGGTTCCGTCGACATTAACAGCCGTGTACTCACCATGGCCACCAACTTGCTGAAGTCGAGCGGACAGTCTGAGTTGAGGGTCTCAAGTACTCAAATCCAGGTTGCCTGGATCCTTATCGGCGGCTTGATGTCGCTCGGACCGAACTTTGTCAAGATTCACCTTTCTCAGTTACTTCTTCTTTGGAAGAATGCGCTCCCGAAGCCGTTGTCAAAAGACAACACTGCACACCGGAGTTTCTTGGAGGCTTCCTTCTTGACCCATGTCAGAGAATGTGCTCTGGGATCTATCCTCTCGTTCCTACAGTTCAACAACCGTTTGTTGACGGTCGATGTTTCCAAGCGCATAGCAACGATGCTTCAAAACACGTCCGCATTCTTGCGAACGCTGCCTGCGAGGAAGACCACCGACGACGTGGCGCAGAGGCTGACGCCGGCATTGCAGCTTCACGATCTCGATATGATGGTGCAACGTCGAGTTCTGCAATGCTACATCAAGTTGGTCAACCTCAGCCCAGCTGGTGGCAGCGAGGCCCTTTTGCAATCCAACCTCCTCACAATCGCGATATCGCTGTTTGCGGACCCGGAAAACTATTCGGTCAACTCTCTCAGTGCATCGATCGCGAATGCCGCGGCCACGTTCGAGACAGTTTGGGACGTTGGCGATAACTCTGGGTTCGGTATCACAGGTCTCATTTCCGGGTTCAAGATCAAGGGCTTGCCTGGCCAGCAGGACAACTCAATAGAGGGGACGCCGCTGGAACAGGATACCCCAGAAGAGGCCATTGATAGATTGTTGCTGTCGCCAGTCTGTGGTACTCTAGAACATGACGCATCTCTTCTATACGTCGGCGACACGGCCTCGGAGCGGACGAACCCAGATCCACCAGCCACGGAGGTCATCAACATGGCTATCCAGCTTTTCGCATTCGTATTCCCGCTCACGCCTCCCAAAGTACAAGAGAGTGTTCTTGAGCAGGTTAGGACCTTCATGTCGGCTGGCCCTCTTTTGAGAGACCCTGGAAGGAAGGCAGCTATGAATGTCAACGTCTCAGTTGCCATCTTGTCGACGCTGCGTGTGGCTGTGAAGGAGACTCAATCATCGCCTGGCAACGTCACCAATCTGGCCGTGGAGAGGCTTCTCCAGGACATGCTGCGGGACTTTGTCATTGACGGAGATCAGTATGTCCGGAGCGTTGGGTATGCTGCAGTTGCTAGGCTTTGCAATGCCTGTGGTAATGCCTTCACCAACCACGAGATCAAGTACCTTGTCGACACCATCGTCAGTAACCGAGAGCCGAGTGCTCGCGCTGGCTGTGCCATGGCACTCGGATCCATCCAAACCAAGGTTGGTGGCATGGCGGCGGGCTACCATTTGAAGACTATTCTTGGCATTCTCATGTCTCTCTGCAACGATCCTCATCCTACCGTCCATTTCTGGGCCTTGGAGGCACTCGCCCTGGCTTCAGATGCTGCCGGGCTGAGCTTTGCTGGATATGTGCCTAGCACGCTCGGAATGCTGGCACAGCTTTATGTCTCTGATACGCATCACCCGGAAATCTCGTCTGCTATTACGATGAATCTCGAAATGGAACTCTCCACCCCCGCCGCCATCACGCGATGCGTCGACTCTCTCATCAACGTCCTGGGTCCTGACCTGCAAGACTCGACCAAATCGAGGGAGCTTATTCTTAACCTCATCAACCAGCTTCAGGAGGAGGACGACTTGCTGGTGCAGCGTGCCACTCTGAGTTGTTTCGAGCACCTGTCGCTTTACGCGCCGGGATATATGCACTTTGATGACTATGTCAAGTTGCTCCAGAAATACCTCAGATCAGAGTATCCGATCTTGCGGGACGTCGCCGTCGATGGCCTGTACAACATCATGAAGAGGAACCCCAATGACGTGATCAACGCGGCTGAGAAGGGCTTCGAAGATCACTTGTGGCTGGTTCTTGATACTGCGCCGACGCACGATGGTATCAGGAACATCCTCAGGAACTGGATGCGGCAGACTTGTTTGACTGACACTGGTCTGTGGCTTCAAAGATTTCAGACTGTGCTCAAAATGACTAGGGCCAAGGCCAAGGAAGAGTCCGACGTCGGGACCAAGAAGTCGGGCGGATTGCCGGACCTACAGGACGAGGAAGTGGCTGGCTTTGCAGGCACCGCCAAGGATGATCAAGACAACAAGGCCGGGGCTGAAGTCGAGCCTCTTCGATGGCAAGTCACGACATTCGCCATCAGCTGTATCAACGACATGTTTGTCTTGATTGCGAAGGATGTGATGACGAACGGCGAGTCCGCTGCGCAGGTGGCGCTTCAGAATAGGATTGGTGATGTCGTCCGCATGGCCTTCTCCGCGTCCACGTCTAGTGTCCTGGAGCTGCGCGTGTGGGGCCTCAAGATCATTGGGGCAGTCCTCAAGATGTTTGGACGGACACCCGACCCGGACTTTGACGAAGCCATGCTTCTCGAACAGTACCAGGCTCAGATCAGTTCCGCGCTCACGCCCGCTTTTGCCGCCGACTCGTCCCCTGAGCTAGCGTCTGAAGCCGTCAATGTCTGTGCCGGCTTCATCGCCACAGGCATCGTTACAGATGTTGATAGAATGGGTCGTATTCTCAAGACTCTGGTGTCTGCTTTGGAGAACTTCTCCAAAGAGAACGAGAATGCTGGCATTGGCGAGCTGAAGGGTCTTAGCTCCAATGCGCAAGTCATGGTCAAGATGTCCGTCTTCTCGGCCTGGGCAGAGCTACAAGTTGCCAGCTCGGAGCAGAAATACCTGCTCGACGTGCTGAAACCTCACATTGGAACGTTAACGCCTCTGTGGCTGGAGTCGCTGCGAGAGTTTGCCCGCTTGCGCTTCGAGCCTGATATTTCAATGACACTCGGACCCCCCTCGCTATCAGGCAGTCTCGATACTATCTACGCGGCTCTGAACAGAGAGACGCTGCTCAAGTTCTACCAAGAATCATGGCTTAAACTCGTCGACGCTATTGCAAGCTTGATTGAGCAAGACAGCGAGTTTGTGTTTGATGCTCTCGATGGGAAGGCGTCTGAAGGGTTGAGCACGAACGGCCACACCAAGGGTCCTGACATCAACTACCGCGACGAGCCTGTTGCGTTCTTCTTCGTCCTATTTGGAATCGCATTCGAGGCCCTAGCTACGCGCCCTGGCCAAAGTGACTCGTTGGCTACTCAAGAGCAGAACCTGGCTATTTTGCAGGCCCTCAAGAAGATCCTCCACCCGAGTGTATCCGGCCATGCAATTTACAGAGAGGCAATCTTCTCGGAGACAATGGATCTGCTCGATAGACTGGTCTTGACGGAAGGACTCGACGTGCAAGGCGTTATTGTAGAGATCGCGAGAGCACTCTGCGTCTCTCACCCATCGGCACGCAAGAAGGACTCTGGCGATGACGGCGATCTATCAGACGACATTGACCAGCTTTTCGAGCTCACACGCATCATCGTCCTGGTCCTCGCCGGGCTGCTTCCCAACCTCACAGAGGCAAATCAGCCGGGCCGCCACCAAATGACGGAGGAAGCCGTGCTCCTCATTCGCTCATCCCTGAATGCGCTCGTTGACGCTGCCGAGGTCTTCCCCTCCATCATCAAGACCGACCTTCACGCCTGCATTATCCACATCCTGGCCACCATCCTTGCGACTCCCGGATGTCAGGAAGTCATCGTTCCGCAGTCCCTACCCACCCTCAAGCGCTTCGTCGCGAGCATGACAAAATCCCGCAGGGCGAGCAGCGGCGAGGATGGCAGCGGGCCGTCGCCTACGGATGTCCAGCTGCAGGGCTGCCTGCGCCGGTTCCTTTCGATTTACCTTAACGCACAGAAGCGAGAGGTGCCTACATCCCTCACCTGCGTCAAGAACTGTTTGCTCGCGAGCACCATCCTGTTCACGGGCGGCACGAACCACCTGGCGGCGAATGATGCTCTTGTGGCAAGATACCTCGATGAGGTGGTTGATTGCCTGACGGATCGCATGGTATGTAGTCATCTGAAGATTCCCTAGATGTGTCGATATACGTGACTAACACTTTGGTACAGACGGCCAAGATCGCTGCCAACTGCATCAGGTCGCTGCTCCTGCAGGGCAACCCTACACCGGCAGACCACACCATTGCGCGCTACCTCCTCCCGCGCCTCGTCGCATTCGTGACCAACACGGCGCCAGAGGACCCGGAGAACGCCCGCTCCATGATTGCGCACTCGCTGAGCCAGTACGTCGGCGTCGTACCCCGAGACCGCGTCCCCGTCGCCATGGCGCTCGTTCTGCCCACCTGTCTCGCGCGCGCCTCCTCCGAGGGCGAAGACTGCTACAGGGACACCTCGGCGCGGCTGCTGGAGTTGGCGGCCATTGACCAGAACGCGTTCCGCACCGTCGTGGCGAGCATGAGTGACGGGCAAAAGGCCTTCCTTGAGGAGGTTATCCGGTGGGGACGGCAGCAGGGGCCTACGGAACAGGCCGCGAGCGGGGCGACGGGTCAGCCGAGCATCGCGTTGAAGATGGACTTTGGAGGGTGATATGTGATCAAGTTTTTATGGTTACTTTTTTCCATGGTCCGTGACGGGGAAAGGTTGTAGAGAGGTATGCATAGTAGGAGGAGGAACGTGAGAGGTAGTGCGGCGTTGGAGGGGTGGCATTGGGGAGAAGATGGCATTAGACAAGATGCGACTGTTGCTGCCGGGTACACTTTCCTGCAGGAAACCCAAAGACAGACGGAGGGGGATTTCAAAAGTAGATGTTACAAAAGAGCAAGAATCATGCCGGCAAAGCCTATGAATCGAAGTCGTGTTTTTTTCCGTTCCCTCTCCTAGGGGCTGCTGAATTCCCATTCGTTACGATATGTCAGGACTACTGGGTGATGGGATGTCGCTAGCCGGAGAAGGGGGGGGGCAGGGATCAAAACGCATCCCGTCAACTCGGATCTTGCGTGACCACGGGCTTGGAAAAGAAAGTATGAAGTCGGTTCCCGTACTTTTTTCATCCGGCGTGGAAGATTCGAAGGGGGATTTGAGATTCTCATCCGGTCTGGAATTTCTCCATCGATTGGTATTGCTTTTTCTTTTCGAGAAGGAGGGTAGTGGTTTGTTTACGTGCAGGAAGAGGGAGGATGGTGAGGGACGACATCACGTCACATTACACGGCTTCCCCTATTGGGAGTCTAGAATCAAGAAATCAAGAAGTGTGGCTTTCTCGTGTAAAGAACCATGCTTCGGCCAAGACTCGTGAACTCCTCTGACGATTGGCTTTTGGCATAGCGGGCTCTTTCCCACATCCTATTCCTCCTTCTTTTCTAGATACCAATCCAGAGTTCCGTTGATCATTTGCTTTCCTCACGAATGCAGAGACACGTCCCCGTAAATGCCACCGTTTTCGTGCAGAGTACCCTTACATGAGATACCTAGATGTAGACGAAGCAGAAGGCATGCCAAGGTAGCAGTGTAATGCGTACTGCTTTGCAGGGGTTTAGAAAACCAGCGCAAATGCAGGTAAGTAACCGCGTGCCGCCCACCCACACCCTCCAAGCTGCGCTGTGCCATCGATTTCATCGGCACGAGACCGGGGAGGTATCGACTTTTCAATACATCCCGTCTGCACTGGGGCAAGATGAACATATCAGAAGAAAAGCAGGTAAACGGGGGGTGGACAGCAGTATATGGGATTTTGGACCTTAGGGACACGCATTAAAGTGTACGTTCGACGTAAACGGATCCCTTCCTCCGAATTCGGGCGTATGGATCTAGTTAACTGCCAAAATATGTGCTCATGAACTTCTCCGTCCTCAGATAACCGGATGTATCGGTAGATGTTGGATGTTTGCTATATCATCTCTCCAGTCGGGCTCGCTTGTCTCGAAGCCGAAGCCGAGGCCAAGGCAGTGGCAGACACACACACACACACACACACACACACACACACACACACACACACACACACACACACAGGTAGCTGCATAAACCCTTGTCCAAGCTTGACGTATTGGTGTGACGAGGCCAATGCCGCCATTGTGGATTTCTCTTTTGTCTGGCCTAGCCTGGGGCCAGAAGCACCGGTTAGGCTTGTACCCGTACCGATGAAGTGGTCTGAAGGAATACGCAGTATGTAGCCATGCGCAAGCGCGCGGCGGGTATTGGCGATGTGGCTGTTAGTCCAAGGACCATCCAAGAGACAAGACAGAAACCGGGGTAGAGGGAGAAGTGAGGGGAGAGAGCGTGGGATCCCTTGATGCTTATCACATCTCATACAAGTGGGCTTTACCAGCACCAACACTCAGCATTTGCGATGCCAACAGAGGCCTTAGACGGTGTATCGGGATCCCCTTCTTGCATTGTTGTAGAGATGAACAGGTGGTCCGTAATGCCGAAAAGCAAACGCATGTTTGCTTGCTGAGCCGAGGACAGAGCAGATGGGCATACCATTAGCTCTTCTCAGCATCCCACCACCTGCAGTGCCATCACCACCACCACTGCCTTCTGGGAGCTGCCATGAATCAAATGTGGGTTTGTGGAAAGTGGGCGGCGGCGGCGGGATCTCGGTCGGTATGGCATACGCTGGTGTGCCACGGTGAGGAGAAGGAGATGATGGATCGATATTTTCGTTGAATCAGATTCTGACAGTTCGTCATTCTCCAGTTCCTTTCCCAGATATATCCCTTTCATTGCCGGAGGGGACGAAGATGTGTTGTCGGGGAGGCGGACGTCGTCGCCGGATTCGAAGCGTCCACAAGTCCGTGACTACGACCACATATTACGGGCGTATGTACGTACAGTCGGGCGGCATATGCATAGCTCCCCGCTCTCTTCACTCCATGTCGCTTCTCCTCCGCAGCATTCTTGCTTTCCTTTCTTTTTTCTTCCTTCCACTTCACATTCGCCTCACGGGACGGGGCCAGGAGTAGTTATAGATTGTGCAGGTGAGACAAAAGCCTCGGTCGGCCAAACGGCTGTAGAAGACGTTAGCCCGCTTCCAAACCGGCCCCTCCAAACTTTGGCAGCATACCCGATGAATGAGGCCTTGACAAGGCGGATAGCCGCATAAGACCTGTGGCCAATTCTGGTAACACTAGGCTGGTGTCGGCTCAAATTCGAGGGGTTCCAGGTATAGTCCGTTCACAGGCGAGGGGCGTACGAGTATGTCATCGAGCATCTCAGCCGCCTCTGGATGCATTGCCTGCCGCAACCCGGGCCTCGTAGCAATCTAAAGACCGACTCCGGCATAACGCCTAGTCTCTGATCTCTTTTATCTTGACCAAGTGTCGACCAAGCTGATACTCGAGCGAGGTAGTTGATCCGGTGAACAAGATTAGTCGCTTTGACTGTTGGTAACGAGCGTTTTTCCGCATCTGGACGCGTGCTTGTCACTCGCTGACCTGGGGCTCCAATCTCGGTATCCAACCAACCATAGACCCCAAACTTCATCAGTCGCCGTGTCTAGCGCAGGATGCAGGATGCAACGACGGCGTTGGCCCTATCGATGTTGCTTGGCCCGAGGCTGCGTCTGAGCCGTACACGCTGTCCGTTCGCTCGTAGATTCGTCTCGGCCATCACGGGATTCAATCAACATGCATCGAGTCGCCCATGTTTGCCTCATAGGTTCAATCGGGAGACTTGGAGGTGGTCGGTTCGACTAAATCGTCAAAATTGTCCGATTCCTGTCCAATTACATTATTGGTGATGAATTCTACGCTCCATCGGGCAATGAGCGGATGGTGACAACATCCACAATGCCTGCTTCGTCAAACATCGTGACCCGAAAGAAAGTTCGGGAGTCCTAGCTAGCACAGGAGGGGTCTTGCAAGTGCAAGAGTAAATCAGGAAATATCCATCTCAACAGAGACATCATGCATCAAGCGCCCGGGGACACGTCGTCTGGTGCGTGTTCACTGGGTGGCAGCACTGGCTGAATGCCTTTCTATCATCCTTTCCATTCCTTGGACCCTGACTTAGAATGGTGTGTGGTACCACAGGCAACCACCGGCTCTTTTGGTTTTTCTGGTTCCGATTGATGAGAAGATGACGATTCGCCAGATGGCCCACTACTACTCGAGCTGGACGTCGCCAATGACTTGGACTTCTCGTTCGACCTCTTCTTTTTCGACGGGTCGCCGCTCTTCTTTGTTGGACGAAAACCCGGATTTTGTGACTGTCCTTGGGCGATTCCTTCGTTAGTCAGACGTGCCTCGATCTCGTGGCCGCTCAAAGACTTTCCGTCGAGTGCCTTGACAGCGCTTAGTGCGGTATCTGGCGTCCGGAACGTCGCAAAGGCATGGCCGCCTTTTCTTTGGTTGTTGGAGCCGCGAGGGATATCAATTCTTTGAAGCTCTGATTTGCTCGATGTACTTTGCTGGATAAAAGCCCTGATCTGGTCATCCGAAGTGTTGCGACCGATGCGACTGACAACAATTCTTCTCTGTTCAGTAATAACGGTTTGGTCAGGGGAAGCAGGGTACATTCCACTGTGACCGTCGTACCACGCGACCGGCTGCTGACTGTTGTAATATCCTTGACTAGGATTAAAAGTATTCGGATCCCACTGCAAAATACAGTATGTCAGTAAACCTATCTCCAATGAACCCTCTCTTGCCGATGGTCCTACCTGAGGATATGATGCTCCTGGATAGGAATCATACGGGTAGGGGCCAGCTTGCTGATAGCCTAACGCTGATTCATGTCTTTGCGATCTCGCTTGCGTAGATGCTGAGTTCTCGTTCACCTCGACGTCTTTGATCATAATGGGACTTGATATATTGCGATCGTCAAACATGATCCGCCTGCCGTGAAACACGCCCTCTTTCAGGCGATCTCGAATGTATGTTAGCGAATGGCTTGACGTTGCCAGCCGGCCGGGTACACCCACTACATGCACCGTGGAAATTGTGTTGGCCCATCACCCTAATCCAGCCAGAGGTACTGGGCCCAAAGATTTGAACATGATCAACAACACAACCTTCGCGGAGCCAATCCTTGAATTGTCTCCAGTTTGTGTCGAAAGGCAGCTGTTTCGTCTGTCAGGATATCGTTTCATTTGCGGTGTAGCCGGTGTCACGAACGTTTGCTATGGGTATGTAAAAGGTTCCGGTTTCCAGACCGGGAGGGACCATTTGCGGTTGCATGTTGGCGCGGGATGACGGGAAGCAACTTCTGACACGGACTCTGTCCAACGTTAGACGCCAACGTCTTGACCTGACTGGTGATTATGTGACGGCGTGAAGAACCAAGCAGTGACAGGATCTCGTGGGACACAAGATCCAGTGATGAATCACAAAGCCTTGGCCGTCCTCGAATCGACTCGGACAAAACAAAGGGAAGAGATTATGTTTTGCGGTGGTGAGGAGAGAACAATGGAATTGGTCTTTTATATTGGGTTACTTCTCTCTATCCTCCACGTTTCCTCGTGGAGGAAACCACTGAGAAACCAGGTGATCAGATGGCCAATGAAGAGAAATCTGGTCCTTAGATCGAGGAAAGGGAGTTTCCTGCTAGTGCTGCCCCCGGGTTATCCCAGTCTGAACCGGTACTTGGCAGGCAGACATTCCATCTTCGTTGGAAGTAGTCGTCCTGGCTTGGGTACCCGACCCCATGCTCTGCGCTTCGGGGTTCCTTGTCTGTGCCAACCAACACATCCGCTGGTGAATCGGCCGAATGGTCAGACGGAGTCAGAAATGATCTGGTACCGAATACCCGCAGTGCATCAGCGCCAAAGAACGTCGCAACGCAAGAGGTGAAATGCAGCTCATTAGATCGTGCCACTGAGCTTCTCCCTTGCAACGCATCGTAAAACGACAGCCACCATGTGGGGTCCAGCTTGATGCAAGCTTGTTTTGGGCACAGTCACCTATCGCGCGCATATGCTCTTTGACTATTGTCGGGTCGAGTAAGACGGGTTGCTATCATTATCGAGTCATCCGAAAGTATGTGCCGTGAACCTGGTCATTGGAGGCTGCGATGTAAGCTGCGGCTCGGCAACAGACAGATTTTCTCCCTTGAGTTCGCGTCGAAGCCAAAAGAACGAACGAACAGGGTTACATTTTTTTTTGGTGATAGCCAAAAAGGCTTCCCTTTTCGACTGACTCGTCCCGATCCGGAGAGGGAGCTAGGGACACCATTGAGAGCAACGACCAGGGACCATCGGTTTCTCAGATGGTCCATGAACAGCTGAAAATGCTGATCAAAATCCGAATGCATTCTGAATCTTTGCCCTTGATCATCTACAGCCAATGGCAGGTTGAAGTAATAGGCTCGAGGGGAGCAGGCTCGGACTGAGAAAGTTCCATCATAGACCCCTGCAATAAGTTGGTGCGATGCTGTGCCGCTGTACGTAGCATGCACCTCCAACACATTGTGATGCCTGGGATTACGTGTGGTCGATACAAATTGGCGACAGTTGAGAGAGAGGCCGTGGAAGACAATGTCCACTAAGCGCGGTGCTGGTAAGCCACGTCAACCTGTCAGAATGACAGACAATTCCTTGGGGAAGCGCCGGTGTTAACCACCATAGTTGGAGCGACAAGCAGAGCAACGGTCAAGGTTTTGCACGATTTCGTGAGGCCCTGTCCTTGTAGCCATGTCGCGGCTGTCTGTGAGAGATGCGAACGCTTACCACTAGCAGCCTTTCCTCGCAAGAGCAGTTTGCACAATGTGACTGCGGCAGTGGCATCCTTGGGGCTTGGAAATGACCACCCCTTTCTGTACCAGGTCGGCGCGGATGCTATATCCACATCGCGCTCGGCTGCAACAGCGTGCAGCCGCGGGTAGCTGGGAAACCAATAAAATCTGCGCCACATCCACAGGTTTGTGGTCTGTCTCCGGATGGTTGTTCGGGGAAGCTTCTGGTGCAGCCGTCTAAAACCAAAGTGGTGGCGCTGCAATCGATCAAGTCCTTTTGAAAGAGAAGGTATCGTCTACCTCGGACATGTCTAGACCGGACAGGTCCTCGTCGAAATCGTCCAGTACAGGCGCCTCCATTTGCGTCTCATCCTTGCCAGTGGTCATTGTCAAATCATTGCGCTGCGCGTCTTGCCATGGGGCTCCGGAGTCCTCAGCGTCTGTAAGTGATGCCATGAGATGATGCTTGTGATCTCCCAGTAGGAGAACGGCAGAATCTCCAGCCCAGTCGAGCCATGATGCTTGAGGCTTTCCCAACACTTTGGCATCGGGTAGCTGCCCTCTAAAGTGAACCGTCTTCGGGCCGTCGGACAAGGGGTCCCAGACGAATACCAAACCTGCGTAATTGTCTCCCTCACACGTAACCATGAGCACTTCGCGCTGTTTTGGGTGCCAGGAGAGAGCAGAAGCTTGGCTGTGAAAGATGAGAACGGCGCGCAGTTCAGATGACGCCAAATCCCAGACCCAAACAGTGCTTGGCCACTCCTCCAAGGTGGTAGCCAAGAGGCTGGATGATGCATCAAAGACGGATAAGGTGCGGGCTAGCTTGGTATCGACAGTGCCGTTGCTCGCTCGGGCCGGGGCAGATACGGACTGGGTCGCGCGTGAAAAGGAGTGCTGTGAACCTGATTGGGTTGTGGCGATTTCCTCTTGCCAGATCTGTCCTCACTGTATTAGTCTACGCCAAAGTTATTGCTCAAAGGTAGGTTGTGTCACCCACCTGAACGGTATCTCTCGGGACAATGGTGGCAGGATGCTCGAGTCTCATCGACTCGGCAGCAGACTTGGTTTCTAGAACGCATACGCTACGGGTGTGGTCGCACACTGCAATGCGAGAGCCGTCCGGACTGACTTGGCAGTGCTTTACCCCCGCGCCGAGTTCGTAATGCTTCTCGTCGATCGTCCAGGGCGAGGGTCCAGACCACGTCTTGAAGAGGCGGCCATCGGGCGTGTAAAACAGGATCTTGTGTCCTTGAGCCGCAGACTCCCACATGAGAAGCCAGCGGCCGTCTGGGGTCCAGGTCAGGCCCTGAGCATCGACAGTATCGGGCTGCCAAGAGCGAAGGACTTGTCGTGTCTTGGGGCGGTGGATACTGGCAATATCTTTACCGGCGACGCGTGTGAGAATGGCCAAATGTCCTGAGCCGGGACGAAGTGCAAAGCCACGAGAAGCTACACTAGCTTGGTGGAACTTTGGATTGCTAATCTCGATGGTTCTCGAGGTGGCGAGGTCGAAGATGGAGAACTTGAGGCCGTAAGACGAGCACATGAAGATCTCGGTATCGGACGCGCCAAACTGAACAAAGGTGGGCTTTAGATTGGGGGTTGCGGGGTTTCGTATGACGCCACGATAGCCTGGACCCGAAGCCGAGTAGATGAGAACCTGATCCGAGAAGCAAGCGAGAATGCGTTTTGACGAAGGTGACCATCGTAAAGCGTAGACAGGGCCGAGATTGGACGACAGCTTGACGCTATGGATAGTCTCCAGGGTTTCTACAGATCGTACACTGACACTGGTGGGCGACAGGGTTGCAATCAGGTTACCATCAGGACTTGACGCGCAATGGGGCGATGCTGTCAACGGTAAGCCTTGAGCAAAGAATGGACAAGAAGATGTTGAGAGCCTTACATTTGAAGATCCTTGAAAAGTGCATGATGCATGAGGTTGAGAGTTGTGTGTTGGAAGGCGCGAGTGTGGTATGAAGCCTAGGTACGGTACTTTACGTCAGGTACCCAAAGACGAGCCTGGCTTGTTTAGGAAAGTCTGAGACAAGGTAAGTGAAGTCTACTCAGTACCGAGTATTCCTTCGGGAAGTATCAAGGGACGGGTGTTTCTGCCGAAACGAAAAGGAGCAGGGTTTCTTTTTTGCCTTAGGTGAAGATGAATTGGGCAAGCGTTCCTGAGTCTCGGCAGTGGTGGAGTCTTGAAGAAAAGCCGTTGTTGCAATGGAAGGAAACAAGGTTGCTTGTCTGCGTCGCGGTTGTTTACATTGCTTTCTGTTTTAGACTAGCGCGGGGCTCTCTCACCTGTGGTCGCAGTGGCCGGGCTGTCTCCGGCTCCATGGAAGTTGCCGGCCGGACGACGGTGGGAGAGGACGCCGGGAACCAATCAGCACTGCGCTATTTCGCCAGCACCTGCCAGCACCTCAATCGCCGCCGAACCCCGCCAGAGTCTGGACACCCTTCGCCCAGCTCCGTCCGCCCCGATAACCTGTGCTTGCGCTTGTGCATACGCCCTTCAGCGGCACTGAGCGGCTCTTTCCCCCCTCACTTAGTCTCACTTTTTGGTGCAGAGAAGTCGCTTTAGTGTTGTCTATCAACGGGCTTACCTCACTCACAGATAGGTAATCGCCACGCTTTTGCTGACTCACAGTGTCACATATCTCATCATCGTGATGGCAATTTCACTCTTCACCCTTGAACTAATCTAAATGTCATCCATCTCATAGTCTCCCTCCATTTTCATCTTATCAACAATCATCATCATATGTCAGGGTTATGTCAACCATGGGAATGAGCAGCGCGTGATTGTTCCTCTTTTCTCTTTTCTCAAGCTCATCTCACCCATCGCCTCTCACTCATATTTCCTCACACTGAGATAGAGCGGCATGAGACACAGCATATCATGGCCTCGCACTGCCTTGCGCAGCAGCGGCCAACTATCACAGCGATGCAGACTATCACAGGCGGCATGCATACCTCACACGCAGACGCAGACGAGATGTCTGAGTGCGGCGGCCGCTGCAGCCCAAGTCACACCGAGCTCCCAACACCAGCCACTCACCACCCGCCGGAGTCTCATCAAGGATGCGAAGCCCTTCTCCGACTTCCTCACCGATACCTTCCACCGCCAGCACGACTACCTCCGCATATCCGTCACGGAACGCTGTAACCTTCGCTGCCTCTACTGCATGCCCGAAGAAGGCGTGCCGCTCTCCCCGACAAAGGAACTCCTCACCACCCCGGAAATTGTCCTCCTCTCCTCCGTCTTCGTCTCCCAGGGGGTCACCAAGATCCGCCTGACGGGCGGGGAGCCCACGGTGCGCCGCGACATCGTCCCGCTCATGCACCAGATCGGCGCCCTCCGGCCCCACGGCCTCCGGGAGCTGTGCCTGACCACCAACGGCCTCTCCCTCCACCGCAAGCTCGACAGCATGGTCGAAGCCGGCCTCACTGGCGTCAACCTGAGCCTCGACACCCTGGACCCGCACATGTTCCAAATCATGACCCGGCGCAACGGCTTCGACGCCGTCAAGAAGAGCATCGACCGCATCTTTGCCCTCAACAAGGCCGGCGCTGGCATCAAGTTCAAAATCAACTGCGTCGTCATGCGCGGCCGCAACGACGCCGAAATCGCCCCCTTTGTCGAGATGACGCGCGAAAAGGACGTCGAGGTCCGCTTCATTGAGTACATGCCCTTTGACGGCAACAAGTGGAACAAGGGCAAGATGCTGGGCTACGCCGAGATGCTCGACGTCATCCGCGAGACGTACCCGACCCTAGCCAAGGTCGAGGACCACAAGAACGACACGAGCAAGACGTGGCACGTCCCCGGGTTCGCGGGCAAGATCGGCTTCATCACGAGCATGACGCACAACTTTTGCGGGACGTGCAACCGGCTGCGCATCACGAGCGACGGCAACCTCAAGGTTTGTCTCTTTGGCAACACCGAGGTCTCGCTGCGAGATATCCTGCGAAAGTCCAACAATGGCGAGCCCATTGACGAGGCGGCGCTCGAGGCGATGAAGCAGATTGAGATGGACCGCCGGCAGGGGCTGGCGGACGCCGAGAAGCCGCTGGGCGCGGCGCTCAACGAGGCGGAGCTCCTGGACGTCATCGGCATGGCTGTCAAGCGGAAGAAGGAGAAGCACGCGGGTATCGGGGAACTGGAGCATATGAAGAACAGGCCGATGATCTTGATAGGTGGGTAACCGCGGCCCCTTCTCTCTCCTACACTCTTGGTCTACTGGTTTTGGGGGAAAGATTGCCTGTTTGGATTTTTTTGCATTGGGCCGGCGTTGGATACCAGAGGGGATGGTCGAATGGCATACTCAGGGGGAATTTTACACGAAATGAATACGTGTATGTGTATGAATGGAAGGCTGAATCAATAGTTTATCTAGATTCGCAACCGCTTCAACCTTCTCGTCCACTATCTCCCGTCAGGGTCTCCAAGCCAATGTCCATGAGCACGCCCATCAGCTTCAACCCGGCACCTTCACGCCGTCCTCTCGGCGTGCCAAGGGTGCCCATTCACCTCCTCACCCCAACACCACATCACAACTCCCAACTCAGGCTCTTCTCCTCAACCACCACCCGCCGCAACGACGACTCCTCCGATGATAGCAAGACCAGCATCAGCAAAGAAAACAAGTCACAAGCCCCCAAACCATCCCTAACACACATATCCCCCACAGGCTCAGCCCACATGGTCTCCATCGCCACCAAACCCCCCACAGCCCGCATTGCAAAAGCAGCCTGCACAATAACCTTCTCCACCCCCTCACCCATCAACCTCATCCGCGCCTCCCAGATGAAAAAGGGCGACGTTCTCGGCACAGCACGAATCGCAGGCATCATGGCCGCCAAGCGCACTCCCGACATCATTCCACTGTGCCATCCGATCCTGCTCTCCCACATCAGCGTCGAGGTCGAGCCGGCCAGCTCCTCTGAGGAAGAGACGGTGATTTGCGTCGAGGCGACGGTCGAGTGTGAGGGGAAAACGGGGGTCGAGATGGAGGCTTTGACGGCTGCTGGGGCGGCGGCCCTGACGGTGTATGATATGTGTAAGGCTGTGGACAAGGGGATGGTTATTGGCGGGTTGAGGGTTGTGTTGAAAGATGGGGGGAAGAGTGGGCGGTGGGAGATGCCTTGAGGGGATACTTGCTTTTTCATGAAGATCTTCCATCATTTAGTATGGTTGAAAGGGGGTTGAAGTTGGCAGTTGGGTACTCGGAAAATTGCAAAGGACAGGAGTAGAAGATGTTGCTCGCTGTTGCTGAATTTTGTCGTAGAGCAGATCATCTCGGACAAATCCCATTTGGAGCCAGACCAAGGTACCCCTAGATAGCAAGAGCAAAATAGTAAGTGACAATCCCAAGTCAATCATAAAAACACCCCAGATGGCATCCAGAAAGCGACTTTAAGCAGAAGAATAAACTCCTTTATCCACCAATAATCTGAAAGAGTATCCTGAATCCAAGTGCCTCGCCAAACACATACTGCCTCGAGCACCAAGGTAGAAACCAGGCCTCGAAGAACCATATCAGTTCACACCTAGCCACCTACCTCAAACTTCACTGACCCTCCAAAGGAGAGCGCTGCGCGCAGCAAGAACAAGACCACAACCCCAAGGAGTCATGGCAGCCACAATCGGGTGACATCCAAGGCGGAAGTAACAAACGTGTCAACACAACAGCACAAACCCCCTCCTTTAATCCCTACATCAATGAATATACCCCGTCAAAGGAGTGATAAAAAGAGAAAACCAGGTCTCGTGGTCTATATCACTCACTACCAAGTACCTTGCTCTCAAAACGTATTTATTGTATGATACAGCTAGAACCAGCATGCCCTCTAAGAGGTGGCTGCTACTAAAAGGCAGTACACCACGCTGCAACATCTTTGTGTGCTGGATTTCACCATGTTGCCTTGGAATCTACTTATAGCTGACTACCTATGCATTGTCCCCATCGAATAGCGGGCGCATATATAGTTCTGTCGTCCACTTGCCAAGGAGCAGTTTAGATGAACTGATTATTGTATCGCAGAGATGGAAATATATAAGGTACCTTTCAACTGCGGCGGAATGAGGCGATGGAAGCGACTTGGGGAATGTCTTGAACCCACCGTCAACATGGCCAGGGTTGATCTTTCAGTATATGTTTATCTACCAAACCAACGTCGGGCCAAAACATACAATGCTCTTGCTTAGAATATGTACCGTATTAACATGCCATTCAAGAGAGGTGTTCAAACGCTGGGATGCTATAATCATGACACCAAAATGTGACAATTTGCTATGGAGTTGGGTATAGCTACAATAAAATGTACTCCACCAATCTCTCTCTCACTCTTTCTCTTCCATCTTTATACAATCTCACTACAATCTCACTCCAATCTCCCTTTCCCCCCACCTCTATCGCTCGTCACGCATCCTTCATCCTAGAAACTATGAAAAACCTCCGCCTCTACGAAAACTCAGCCTTTATCTCCTTCCCAACACACATCGCAATCCAATCCGCAATCGCCATATTCGTAATCATGGGATTCACCCCGCTCGCGCTAGGGAACACACTCGCATCCGCAACAAACAAATTCTCCGTACCCCAAACATGGCCCTTGGGTCCCACCACGCCCTCATCCTCGTTAGGCGCCATCCGACACGTACCCATCTGATGCGCAGACGAAAAGATCGCCACGGGCGGCGCGTTACCCACCCGGCGCAACTTATCCAGCCACGCAACGAACTTGGGATCGTTGACCCCGTCCAGAATCGCCTCGTCGCCGCTGTCTTCCGAAGCCGATGACACAGTCTCCTTTTCGGGAGGAGGTTCGGCGTGGTCCTCCTTGACAAACGGCTCGAGGCCCGGCAGACCGGCGTGGATCTCCGTCGCGCCCTCGACGTAGCAGATCTTGCAGAGGGCGACGACGCCCTCGAGGGTGTTTGCGCGGTCAAAGTCGGAGACGACGTAGTCGATGCGGGGGCGGCCTGAGACGGGGTCCGGGTACACGCGGCCCGGGTCGCGGTCGCGGGTGAGGGAGATGAAGGCGCCAAAGTGGCGGAAGCGGAGCTCGCTGAGCTTGGCCTGGAGGCCAGAGTGCCAGGGCATGCTGGACAGGATCGCGTAGGGCTATGAAAGGCGTTAGTGGACACATTTGGATTGCAAAAGGTTTTGGAGCTGGAACGTACAATCATGCAAGTAGGCTCCAGCTTCACGCCGTGGCCTGCCTTGTCGAGGTCCTCAAACGAGGAGCAGTAACTCGTGATGATACCGCCTATGTTTGCTTCACGTTAGTAACCAGGACGCAAACTCATATGACGTGTTGTTCAGTCACTCACCCTCCCATGGCTTGCAGTCCTCCTTCCAGTAACCTCCCACAAAGTTGCAGGGGTGCACGTAGAGGTTGCGTCCGAGATGTCGGTTCTAGACGTTATGTCAGTAAAGCGGACGAAGAAACGCGCAATCGAGTAATATCGACTACTCACCGTCAGACCGCTCCTCAACAGCACCAAGGGACTCGAAACTGATCCAGCCGACATGATGACCTTCTTGGCCTTGATGACAACCTGTCGCGTGGTCCGCTGCTCCAAAGGCGCGCTGGTGCTCCCATTAGCACCCCGCGACACCCATTTTCCAACCACACCCGTGGCTCGCCTGGACCCGCTGGACTCGTCAAAGGTAACCTTTTCAACCTCGAAGCCCTCCATAAATTTGGCTCCGGATCCCGCCGCCGCTGGCAGCCAGCTGACAGTGGGACCCTGCTTCTCCGTCGACCCACATCCGAGATGGCACTGCCCGCAATAGTGCTCCGTTCCGCCCGTGTTCTGCGGGGCCGTGGTAGCATGCCACCCGAGCTTCCGGGACCCGTCCAGCAGCACCTGGTTACGGTGGTTATGACGGACCTTGTCGGCGCTGACGCCCATGAAGTCGCAGACCTTGTCCAGGCAGTTTTGGAACTGGGGCGAGGTGAAGAAGGGCAGGCCGCGCTGCTCCGACCACTCCTTGCGGACGAATCCTTGCGTCTGGAGACTGACGCTCCAGTTGACGGTGCCGCCGCCACCCCAGCAACTGCCAGCGACCATGTTGAGCGAGTTGTCGTCGCTGGTGATGAAGCCTCCGTTTTCGTACAGGAACGAGCAGCCGGCATCCTGCGACATGGGGAGCTGACTCGGAGAGTAGTAGTACGACTTGTCGACAACGAGGACCTTGTGACCTGCCTCGGCCAGGACCTTGGCAGCGACTGCTCCTCCGCAGCCCGATCCGACGATGACAACGTCGGTCTCTACGACGGCTGGCGAGCCGGCCGACTCGAATTGCATAAAGTTGAAATCAAAACCCTCACCATGCGTCTGGAAGTCCGGCATGTCGGTGTAGTCCGTCAACTCTATGAACAAAGGGTTGGTCTGCACGGCGGCCTTTTGCGCCAAGAGACATATTGACTTTGATAGGACCCTGATTGTTGGGAGCCTGGACGTCTGCCAAGCCTTCAAAATCTGCTCACGGACTTCTAGCGGTTGAAGGTGGACTGGAGTCCAGTAACCGGTGAGAAACAGCGTACCGGCGCGCGTGCTGTCATCTTTGGTCAGTTGTGGTTCACAGCGAACATCAAGAGTGAAGCATCGTGGCCTCGTTCACTAGTCGTCACTTACCCAAGAGCGCCCATCGCGCCACCGAGCTGACGTTGCGCGCCAGACGGCAGGGCCGCGAGTGTCCTGGTGATGCTCTCGATAAATTTGGGCTCCTTTGCCGGGTTGTGCGCCATGTACTCCTGGAACTTTTCCTCCGAAGGCGGTTTCTTCATAGTGTTCTGTGCGAGTTGGAGCGCGGCCGCATATTCGGCATCGGACACTCGGATCTGGCTCGTTGTGTCTGTGAGAGTGGCCGGTCGCGAGATGGGCGGGAGGACCGCCTCGAGCAAGGACAGCAGAACGGTCCATTGAGTCTCGTTCCAAAAGTCGGTGGTCGGCAACGCCGGAAGCTGAAGCTCGACGGCTGTGCCAGGAATCGTCTTTGGCAGAGTAGCCATGATGAAGCGGATTGAAGCGTGATGGTAAGTAAATACAGAGGGATGAGAATAGTAATCAAAGGGGGACGGGTCAGTGGTACAACGCGATACAACGTAGAAATAGCTATAAGAAGGGGTAGAAGAACAATGACAACAACAAAGTTACGCAAGGTCGGATGAGGGGCAGCTTTGGAGTTAGCTATAGTTCCAATTGACACATGAGCGATGAAAAGGCACCTCGGAAGCTCATGCTCGACTGATGTCAGGATGTGTGGGAAGGCAACGGGAAAACGAGTCGTCGTTAGCAACCCCCTGCTGCTCGCATGGTGGTGCTGCAGGGGTTCGTGTTTGCCATGGATGCGGGGTCTGTGCGACGAAGCATCTCCATGGATCTCTCCATAGCCATCTCCTCTTTCTGACTCTCACTCTCTCCTTCGTTCTATCTAGCTATCACCTCAGGCAGATGGGACCCTATTCCCGATCCGGTATGTTATTGGAGTGGTCAAAGATTCAGCCAACCGCCAGCTTTGCGGCTAGAGATTGGATACCATGACTGGTTCTGAACCGTCTCTTTGTTTGTGGTTGCAGAATCCATCAAAAAGGAGTCTCGGACCTATGATTTCCCCCACCGGACCAGGCCAACACAGAGCTGTCAACACCATAGATGTGCAACTTTCTCTCTGCATTGGCGGGGTATGGCGCTACTGAGCGGCACTTGGGCGCATGTAACCCTCTCAACCCGGGCGCGAGTGGCGTAGTACGGGAATGGGGAGTTGAGAGAAGCTGCTTGATGCGGGGAACGGGGACTCAGGCTCGATGGCGACGGGGCCTCGTCGGAATCCGATAGTTTCTTCATCAGTCATCACCAAACGAAAGTCCCTTTTCGACGCCATGTTCACAGTATCCCACTGCATGAAGCAATGCTGAAGTGGGAGCAAAGAGACGCCCGATGCGGCATCCCACTGTCGAACGAATAGAGGCGCGGCTGCTGCACGTGTTGCCTCATGTCTAGATTCTTTCAAGCGTATTGGTTTTGAAACGACACAGCCGCGAGCTTATGTTTGTCGATAATTCAGCCACCATGGCTCCAGATGATGGACAGATTGTCGGACTCGCCCGTCAAGCTTGAAAGTGCACAGCGACGCCGACAGGAATGATGCTGGGTTGTCTGCTGCAGATCGTACGTTACCGTGGCTTGGGGTAAGATTCTTAGATTGTGGGGCAGATCGATGATGCGTCTCATCGACTCGGCCGGGAAGCATTGAGCCTCGGCTCGCATGGACTGATCGAAACGGGCAAGAAAACTCATAGGGTTCCCAGCTGTCCTTGTCATGAACTTGTTTGTTGAAAGCTGCGTCGAACGATCCGTTGGCGTGACCATGATCTTGATCCGGAGAATCGCGAGTGGCATCGCCAGAATCTAATGTTTGCACAAGTTGTACATTTTGGAAGAGCCAGGTCTGTCGTCACGGATCCGGCATTGGGCGGCCCGCCGCCTCTTCCGTCTCAAGCACAGCCGCTGTAATCCATGGCTGACAACTTGCGGAAGACCAGCGCCGTGTGCTGCGCCGACGCATGAGCCAAGGCATCAGTTTCCGGTCCGGCGCTAGAGAGAACGGCGTAGTCCGGTCCTGGAGTATCCGGGTCCGACTGCCGGTGGCGCATCGGGTCTGCCGCTTGGCACCATCAACCTCGCCGGGGGTCTACGAGCCCGGGCGAGCGGACATGTAAGCGGCGAATCGAGCTAACACTGACAGCAGGCGGACGTGTCCCAGTGGGTATGGTGGCCAAAATGCAAGATTGGCCCCCCCTCAAATCTGCAGCTACAGGCCGCGGCTAAACCAGACGTGGACACTTTTCAGGGTCCAGCGGCGGGCCTATCCATCCGTGCAAGGGGGGCTGGGTGTCATCTGGCGATGGGCGGTCTGGCGGCCAAGAGGGTTCAAAGGGGAAGCTGGGGCCGGGATTTGCCCTTGAAGCCGAATTTGTTGGGGAAAGGAAACGAGAACGACTTGGGAAATGCATGTGAGAGTCGATCTGCGAAGAATTGTTGACTGACGGCGAACAAGGCGCGTAAGCCAGCAAGCTCTTCCTGGTCGGGTGATTTCCGTGTTGCAACTGCGGTAGGCAAAAGTGAGTATCCGTACGAAGACAGAGTAGAGTATTGGAGGCGGCTTTGTTGTAGGTGCTTGGTTGATAATCTGTACAGCGTACAGAGGTATTACACAAGAGACTGTCATGTGAGTGCTACCACCGACGCATTGTATCATGTCTGTGTACGTTGACACTCGTTAGGGAGGCTTCAACATGTACTGCTAATTAGTACGAGAAAGTTTTGATATCATAACGCAATACTCCGTACACTCTTGTCCATTCCGGCCGGGTAGCCCGTCTGCTCCGAACTCGTGTGACAATATCATCATCAACAGATGACGGAATCTTGGTCGCGGACTGCTGGCAGAAGCACGGGGGGATGGCGAAGACCATGGCCCTTGTCGCTCACATGCCAAACGATGGCCATTCAGCTACTTCATGATGATTAGATAATGGGAGAAAGAGGGTCCTTGCCTTCAACAAGACCGTCCGTAATCGAGAAAGGTGGAAATCAAAAAGAGGGAAGAAAAAAAAACTTCGATACGATGAAGAGAAGATTGACAGCATTGGGCTTAGCGTTCCCCCAACAAAAAGGACGAAGGTCGGGTAGCCATGCTCCACGGCGGATGGACACTTGATGATTCGTGACGTGGACTACTTCATGCGCGTTAGTGTACGACGCCAAAAGCCCACGCTGGCGTTACCAGAAATTGCGTCCAACGACGGAGAGTACCTGTCGCATCCCCCACTAACCACCCACAACGGACCAGGGGCAACTTGCAAGGGGTGTCAGCCTGGGCTTCCAGAAGGCCGGCGATGGCCACGGGCCCCTGACAACCCGGCTGCGAGTCTCCAGGATGAGAATTGCGTTGCGCAGACTTGACTAGACTCGTGATTATCAGTTGCAGCCCTGATCAGGACTTCAGGAGTCCGGAGCTCCCGATGGGGGTTTGTAAGAGTCGGTTGTCCTTGAGGTCTTGCCCAACATTGATCTCATGGTGATCTCTCTCGTAGCCATCGCATAATGTCCAACGTAGCGTGACCCAAGGGCACTGACTGGGCACAAGTCAGTGAGTGCCACCGCGAATTCTGATAATACCAAAAGAGGTGTCGAGATTGGGCCGGCGAGAGAAAGCCGTGGCCATGTCCCGAAAATAGAGTTGGAGCTGGTGTCCAAAGCTCCCAATGCGCCATTGCCGTTGTCGGAAAGACAAATGTCTGGGACTCTGGGCTGGGCAATGGGTTCCGGCAACGTCCCCAAGCAAGATCCATGTTGCAGCTTTTCAACCGTTTCAAAGCGCCTGAGGAACTGCGCACATCGGTGAGTGAGAGGCTACGAGTTATCGTACGGAGTACAGACGTACGGATGGTACTGGCTGCCGCGGCGCGAAGACTTTTTTTTCTCTCTCGTTCAACGTGCGATGCTCAATCGGTTGAACCCTTCTGGGACATTTGCTCCGGGGCGTGTAAACCCGTTCGTAGACGCATTTCGGCGTTGCCATATCGCCGCCTAGTCCGTCGCAGATTTGCAAGAATGGTTGTCGACTCGTCGTCTTCTTCAAGGCTCAATCAAGCTGTTGGTTCCCCCCCCCCCCCCCCCCCGCCATTGTTCTTGGTAGCTTGTATCTTTGGTGTTGCTCGGGCCCATCCTGCAAATCCCCCCCATGCTTGCTTGGGGTGCCAGGATGGGCTTTAACGACGGAACAAGGATGATGTCGAAAGAAGCCGAGGCAAGAACTGAGGAATTTGGTCATTTTAGAGCAGGTTGAGCTTGGATGGGAAGATGGAACCGAACCGAACCCAACCCCCATCCATCCATCCATCCATCCAGTGGTGCCAATGTGGTCGAGGCCGTTTGACTTAACATGAACCGGTGATGGTTTGCAGTGCCTTTCGTCCGTTGTCAAGCTTCGAGCTGTTATTCATGTGCCTCTCAACAATGTTCAAGGTTGGTGTACCCAGCAAGTATCCACCAGCACTAGGAGTGACCCGTACATACCTGTACTCTGTATCCGTATGCCCCGGTCTTTCGTCTCCAGACAGCTGGTTACTGCCATCACTGGCGAGGAAGAACGGAAAGAACATGTGCCTTTAAGAGCTTGGCAGGACCTGCCGTGTCGAATCGACGGCTGCGGATGTCAGTGGTGGAATCCACATTGAGTAGTACCTCCCGCGGCCACCCGACAAGCCGGGCAAGCGCGCACGAGAGACTTGCGACTTCAGGAAGGCGGCGAAGGCCATGTGCGCCTGCATTTTCCCGGCATTTTTGGGGTTTGATCCGTCCGTTGTTGTCAGGTACTTTGGTACCTTGCCTCCTTACATGATGTATTCCTTCGCAGGAGGGGAGGAAGGCACCTTGGATCTCATGCTTTCCAGATTCACCGATTGACACCTACCTACGTGACCTACGAGGATTCTCCCAGACTTTGATTCTTCTTGTCTGCTGCTTGAAGACGGGAGTCGTGAGGGGGGCCTCGTTATGTGTGGTAAGGTACATGAAAGTGACAATGTACGTGCTTCAACGTCGCATAGCATTGAGAAGCTAGTGCGAGCAGGACGAGACATGACAAGGCAAGGCAAGACACCACGACATCAGATACCTCATCTCTCACCAAACAAGAGAGTACGGAATAGCCATCGTCACTCTATGGTCTGGAGCAGAGACAGACAGCCGCCTTGCCGTTGCCGTTGCCGTTGGCCGTGCCGCACCTGACACCTTCCGTTGTGCGGCGTGCCTTTGCTTTTCAGCTAAGCAAGAACTTGACGTGCGTGCACTTTGTATGGTCTTGACTTGCATCACATCGTCTCGCCTCGCATCTCATCCGTTCCGTTGCCGTTGCGCCTTGGCCCCAGCAGCATTGCTTATGACTAAAGCCCGTGCAAAAAAGACAAACCTCTTTCCACACTCTCTCCCTACTCCGTACACACTAAGTGCTGAGTGAGTCCTGATGAAGACACTCCCCGCCAGATCCATCACTTAACCCGGAGCTACATATATACTTGGTACTTGGTGTGCCGGGGTGGAGGGGGTTGACGAAGGGGAAGGCAAGGCACGGTATCCGTAAGGCAAGGCAAGGGAAAAAGGTGGGAGGGGAGGAGCCGCTGGTCTTAGTCTCAGCACATTTATCCACACCTCTCTCTCTCTCTCTGGTCTCTGGGTCACTCTCTCTCACTCATCCAGAATTTCAACCTTCCCCTTCCCCATATTAAGGCCTCGAGGATCCCTTCGCATTGACCTTGTCGTTTGTTGTCCCTTCTTCCTTCTCTATTCCCTTCTTCTCTCCCAAGCTCATCCGGCACTCTCATCCCCTTCGACAGCCCCTCGTTGGACAGGAACGTTGTCCTGGACTCTGTCTCGAGCCCTCTCTTTCGCCAGACCACTTTGTGCCACTCCGTCTAGAGGGAAAAAAAAGAGTTTCCATCTCTCTCTTATTTGTCCTCTCTTCTCTCCCACGTTCGTCCACCACCTCTTCCGGACCGAACCGCATACCAGTCGCTCGACGATCGAATCGACTACATACCGTCTCTTCCACCAACGAGCCAATACCCGAGTGTGTTAGCACTACAGCCGTCAGTCTTCGTGCCGAGACATTACTGTCACAAACGACTTTCGAACGTGCGTGCGTTGTTGTGTGTGTGTGTGTCTAGCTTGCTTAGCTTGTCACTCCAATTGCCGCGACTCAGCAAATTCCCCAACGCCCGAGCAATTCACATTGGCGGGACCGCAACTTTTTCCAAAAAACCAAGCCCCAACTCAATTGGTCAATTAACCCCCCACCATGGCCGGCGTCACCGTGCTCGGCGAGCTCCCGTCCGCATCCCTCTTCACTTTCCCGCCCGACGGCGCGCATATGGCCATTCCCCCACCTTTCCCCGGTTCCATCTCCGCCGCGCCCCCCGTCGAAATTCCCGACCACATCTTCACCGCTGCCCTCGACCCCAGGGTTCCCATCACCATCGCCGCTCTTTACGCAGTCACCGTCAAGCTCCTGAACAAGTACAACAACTCGACCAACCGTAAGCCTTGGGGAATCAGCAAGACCAAGCCTTTCTTCGCCTTCGTTGTCTTGCACAATGTCTTCCTCGCCGTCTACTCGGCCTGGACCTTCTGGGGCATGCTCGGTGGCATGCGTAGGAGCGTCGTGAGCCCCTTTGGCCCCAATGGTTTGGCTGCCACTGCCGACAGCTTCTGCCAGCTCAACGGCAACGGAGGTTTCGGCGCCGCCACTGTCTACAACGAGACTGTCGGTTACTGGTCCAGCTTGACCGGTAACAACGCTCTTGGCTTTGATGGACGCCCCAGCCGTGAGGCCACTGGCAGAATCTGGAACGAGGGACTCGCCTTCTACGGCTGGATCTTTTACCTGAGCAAGTTCTACGAGGTTCTCGACACCTTCATCATTCTCGCCAAGGGCAAGCTCAGCTCTACCCTCCAGACCTACCACCACGCCGGTGCTATGATGTGCATGTGGGCTGGTATGCGCTACATGTCCGCCCCCATCTGGATGTTCGTCCTGGTTAACTCCTTCATCCACGCCATGATGGTAAGTTTTGCGCCTATCTTACTCAGTTGAAGCGTTGCTAATAGTCGCCTAGTACACCTACTACACCATCACCGCTTTCAACATCCGCGTCCCCATGGCCATCAAGCGAACTCTCACTACTCTCCAGATCACCCAATTCCTTGTCGGAGCTACATACGCCATGGCCCACTCTTTCGTGTCTTACACTGTCCCCGTGACTGTCTACACTGCCAAGAAGGGCGCCGATGCCATCACCCAGTCATCCACCAGCACTGCCGCCGAGACCGTTGCCACTGCCGCAACTGGCGCCTTCGAGGCTCTCAAGGATATGGTTTTTGGCGCTTCTGCCAAGGTCGCCGAGGAGGCTGCCGCTGTCTCCGTCGCCGCCGCTGCTGCTGCTCCCCCTCAGCCCGGCTTCGTTGCCGAGACCATCTTCGTCACCCAGCCCTGCGTCACCACCAGCGGCGAGACTTTTGCCATCTGGCTCAACGTCCTGTACCTGGCGCCGCTCACCTACCTGTTCGTCATGTTCTTCATCCGCAGCTACATTCGTCGCAGCACTGCCGCGCCCAAGGGCAAGGGCAAAGCCCGCCGCGAGAGCAACGTCACTCTGGCGGAGAAGGCTGGCTGGGACGCCGCTCGCGAGGTCAACCGCGAGATCTACAATGGCTCTGCCTCATACAACGTCGAGGGCAGCCCCAAGCGCGCTGGCAACGGCAAGGCCAAGCACTAGGGAAAGCTGGCACGCATGGATCGGTCCTGATCAAGGACGTCATGGGGGAAAAACCGAACAGGGGAAACACGGCTGGAAGAGAAGCCTGAGAGAGAGAGGTTCTCGTGCAGGCGGCATGGTGTTTGATTCAACGGCGTTTTGAGCTGGGAAAACATGATTGGGGTAAAGCATTTGCATCACCCGGAGCGCTCGTTATCTAGTCGTGATCGTCTAGTGTCTTGCATTTCGCGCGCAGGGTAAATAGGGCGAGCCGGTTGTCATCCATCCGGTATTAGTATGTATAGTCATCATCAATATCAAGTTTACCAATTGCACTTTGGTGCATATCGATCTTGGTTCAAAAATGGTGTCCAACCCGGAACATTACGGCAGAGCAAAGACCATGCCGTGGTCATTCCAGTCACACGTGAGTGGTAGACCTCGCTCAGCTCTTGGTTGATACACATCCGGGGGTGTCGAGGCAGACGGATAACGACATACTCCGGAAACGGACAGCGGCGATGTGAAAAAGCCACCTCGTGTTGACGACGCGGCAGCGGCGAATTGTGGGGCTTATACCCGAGCTGTTGGGTCCGATCCGCCGGACCATCTTCTCCGCAGTTTTTCGTCGTCTTCCGGATGTGGGTGGGGCTATAACCCGGAGCTCACTCCGATGTGGTCGGAAAGGAGAGGGGGTGGGGGTGGATCTACTGAACGCGTGCCGTCTTCAGCCTCTTTTTCCTTTTTCTTCACCTGCAGATCCACCTTGTCGATCTCTTGATCGTGACTACCTACTGTCTCTGGTTTTTCTGGGGAAAGTGTAGTGTGTAGTGACTCACTTTCAAGATCCGAGTGTTCTGAGTCAACCATGCGCCCAGGGTCACGCGACACAGTCGTTTGCTTCAACTTCGCGACAGGGTAGAAAGGAGTGATGAGTCGTCGACAAACTTTTATGGTTCTGTCAAAGCGTCCAAGCCACCTCGGCTTTCTCAAGTAAGGAACAGGACGGGCTTTTGTTGTGTCTGGGTTGGGGGGTGGGGGTAGAAGTCGATGATGCTGGGAGTTCGTACATGCCTACGCCGGTCGAATCACCACTGCATTGTGCAACACGAATTCGAACAACATACCCGATGCCAACGGGCGCAAGGACTCATCCTTGAGAAGTATCGACACGAAACGCCATGTCGACGATCGCATATAGATGTCAAGTACCTAGTTTCCTCTGATTGTCTCGGGGGACGTTACGTCCCACTTGGGCACAACGCCGCTAATTGAGATGGGAAATGTCTCGGCCCTAGATGGGGGGGGGGGGGGGGGGGGGGGAGAAAGCCCCGGTGCGGGATTGTGGATTCGCGGGGTGGCATAGGTATCTGTCAAAGCCCAGCATTTGCAGATCGGCATTCGAGATGTCGCCGCGTTCGTCCAACTTTGTGAGACTATCTGGCGTGTTCTCTCGCGGGACCACAGCCGCCCTGGGGCGTTGTTATACCTTGACTCATCATCTCTTTCCACACATGAACAGATTTTATTCCCAACACCGCCTGTCGTAATATGACATGGTTGCCTTTTAGCCACAAAGAGAAACCGGCCTGTTTAGTAGACCACGAGTGGTAAATTGGGTTGTACGTAGCATGAAGGCCAGCAAGGTGAACGCGCTCTGAATGCTTCAAAACTTTGTTCCCGCCGCCACAAGCCTGCTCTATAACGCTCCTGCAGAGCTACTTTGGCTAACAACCCCTTTTGATTGGACTTGGCACTGCCTTACTTAGCAAGCCTGGCTTGGTTCTGTAGCACAAGGCGGAGAGAGGCGGATAGACGAATCACCATGAAGCTTACGGCGATGAATCATTCACGTACATACACGTACACACTTACCTACGTGCCTAGATACTACCATACACACGTATGCAAATGTAAATATGCGCCCCTCTCTCTCTCCCCGCGCGAAGGCCCAGCTAGGCTAGTCTCCTAAGCTTCGAGCGAGTCCCCAAGCTCCCCTTCGAGCTAAATCGCAACCGCACCAGGCGCGCAGAGACTGCCAAGGTATGCTTGGCCTCACCTCCTCCTCTTCTTTGCTTACCGTGACCTTGATTCCCATCTGGCCTTGCTCACCTACTTTCTTGTGAGGCTCCTTAGGAATTGAGGGGGTTACTAAGTCGCCTCCGCTTCGATTACCCGCCCATACACCACCGTGTTGCCAGCCTAGCCCAAGGTAGTCTTGCTAGTTTTAGTCAAATCCCGCCCTTCATTTGCAGCAGCCTCATGGGAGGCGAATCTAACTGCCCAAAGAGAGAGGGTAGAAAGCACAAGATAGGAATGCGTGGTGGAAGCAAACGAACCAAACAGTACATGAAGAAATAAACGTGAAATGTGAGCAGTCAGATGGCAGAGAGACAACAAGATCTGAGAGAGAGGAGGAAAGGATGCATGCCGTCGATGTCCGACGTTGATGTCAACGCTAGGTTACCCTCGGCTCAAGAATGATGGCCACCACCACCACCACTCACTCACCACAACCACCGACCGCTCACTGCCACCACCAGACGAACCTGACCTCTGACCTACCTGCCTTACACCGCACACGACCTACGCTGACTGATTCCACTCCACACAGCTCAACGACATCTGACCGTTTAAGCGGTGAGTCAAGCATCGTAAAAGGAATCAAGAAAAATCCTCCCGAATCTCCAAGCGGAAAAAAAAAAAAAAAAAAAAGATCATGACCTTCTGATGAACGTGTAAGCAACAGCTGCCATGTCATGACAAAAAGGTCCACCGTGTACAGGAACGTTTTTTATAGGTAGTCGTTGCGGCGTGAGCGTCGTGGGGAAAAAGCTGATGCCTTTCTTACTCCGTATGCCGAAAGGCGACAGATGACTGTGTGCAAACAAGACACACCTCACTCGTGTGTTATCTAGCTATAAAGTCCTCAGACAAAAGGAGAGGCCACTTGGACTCGCGACTTTCGCCAATTTCTCGAGTGTTGTGCTTCATTGATGTGCTGGGTCTACTAGAAGTAGCTATGCAAACCATGGGTTTCTTATTAACCAGCTACTCGGACTCACAAGACCTCGACAACACCACTTCTCAACGCTCGTGTCATATACAGCAGTGTATACTCAGAAGACCATACCCACTCCCAATGACAAACACCTTGATTCTTATCCCCGCGGGCAAGCATATATGACCAGACCTAAGGACCAAAATGGCCGAGGCCTGCTGATGTTTACCAGACATGTACACCGTCGAGCAATAGCTTCTTGGGTCAACGGGTACCAAGGGCAAGATGTGTGTTGTTTTCATCCACCGATGAGCCCACTCAAACGGTTTATAAGAAACTAGGTTCCGCATGCCTTCCGGGTCTACGCCGTATACACGCGGAAACCATCAAGTGCCAACCGATAAGCCACCCAAACCAAAACATTCACACCCCCAGATAGTTATCACACGCCATCACCCAAGTCACAAGTCACAGATAAGCCAAGGTTCACAGTTCATGAGAGAGTTTGTTTGCAATTGTTTGTATTTCTTCTTCCGAGACCTCAAGAGGGTGAAAGCGGCTGGACTCGGCCGCAGGCGCAAACAAGGTTGGTTGCAACGCCCGCCCGTCCGAGTTGTTTTCCCTTCCCCCTCCCTCTTCCCTCGGGTCTCCAATCCGTCAACCAATACGGTCACGGCAACTCTAAATACACGCAACGCCGATTCCATGAAGGCGTTCGGCCGACTTGCTCCGCCCTCTCGTCTCTTTTTCTATTCCATCTCAGATGTAAGATAAGTCATACCCCGGATGGAGATCAGAGTACGCGGGGGCGAAAAGCATGTGGCCGTCACATCAGGGTATAGAACCTTCAGAGGGGTATGCCGCTAAACTCCATACAAACTGGATTAGGTCTGTGAAAAATTAAGAGCCCGGTGTGTATCGCTTTCCCGTAAAGCAACCCTTTTCCATATATGGCAGAGTTTGGCAAAGCCAAATCCGAGTCCTTGAGTATCCGTTCCAACGCCACGCTGTAAATGCAAACCAGAGTCCAAGCCAATTCGGCCGGGCTCGAAAACCGATGAGGCGTTCTATTGCGGATGAAAGTGATAATGGGTGACGCGTAGTGCAGTCCATTAGTGGGTATCGGTGTGTCGAAGGGGTGTGAGTGTGAGTGTGTGGTGTTTTTTTTTCCATGTCTGGTATCGTCGGGGCGGTTGGTGAGAGTCGCCACCGTCGAGTCGAGTGAGTTAGTCTATGATTCTATTGTTTCGCTCTTCATTAAGGCCGTGAGTCGTAATCCGCAGGGTGTAAGGATACCCTTATGCTTTCTTTGTCGTCTCCGCTGCACAATATGCATCTAAAAGGTGCTCCAGTTCCAGTCTCGAGGAACGCTGGCAGCTACCTCGGGGCCCTTGGTAGGCGGGAGCATGCCAGGCATCATCGGGGCAATGGGGCTCGCGACGATGGGGCTCGACGGGGTGCCAGAGGAGTCGGAGCTCTGGTCGCTACCGCTGCGGCTGCCGTTACGGCTCTTCCATACCTTAAATTCGGTGAAGCAGTGGAAGCAGGCGCGAGCGAGGGCTCCTCGGGGGTTGTAGTTGCAGTCCTCGTCCAGAGGGATGACGTCGGCAGAGTGGGCGCCGCAGAAGATGTTGCCACAACGGCGGCAGTGATGGCGGCGGTTCAGGGCGTTGAACTTGCGCTTGCAAGTCGGGTCGTCGCACATGATGGACTCCGAGTCAGGCTATTGGATTTTAATTAGTTCTGTAATTCGAGGCAGATAATTGTAAATGTCGCAAGAGCTAACATACCTTCCAGTGCTTGCGGGTGGGTTCGCCAGCGACGTCAGGGAACAGCTCAGGGTCCAGCTCAAGGTCAATAACCTTGCCACTGTCGCCAGTAGAGCGGCGCGACAGCTTGGCTCCAAGAACGCTGAAGCCGGGGAGGCTGATGAAGCTGCTGTTGGCGCGGCGCAAACAGAGCAGATCCTCGCCGTCCAGGTCCTCGACCTTGGGGGCGCGCGGCTTCTTGGAGTGGTGCTGATTCGGGCGGAGGACGGCGGGTACGTAGACGGGGCGAACCGACTCGGTGAGGCACGACTTGGGCGAGGTGGGAGAACCCTCGTGAGGAGTGCTCAAGGGTGATGTGCGGTTGCGGAAGGGCTGGGGTTGCGGCACGGTTTGGAAGGACTGGGATCGAGTGTGCGTGAAGTGAGGGCGATCCTGGGGGTAGAAGGAGGGACCGCGCTGCTCGGCGAGGGTAGGCATTATGAGGTCGGTTGCCATTGTGTCGAAGCTCAGGGAGTTTGGTTTGTAGGTAATGTCGGTGTGTAAGTGAAGCTTGGCGGTGAAGGGTGCAATACGTTCTAGGTATTGGCGGCGCTCGATTGCTGGGGTTCGACGAAGCGCGTGGTTGGTTTCTCGTAAGAGTCTGTGATGGGAAGCAACGAGGGTTTGTTGCGACGGAGTGTTCTGTATTAGAATAAGAGAACGAGACGTGGATGTGGCGTCGCGTTTATTCGGAAATGCTTCGTATTAAACCTGGTGTAAGCCGTTGGGTCGAAGCGTGATGAAGAGGATCGGTGGAGGAGGTATGAGTATATTTGTGGTTGTAATCGCGTTGGTTGTCGGTGTAGAGATAAGGATACGCTGTGCCACCAAACGAGGTCGTACTTTGTCTTTTTGCTTGTGAATGTGAGGTGTAAGTGAGGTGAAGATGACCTGATCGAGAGTGGTGGAAGAGGAGGCAATCGCAGCAAAGATAATGATGCGTGCGTTGCGATGGAGGGGAGCGGATTGGTGAAGTAGTTTGGGCGGGATGCTTGGGGTCTAAATGGATGGGACGAGACTCGGGGGTGAGGAATGGGGGGGCGTGGGAACGAGGGACCAGCAGCCTTGAGGGCGATTCAGTCGGATGGAGGGGGGTGCGCTGTAGGTAGTACGTACCCCGGTATAGTGCCTACGGGTACGAAGCACTGCGTGTAGGCGGTGGGTAGAAAGGGAGGGGGGGGGGGGGGGGGGGGGGGGGCAGGATGCGGGAGCGGGTTCCCTATTAGATTTATTCCTGCGGCAATTGGCGGAGGGAGTTGCCCGCCCTCTTCTTCACTTGCCAGACCATCCAGTGTCCACAGTAGTAGACGGGACAGAGAGAGAGAGGAGAGAAAGAGAGGAATGGGAGGGGGCGTGTCTCTCACGCACTCACTCACTTTCTCTCACGCACTCACTCACTTTCTCTCGCTCTCTCAGTCTTCCTTCTCTCTACCTCTCTCTCTCTCTCTCTCTCTCTCTCTCATTCTCGTCGTCTCTCTCGCCACTATCCGTACCTATCTGCTCCAAGAGACGTGTTGGGTGTGAGACTTGAAAGCCGTATGTAGTGAACAAGATACACACCCTCTGCCTCTGCCTCTGTCTTCTCTCGGTATGGCTTTCCTTCCTCTGTGTGTACGCAGTAGTATGTACTCTCTCCTCCAAAGGTGGTCCATCGTCACTTTCTTCTGCCCACAACGCTCTGCCTCGCCGTTTCTCTGGGTTTCGCTACCAACTTATACACCCACCCGTTGCTGAGTTTAAGGTTTTTATTTACCCCAACTCCAACACATACAACCTTAAGCCCAAAACAATTATCGTGACCCAAACAGTATGCCATAAACCTACAATACTCACAGCCGCCCTCGTGAGAAACTTCAAAAAACAAAGGCACAACCAGAGCAGCTCTGGCCACCCACACACCACCTGGTTAGTAGTCAGTCAAGGGAGCGCGGTACGGCAACCCTGGGACCGCGGAAACGTGAGGCGCAAAGGCGGCGGCCACGATCATCGCAGCGGCGGCGGCGACGGCGGCGACCGCCCTTTCGCACTGCAAGGAATCCCCGTCCTCTCTCTCTCGCCCTCGAGTCTCTCTCCCAGTCCTCTTCCCCCCCTCCTAATTCCGCGCCGTGGTTCCACCTCCCCCGGAAGGCCATTCCCAAGTAAATTACCGCCAAAAGAGCCAGAGCCACAGCCAAAAGAGAAGAAGCCCAGAGGCCAGAGTAGGCCAAGCGTCTCCTAGCCTGGAAGCGGCTTAGCCACCGTCCTGGTCCTGTCGCCGGGTGGGCAGCGGCCTTCTACCCGGGTCGTGGTTGGCTGTAGAGAGGTCCGAACCCTTGTCCAACTCAGGACGATATCCCGGGGAGCCACCAAGTCCTTGTCTCGTCCCAACTGCCACCGTAGAAATTAGAACGGATAGCCTCCCGTGCCTTTGGCTCTCAAGGCTCTAAGGCTCTGGGCTCTGGCTCTGGCTCTGGCTCTGCTCGTGGAAGAATGTGTATCCACAGTGGCTCTCAAACTCCCTCCTCCGAAGGTGCCCTCCAAGCCTCCCGCCTCGCCTTCTTTCTTCGCTCCATTTTCAGCACGGCCCCCGGCATTGTCTCCTCTGTTGCTCGCTTCAGCTTCCGTGCGCTTCTCCGGCTCATTGTTCCCTTCGTCTCGTCTCGTCCGTGACCATCAACCACCCCCCCCGTGCCATACCCAGTCGAGAAAGCAAGGTCCGACGCTGCTTTGCTTACAAGACTCGAGAAAAGGGAAAAAGGACCCTGAAATTTGAAGCGGCTATTCTGTACGTAAGGCGAATGCCCTGTATCCACGCCGCTAGCCCGCGCTGCCCACGTCGTTGAATGAAGATCGCTAGGAACCTCCTTGACGTACGGGGCTGCTCGCGTGTCTTCAACTCAGTCTCCTTCTTCTTGCCGCAGTCAAGCCGCCGCTAAAACCCCCGGGATACCGAACCTATCCTTACAAACGGCCTCTGTACCTTCCTCTAAGGTTTAGTTCATAGGAGCTCTTGGCCCTTTTGCAGAGCTTCTAGACGGGCCAAGCTCGTGTCATTCGAGATCACGGGCTTTCAACTGCCCCAGCAACAAAAGTAAGTGGCTAGGTTACCCAGTCCCAAGGGTCTCGAAGACGAGTGTCCGTAATGCAAAGAGCAGAAAAAAACAAAAGAAAAAAACACGGGATAGAAGAAAAAAGCAATAATGCTTCTATAGCGCCTGTAGCCCGTAAATTAGCGGTGGGCGAAGAAGCTGTCGGGGTGAACCTTTGAGACAAGATGGCCCTCCAAAAACCCACTTCACGTCGCGCTCCCGCCTCGTCACTTTATTGCCTGGCTGGTACGGAGTACGAAGCTACGTCCTGCTCCAGTTCTCCAGCCATTCTTGACACTCCGGAGAAAGACCGCAATATCGCCTTGGCTCTTCTCTGGACGATGGCCGGTTTTGGCGTCTGCTTGTAAGTGCCGGCAGCTAGAGCCTAGGTGACGACGGCGACTACCTACACGAAGGGTGGGCAAGTTAAATTTTCTCAACGTAATAGCTGCTCTTGGGTTGGTCCAAGAAGGTTCATGTTATTGCCGCTTCACGATGCGGCTCCTCTTCCTCACTGCGGTTGCTGCATCGTCACCGCTGTGCCCGAAATACACATTGCCAGGGGCCGTCGGACAGAGACCGATCTGGACTCTAGTCACTGGTGTGTGTACTTCGTACCTTTGTTTTTTTTTTTTGTGCCGGCTGCCGCTCGTATCGCTTTCACGCTCGCATCGACCAGGCGGACTCGTCAACGCATATCGGGATTCGGGGATCCTTCCTCCACTACTTCCATGGATGGGGCGGCTCGCCGTTCGTCCAGCGTGAAGCAGGGGGGAATGAACCGAGAACTCACAGGGACATGGAACTCTCAATCTTGTGATTGCTCGTACGGACGCAAGACATCGAACTGCCATTTCTGTTTTTGAGTATAGTGCTGTCCGGAGATGTCCTTGCGGCTGCGTTCATTTAGCAATTTGCTTGTGTCTGGTAGCTTTGATGTGATGAATAGGTTGATGCTGGTTGTGCTCTTGAGCACATTTCCATGCTGTGATGCTGTTCCCGACAGGAGTCCTTCTTTGGCGGCGATCCGCACTCCTCCCCTCCCCTCCCGATGCGTGGATGCGTGGATGCGTGCGCGCATCCATCCATCCGTCCAGGACTCCAGACGTCCATCCTGCAGGATACCTTATGCGTGTGCACCGCGATAGGCGGGACCCAATCGTCCTGTGCGACGTCGGAACGCCTGGTCTGAGTGCCCCTCTTGGTAATGACGGACAGGTCGGATTTACTACATGTTAGTCGGTCGTGACCCAGAAACCAGACCCAGGCCCAGCAACAGGAGTTGCATTTCGACTACTCTCGACTCTTGGGATTGTCTCGAACTCGAGCCTGATGCGGCATGCAAACGCTAACCCCTGCGGCTCGAGTTGCTTGGTTGTCCAATGAATCAGCTCTACGAGGCGTGAAGTTGGCCTGAGCCACAGGTACGAATAATGCTAGACCGCTGCGAAGCGTACCGCCTGGAGTTGCTCTTGTTCTTCTTCAGACTTTCAGCAGACGTCGAGAGCGGTCGTGACGGGGGAAACTCTGAAGTTTGAACAACAGGAAAAGGCGCCAAAACCCACCGCTCATCTGCTCAATTGCTGCATTCGGCCATCTGGCCGGGGTCTCTCTGTTTCTCTCTCCCTCTCCACTTTGTGGGTATTCATCCTCCACTGGCACTGGTCGACCGGACCAGACGAACGCTGTTCATTTCCAATCGCCGTGACTCGCCGTCTCCTTCTCCGATCTCCAGCCTCCCCAGTCGAGGCTTGTTGCTTGTTGTTCGCCTGGTTGGCACGGTCGACGGTGTCCGTCATTCAAACTGTGGGTTATAGCTTGTGGGCGAGGGTGGCTTCGCTCCAGCCTTCAACACCACTTCTGAAATTACCGTGCTTCAGCCTCCGTGATGATTGATGCACCGTCCACTTTGCCAGGCTGAAGACGACGTGTCGTCTGTCTGTCTTGGAGCTGCAGCAACCAAAGCAAGTGTCCCGTCAGGTGCCAACGGGGTTGCTGCGGGGTGTGTGGCACAACGTCGGTGTGCTATTTGCGGAGGTGATCAACCACATGGCAGAGTCTGGCAGTCGCCTTTGCGGTGTCGCTGCCATTCGCCGCCGCCAGCTTCGTGGCTCCCGATCGCCGTCCAACGCTTGCAAAAGTGACAGAAGGCCGTTGAGACTCGAGTGACATGCCAAATTTGTCCGCAAGTCGCAAGCGGCTACATCTTGATGACGAACGCTAGGAATGTCCTGCTCTAGCCTCTGCCCAGTTTGTTGATCTCGACAGGCTCTGCCATCAAGACCACTTCTTCCAGGGCCACAAATCAATCAATCTCCAACCCAATACGTCAGGTTCGCTATGGTTCGGATTTCCAGTGGCCCATGAGGCCGATCTGGCGTGTCGGCCGAGTGAGAGAGGGACGGGAGTTTGTCTCATTGGCCCCCCGTTGTTTCGTGGCCTGAACTCGCTCCTCCAACGTTCGCAAAGACTCCGAGATGTACTCTGTAACTCGCAGTGTACTGTAAGGGTCCGTGGAGAAGTTGTCTCCAAGTCCGAGTCATTTCAATCACTGAATATGACGCAGGCAGTGCAACCTCCGATTCTCGTTGATTTTGGCCAATGTCCATCAATTCCTGGAAGAGTAAAACCCAATCCAGCCACAGATGAAAGATCTGCTCCGAAAACTTGACAAGTGAGAGAAATCGACAGAGGTCGACGTCGACACCCCACCGCGCCTAATGTCTGCGAGGAAGCCCCGGAGCTTCAGCAGCGAGATGCCACACTCTGATGGAGATTGAGGGGTCAATGGGCCCTGTATCTGTATCTGGATCCGTGCAGCGTACAGAGACCCAAAGCAACGCGAAGCGAAGCTTTCTTTGAAGCAGAGGCCAGATGGGCAACTGAGCCAAATTGAGAACATGGTGCAGGAAGAGGATCCAGAAACTTCAGCAAGAGAACCGCTCAGGTGGGGCTCTTCCACTCTCACTCCCACGATGCTCAGCTCCAGAACACATCCAGAAGCCTGGAGACAGTGGCCGTTACGGAACCGCTTTGGCTTGGCATTTGCAAATAGGTTGCTCAGAGGGCCCGCCCAGGACGGCGCTTCAACGTTTGCGGTCGAATTTCTGTGGTGCTGAGAGATATTACCATCAAGACAACAGGCTGAACGGCCTGCCGCCTCGCCCGAGCTGTGGATAGGGCCGCGGTGTCCAGTGCAAGTGTGGCGGGGATCCCAGCAGGCAAAACTGCTGCGCAGCATTGACAATGGGGGAAGCCAATGCAGCTCAAGCTCCAGCTCCCGCTGCCCACCCCTCTTCCCCTTCTTCTTTGCCACAGCCTCGCGACGCCAGTCTGTTCGTTCGCTGTCGCCGAGCGCTAGGACGCAGGAGACGTGAAGAGTCCCCGGAATCTGGCCGACTCCACAGCCTCTCCCGTCCGTCCACTGCACCTCGGCGGTTTTCTGGCTGTTGGCTTCGGGCGTCTTCCTCTTCTGACAGCAACGTCCGGCCGAGGCTCAATGCCGGCACCGACAAAACCGACCATGCCTTTGACGGGGAGGCGAAACACTGCACGACGACGAGGCCGCGGTTGCATTGCTGACGGAGCGGAGGATATGAGACGCGAGCGACAAAGACCAGAATGCGCTCTCTGTCAAACCTGCGCCACTTGTTTCCGTGGCTCCACGAGGGCGACGACGACGATGATGGCCGTGACGATGACGCCGCCGCCGCCGCCAGCCAGCCAACGGCAGAAAAGAGAGACACCGACATTTCAGTTGCTGAGTACCTGTTTATCCCTGTAAGATGATAGGGTGACTGAGTCGGTCCACTGCCAACTCTCTCCTGTTCGCGGCCGGCAACATCAATATTCGATAGGCTTTTTGCAGGTAATGGTGGATACCCCAACTGCAAAGCAAGCGATAGGCTTGGAATGTTGGGGTATCCGTAGACACAGATTCATGAGGGGAAAAAAAAGAAATTCTCCCTGAGACTTATCGCTGCCCGGTGGCTGTCTGTAGCTCTGTACCCCTTTGCCCAATGGCACGGTTGGTGGCCGGGACAAGATAGGTAGTCCAGGATCCCAGGGCAGGCGTTTCGCCGCCATCAAAGATGATCCCTACAGGTCAATGGCTCGCGTGTGAGCGACGTGGTCTTCCCCGGATTGAGGTTCAAATGAGACATGTCGTCGTTAAACGAGCCTCATCTCTCTCTCTCCAGCTGGCAGAGGGTCCTTTTGAAAAACCAGGGGGGGAGGGGGGTTGATCAACCGGAGATATGTCAAGCAGGAAGCTCCAAGGGCAATGTTGGTTTCATCGATAACAGAATTAGGTGAGGCTATCCGAGGGGATGGGACCGGCTATGGGCGTTGTGGATTGTCGGTGAGTTTTGGATTGGAGTCGCTTCGGCAGTGATCCTCACGCCCAGGAGGGCGGGCTGCCAAGCATACGATGGCAATCGTAAGATGTGAATTGTGAGGCCTTTTCTTCCGTCGGGGGGGAGGGGGCGGTTTCGTAGGCAGTAGTGTAGAGGCAGAGCGAAAGAAATGCCATGCAAATCTACGAGAGGTCGTTCGAGTCGGGCCACAAAGAGACGAGGTGACAAAGTTGAGGATGGAACCGTTTCGCTGGGAGGCTGACTCTGTGCCCGTGGTGGTAAGGTTGAGGTACGTACCTGGCCGTGCAAGGAGAGGGCAAGAGCGAATCGAGATAACGAACCACTTTTTTGCAAGAGTGAGCACAGACGCGCTTACCCCATTCGGGTATCCTTGCTGCATGCCATGCTCCAATATCCCTGCCATTAATCAATCGATGCAGGGTCCTCATCGTTCATTGGCTGTCATGTTTGCGCCGTTATCGCAGATTTCTGATTGGTCGCTTCCTCAACTCATGGTGACGCACTCTTGCCTCAGGCCAAAGGCAAAGGGCGTGTGAGGCCACTACGTAGTAAAAGACCTCGGGGCGTGCAGGGAACAAGCTCCGATTCCGGGTCCTTCTCACGTCGCTATCGAAGCGCGTTCCCGGGCTGGCAAACGCCTGGCGAGCGAATGGGCAGCTGGCGCAATGCAGGGCGTTCGACATGTGACGTCGACTCTGCCGGCATCCCTCGTCGGCGCAGTCGGTGACGGCTCGCTCACCGCCTAGTGACATTCCAACCTTTTACAGCGAATCGCAGACAGACCGCAGCAACACTGCGTATCCGTACAGCTGGCGCATTCGCTGTTATTGCTTTGCTCTGCTTTGCTTTTTTTCATGCCACCTTATCCCGGCCGGGGGTTTGATGCCGCCCAAAAGAGCGTTTGAAGTTGCTATCTATCGCTTTCCGGCATGGCGGAGGTTCATCCGTCAATAATCTGAATGTTCAACCTGGTTCCCCGAATAGGGCAATTGAGAGACAGGAGGGAGAGATTGCTGGACAACGAACGGGACGACAGTAGCCTGAAGTTCTGAACCGGATAACACCCCCCTCCCTCTCAATCCGACACCGATGCCAACGACGACAACGACCACGACAGCCAAGTGGAAGGAAGTCACCGACCGCTGCCATGTCAAGAGGGTGTTGCCAATCTGTTGCTGCCGCCGCCGTCGTCGATCCGTGCAACAACCTTTTCCTTCGCGTACACTGCGCCGCCCGGGCGATCTGCTGCTCAACGCATTCTTCCCCCAGGCTCTGATGTAAGGGCGAGAGGTCTTGCGTTCCCAAAACGCTTCCCAGCTTCCGCGACGTTCAAGGGGGATTTTCAACGATCGTCCGCGCGGGAAGGGGAAGGAATGTGCCGCGTGCGTGAGACGGAAGCGCCAGCTCCATACTAGCTAGTAAATCTTTCCCCGCGGAGACACCCAGTCGTGCCAGTCACCCCCGAATTCCTAAATTCGAACTCAAACCCTCCAAGAGCTGTCCAACATGAACCCTGCCACCGGCATGATGCCCGGCTGGCCCGCGCTATCTTACCCGACGCCGGTCGCACCGGCCGAGAAGTTTAGAAGGAGAGAGAGAGAGAGCCTCGCCCCCTTTTCCATGTTGAACATCTCCTTCTTCTTTCTCACCTTTCCGTCGGGGCCCCGGGGGCTCGGGTAACGGTGCGCAAATCCTGAGCAAGGCGCCAATGACGTACCGGAGGGTTGCTCTTCTTCCGCTCTAGGAAGGCTGACACGGGATCGCTTTGGGGTCAATCGAGATTCAAACAATGGCCCAGTGATTTCCCACGCCTCCCCCCCTTCTTAGACTCCAAGAACTCCAACTCTCTTCCAGGCTTTCAGCCTGTCTCACTGACTCAACATGCTGGACAATTGACGACAAGAAAGAACAAGAAGGAACAAGGAAGACAAAATTCCGCGATTGTCGGTTTCTGGCGGTGTTCGGCCCTTTACAAACATGACGTCGAGGCCGCGCGAACAAGCTAAACACCAAACCCCTAGGCGCGGTCCCTCGACGATCAGGATAACCCCCGGACGAAACGCTTGCAAGGATCTCTCAACCTTTTGATATCGATAACCCCGAGGGAAAACAGTACGTATGCTAGAAGTCTTGGAAATGAAGTAACGCACAGAAGGTGTTTTGGCCCTTTTGGTTGTCACTCTCAAGCTTTGTTCAGGCCGTTATCAGGGAAAGACTCGAAAGAGGCCCTGACAAGCTGATGCTCGATGTGTGCTTTGATTGGTTCTGCATCCTCAAAGCACTGTTTCCTGATTGCCTGAGCGGAAAGTGACAGGTAGGATTCTGCCTCATGGGAATTGCTAAACTCTGATAACGGAAGTTCCGTCCGCTCAGCGCTGCAAGAATTTAAGGTTCATCTAATGCCTCGTGTTTCTCCATGTGTGTGTGCACGGCCGGAATTAGTCTAGAATGTCTGACCCTGAAATGAGCAAGTCCGCTCAAAGGCTAACTGCCCAGAAGGTTGTAGGTTGTATTAAGTCATACCCATGGAAACTACGGAGTACAAGTCTATCTTGTTGCACCTGTGGGTTTGATCTCCTGCACCAAGGCACCCATCTTGCTGACAAGACTTTTTGACAACATTTGCTAACATGGCTGGGATATATCGCGAACCTGTGGACTTTAGACGTGATTATCCAAGGTGCACGCCAATAATAGAATCAAGTTTCCAGTATACTGCCCAAGAATAGGCCCGTTGCTTCTAGCCAGCGGTCTGCACCTATTCTATTGTGATTCCTCAAAGGAACGGGGCGGATGAGGGATTATTACTGCATAGGATGATATCGATAGATGAGCCCACGACGAGTCTCGAAAACACGAGATTCAAAGCGAAGCTGCTCTAGTCAACATTTGTTCGCAATCTGAACAATCTGGGTCACAATGGACGAGGCCAGAAGCACCGTCCATATTGGAGAACGCCCACGTCTTGCCGCGAGGAAGATAGCTTCATAGTTGGCGACCCTCCTGCTTGCTTCTTATATGCTCGTAAGCTTAGCTAGCTCCGATGAGCGGTTGAAGAGGGAAGGCGTCATTATCACTGCAGAGAGTGCGGAAGGAGGGAAAATGTTGACAAAAATGGTTACAACATCGCATATGTACGACCGACGTTGACAGCACAGTATTAAGGGAGCCAGCTAATGGTATAGTCATAGTTGTTGAGGGAGATACATGGCTTTGATCACTATTGATCTCTGAGGTTTCTCTCGATGCTGTAGTAGTTGGGAAGTTGATCGAGTCTGAGGTAGGCTGCCAGTATCAGGTACTCTTGTTCGACATTTTCCCGGGACGAAACTTGATCCCTCTGATGTTATATTTGTTGCTCTTCATCATTCACTCATCATCAACCATTTATAGATATAGCTGGGTATGCCAAGTAAGACCATTCATCATTCCGTCGTCCTACTACTGTTCCACAACTCTCTAAACATACCTCCCTCCCGATCCTTCAACACTCGCGGCGCCCCTTTCTCGACCACACTACCCTTATCCATGACTACAACCGTATGACAATCCAGCACCATGTCCAATCTATGCGACACCATGATGATCGTATACCCCTCAAACTCCTTTCGAATAATCTCCTGCATAACAAGGTCCGTAGCCCGATCAACGCTCGAGGAAACCTCATCAAGCAGAAGAATACCCCCTTCAGTACCACCACGGCTCTTCACCCGCCTCCTCAAGACCGCCCGAGCCAGACAGAACAGCTGCTTCTGCCCCTGACTAAAAGACTCCGCAGTGAGCTCGGCACCGATACCGCCTCGCTCTTGTATCCCCGCGAGTAATCCGACTTGCTCCAAAACCTCGAGACACTCCGCCTCGGTGGCTGCGTCGAACGGATCGAGGTTATCTCTCACTGTCGAGCCGTCGGGGAGGAAGATGGCGTCCTGCGATACGGCTATGATGCGGCGCCGCAGAGCATCGCGATCGACCTTGTCGAGCGGCATGGAGTCCACCACAATACCGCCCGCGCTTCCAGGCAGGGTCTCGATAAGGCGAAGCAACAAGAGAATGAGCGATGATTTTCCGCTCCCTGTTCTTCCGCATATCGCTACCCTCTCGCCTGGACTGATCGAGAGGTGAAGCTCCCGAATGGCTAGATCGGCAGGTGGCTTCTCCTCGGCCCCTGAGCCCAGCTGATCCCTGGAGACTCCATAAGACGCCGATACTGCCTTTATCTCGATCGCACCCTTCTCAGGCCAACTTTCCTTGGGAATCATATCTTCGTCAGGTCCGGTCTCCGGTGTCACCGTGTCGCTAAACGTCTTTAGGCGCGCCACTGCTCCTATACTTGTTTCCAGCATGGTGTAAGACTGGACGATTGTAGTCAGGGTATCACCAAAAGACATGAGAGTTACTAAAGATGCTCCCGTGAATCCAGAGCTGGCTCGCAGTTGCGTCGCCAGCGTCACCACGATGGTCGCAAGACCAGCTACGAGTAGCTGGAGGGCCAGCTGCAGCCAGCGTTGGATGATTGCGAGCTGGTACGCTGGCCTTTGGCTGGTGTCGAGGAGGTTGCTATTGATTGTGATGTCCGCGGAGATGAAACCAAGAGCTCTCAGCGTCGCTAAACCCTTGAGGGTATCGATGAAATGGGAACTGAGAAAGACGTTAGTCGTTTTAGCCTTAAGCTTAAAAGACCTCGAAACGACTCACTAGAGAGGACTCTTTGCTTCGAGCTCCAGAATACGCAACTGCATCGAGGTCCGGAGGTAAAACATTTGCACAAAGTACAGAATCGCCACAAGAAAGGGGTAACTGATCGCCAACCACGGCGACGAGACGGCAATAACGACAGCCATACCCACAGCGGCAAAAAGCAACACGGAGAAATTGATCAGTGCCATCGGCAGCTCGCTATCAATCAGCGCAAGATCCTGAGCAAACAGGTTCGTCACCGTCCCCGTGTCAGTCGTCGCGAAGAACCTCAAAGGCGCGCCGACGAGCGTCCGCAGGGCACGTTGGTGTAAGCTCGACCCGGACTGCGAAATCATGGTCTGCGTGTTGATGAAGACGACCACCATCAGGGAACCCAGGCACATGATCTGGAGAAGGGCGTAGATGCCCATGTAGAACGCGCCGGAACGCTTCGGTGTCTCGGCGGTGATGTCCTCGGACCAGAATTTGAGCCAGACGGTGGGGAAGTTCATGCAAAAGGCGTAGGCGCAGCACCAGAAGACGAAGACGGCGATCACCCATCTCGCCATGCTGCCAAAGTAATGCCTGTAGACTGCTACATCGCCAAGTTGACGTGCCTTGTCTGGTTCTTCCGCCAAGTCGGAGACTTGAGTCACTGTTTGCGCTAGGGGTGCCTCCTCAGGCTGGTTTGCCGCCTCACTCTTTTCTTCAGGGGTAGTCTCAGCCTCTTGGATCTTGAGGCTTTGGACGTATTTGCCGTTGGTCTGTAAGTCTGCGAAGGATCCCTGTTCGACTACAGTACAGTCGACACCGAGTGCGATGATGTGGTCCGCCAGTGGTAAATGGCGCACAGAGTGCGTGCACAGCACAGCCGTGATGCGCCTCTGGCGAACGATACCTGCGTTTCCGAAGACCCGGCTGAAGACGTGCTCTTCGGTGGTCGCATCGAGGCCGCTCAGAACGTCGTCCAGGATGAGCAGGTCACATTCAAGGTACAAGGCGCGCGCGAGAGCCACTCGTTGTCTCTGCCCACCACTAAGGGTTAGCCCGTTGCTGCCGATTTTGGTGCGATCGCCTTTGGGTAGCGATGAAAAATCGGTAGATAACATCGTGGCGTCGATTACTTGGCGATATCGTTCGGGGCCCAGTCCGGAGTGCCCAATAATATTGGCTTTGATCGTGCTGTTGTAGAGGAATGGAGATTGGTCGCAGTAGCCTACCCTGCGATGGTTGACGTTGAAAACCACGTTGCCGGAATGAAATGAGATCTCACCGAGGAGACCTTTCAGCAGTGTCGACTTACCGGAAGCCACAGGCCCTACGATGATAGTGAGGGAGTTGGCAGGGACGAGTACGTCGATCTCGTCCAAGACGTACTTCCCCTCAGCCCACCCGAACGACGCTTGCTTCACCGTTATTGATGAAGCATGCAGTTCATCACTTTCCGAACTTGAAGAACGCGGGGCTTCGGGCGTTTTGCGGTAGTCGATGCGGCTGTCTTTATCTAGGTACGCCTGAATACGACCCAAGCAGGCGAACGCCGAAACCAGTTGCGGAATGGTCTGGAACAGGCTGCCCAGCGGACCGGCCAAGAGCATGAGGTATGCCATGGAAGTGAAGATGCGCGTGACGTTGAGAGTCTGAGAAGTCACAGCAAAAGCCATAACGGGGCCGAGCTGAGAGGGCGTGTACGCGATTGTCACGGCCGCGAAGAGCATCAGGCGCCATTTCCCACCTACGCTGAGTTCCTTGAGGCGGAGATTGTGGATCAGGCTCTCAATCGGACCAGACATGGCCGAGATCTTGAGTGCTTTCATGCTCGAGATAGCTTTGGCAGTGACCCCGACTCGCTGCTGGATAGATTCCATCCACAATGTCTGACGTTTTCCTGTGAACTTGGCGGTCACAGTGGAGGCTGCCGCGCAAACGATAACGACAATGACGGGTGCAACAAAGGCCGCGCCAATTTGATGTTGCAGCAACCAACACGCCAGCGCAACTTCGACCGTGTTTGCCCAGTACTCGTGGATCGGCTGGAATCCATTCGTGACGCGCTCCACGTCGGCGTTCATGAGCGTCAAGGCTGCGGAATCGTCTGCGGCGGACAAGCTGATGACGGTTGTTTTGCGGTAGACGGCCGAGACCAAGATACCTCTTGCCATGTGGACGAAGCGCTCTTGGAAGTACCAGTAAATGGAACTGGACGTAGCCATGCCAACGTAGATGAGAAAAGCAGCACCAATATACCCGTAACCCTTATTCGGTGATGAAGTGCCCACGGGCTCCTGGAGGTAGTCCAATAGGCTCTCAATCATGAGGGGCTGACAGAATTTGAAGCCCATCTGACAAAGCCGTGGAATAATCGGGAGGACGAATGGTCCTACAAGCGTCTGTGTAAGACCCCTGAATAGAGCATGCTTGTGGCCCTGCGCTTTGTTATTCTCTAGGAGAGGCTCGAATTTGATGTACAAGACTTCGGCTGACATTGCTTCGTCGAGCGCATATAAGTCGTCGAGAATGAGAAGCTTGCGGAAGCCTGTGAGAAAGAGGCCATTGACCCAGAAATAGGTTGAAAGACTGATGACACCGCTAGTCACCTCTGGACTTTGCTGCTTTTCGGAAGCTGATGCTGGTTTTTTCTTCCGAGATTCGAGCATAAGAACGACGACTTTCAGAATAGCACTCGCGATCGATAGGCGAGCTTGGTGAGAGTCATTCGCAGAGTCTGCCGAGAGCCATTGAGTTCTCGTACGGGCAAACTCAAACAAGACGGTGATTAGGAGGTATATGCTGAGCAGCATCGACGGCCGTAGTGAGCGGGCATGCTCCAAAAATGAGAGAAGAATCAGTATCAAGGAGGCAACAAAGTTTAGTGCATCGGATGCGAGCCCCAACCGGGACGACCAGTACGTGCCACAACTTGTCAGAATTAGATGGCTAAGTTGCAGGCCACTGTAGGCTACAAGGGCGAACTATGAGAATATTAGGTGCTGTACAGTCACCAGCATTGTCGTTGCTTACAACTTTGAGGCATAGTAAAACAGTTTCGTCAACTACCCTTTGTCTTTTGAGCAATTGAAACAGTCGCGGCAATGAACACGAAATCAACACGGCTGCCGGAATAATTGCCAAGACGGCTTGCTCGAATCCGACGGTAAAGTCAAAGTCATCACGGCATCCGTAGACGACTGGGCCCAGCGACCTGTCGTTGACACATGTGGAGTTCATCGAGATGCTGCCAGTGCCGGTGTATGGAAAAGATCGCTGAAAGCGCGATGGCGCAAAGTTGAGACGCGTCGTATGAATCAAACAGAAACGAACAAATTTTTGACGAGATGTACCTTAGTATTAACAAAGTCCCCTTATCAACAAGTCGCCCCTTGTGCGGCGTAGCATCAGCCCGAGCAAGTAAGCATCATCTGTTTGGCTGAATTTCCGGCTCTATCGCTCGACATTTCAGTTCTCCACACGGAACTGTGCCTCTTGGGCAAGAAAAAAAAAACAGTCCACATCGTCAGACTGACAGAATACGAACAAGCAAACTGCTTTGCTCCTCGCTTTAGCAAGGGCAAGGGAAAATACAGAAGTTGCAAGGAATAGGGCAGGGAATGATGAAGCAGAAGCGTCCGGGACAAGGCCCGCGGCCATCATCACCGCCGCGAAGGCCCATCTCCATCTGCTCTGCCTGGGGCTGTGGGCGTTGGGGATCTTTTGCGCGGCGAGGCTGAGTTAGTAGGAGGTTCGACCTTTATGGCTATGAGATGGGGGAGGACTTCGTGCTCACCCATGGGTTGGTAAGGAGTCGGCTGTTGGGCGTCGCTCAATGTGGAAGGAGAATCTGCACGCCCAGATGGAGCAACTTGGCTAGATTGGTCCATTACGCTGTCGGAAGTCGGTGACTTTTTATTTGCAATTGCGCAAAGATTAATGCTGTTCTTTGGTTGCGAAACAGATACGAATAAGGTCTTTCAGAGATGAGAAATGCTGTCTGAACTTAAAGATGTTGCCGGAATGAGAAAAGCAAATGGCCATGACGCAGCCGCTCCCGAAAGAGATGGGATGACAGCAAACCAATGGGTGGCTGTGCAAGCGTCACGTGCAGATTCGATCAGGTGATCCTTATCATATTACGAAGGCAGCCAAAAGCCCCTAAACGCGACTATACGTAGAAATTTGGATCGTAAGCGGACTGTGTACAAGTTATTCTGTATTACAAACATGAGGAGATATACAATCCTCACGATGGTTGAGTCCTCATGCCGGTTGGTGGCTGCATATTGCTTCTGGAGTAAATTCCACATCGGACGAATGAGACGGGAGCCGCCTCGGAGGTCCGACCGGCCGATCGGAAGCGATTCCCGGCCCCGAGACCCACCCTCTTCCTCCGTGCCCGGTTCGGCCATTTGCTTGCCACGGCATTGTCTGCGCTCAATCAGTTTGTTGCTCCTCATTTTAACACATTAACCTTGGGAGAATGATAAGAAATCAAATTGAGAAGCCTGTTGGATTAGGTCAAATCAGATCCAACTTGATATTTTTGCTCCAATTCACTCCGAACCGTGCAGTGTGCCTGCCTACCTCTGTTTTGACACTCTTTGAATGGAGGATAGCGTAGCCCATCTTTCTACTGCCTAGATCGCACATGTAAACGCCGGGTAAGAGATGATACACCAAGATGAAGTGGATGCGGGATCGACAAATATACAGGACGTAGGTGCTCATTCGTCCATACGATACTCAACCCCGGACCCGTTTCATTCTAATCCCGTCGGACAGTTTCAAAATAAGCCTCTGGTTGCATTGGCTCTCGGGGCGATCACTGACTCGCCATGCAACTGTACAGAAATACCTACAACTGCGGAGCGACCGACACAACAACCAGGCAAGGATACAACCCCCTTTTTACTATTTTGACAACTCCCAAGAGTTGCTGAACCATTCGAGCCATTCGCATGTGGGGGCACCCGCGCGAACAACTCACCATCGTCAAACCACTAGCCATCGTGGGGGGTTGGCGACTTTATTTTGGTAGGGCGCTCTCGTCCTTCTAAATAAAGGCAGTGTATGAGACGCGGACAGCATCCCGCACCATGGTTGAGAGAGAGCCAAGAGAAGGACAAGAAATAATTGAAACGTTCATCGCCAAGATCAGCGCGAGAGGGCAGCCACAAGCTTTTTCTCGCTCTCTTACTCTTCTACCGCTCATAGTATCCGTAGATCCCCATCACTTGCTAACTAAGCCTACTGTAATTGTCGCCAGCATCCTTTCTACCGCCCTTGGAAACCGATAATACTCCAAACCTGCCAAGGTGCAGCCAAGGTTTTCGGGCCACCAGCCGATTGCACCGCCAGACGTCCGTGGCCGAGCCTCAATTGGTAGACCTCCAAAATAGACATAATATTCCTGGCTACTGTCAAAAGCGTAAATAAGAGGATGTGGATAGGGGAGACGAAGACAAATGGGCTCGTTGTGAATGAAGTATATAATCCAGACGAACGAACGCACAGTCTCGGTCTCATCTCTTCACTAGCTCATCATCACACAACAGTCTTCAGCTTCGACTTCATCCGATTCAAACGCCTCGAATTCATCTAATTTCCCCGCAACTACCAAACGCCAGACTACTTCAAACTCCCTATTCAAATCAGCAACCATGCGTGTCACCTTCTTCACCGTCTTCGCGCTCGTGGCCGCCGTTGTCGCACAAGCACCATACACCGGACCTTGCTCTGATACCGCCTGCGGCGTCGAGAGCGAGAACTGCGATGCCCAAGGCCGCCAGTGCTTCCCGTTCCCCAACATCGCTCCAGCGCTCCGCGAGGGCTGCGTCTGCGGTTCTGGTTAAATCGACATGCACAAGAATTGGAATTTCATAGGCGTGAGTACGGATCACTACCGCGTGAAGCGTCAACCATCAACTCATACTCGATGCAGGTTTGGGGATCAGACTCGGCAAAGATCAAAGCGGCAAGGCGCGCATTAAAAAGACCACCGGAATCTCACTTGAAATGGTTCGGTGGAACATGGCATTGGAGCATGGCACATGAGCGACTACCTCGGCGCTAGGGACATCGAGTACACCAGCATTGTTACTTCTACGGCTAGTTTTGGGCCCTTGATTACTTAGCGAATTCATTGCATTTGAAATTCCAGATGTTCACTAAACGAGAAAGAACTCCGTATTTCTCCCGGGCTCGATTCTTGACATAGTTCTGCAAGTTCTGCATACATTATCTCCTCTAACTGACGAAACTCCAACACTTCGTCTTCCGAGAAAAGGAGCTCGCAACCATCGTCAATCAACTCATGATGAGCTTGTGATCTAGTGCTTCGTAAAATTATGAATGACTGTCAATAGAGGCGAAAGACGCGATTCGTTCGCAGACTGATTCCGCTAGCTGTTTGAGTCAGTTTATGCCCGAGAGAAGAGCTTGGCGTTGCTTGACGGACATCATACCGAGCCAAACCGCCCAGCCCAAGGCCGCACGAAGCCATACTCTTAGGAAGCTTATGTCGCGGGTTTTCCAGAAGGATAAACCTGGCTGGCCGCTTGATGTCGAATGCGGAGAAGACCGTTGTGGCATTCAGGAGACGACACGGACCTTCAAGTTTGCTTTGCCATTCCCATGGCTCAGACTTTGGTGGATGTTCAATTACACCGTCGGCCAATGATTACTTATTTTTTACGTTCTTTATCGAAGGCCATTAACTGCTCGGTCGTAATGCATATTTCCTAACACCTGAGCGATAGCCGTTCCTCTGATCTCTGCACATTTGGGAAAGGCTTGCTGCGGAACCAACATGGTCAGGCTTAGCTAAATGGGTATAATTGTTAAGAAACCAAGGCCGTAAGGGCTTGTACGCCCTTGCTATTTTTTCAAAGAGCGGCTCTGTCAAGTCTCGACGTCTAACCAAAATCCCATGACCTTGCTCAAGTCTGTCTCAGCGGTATCCCACTCTCTCCGGATGACATCCTTCACCCACGATCCCCGAGGCTTAAGGCCGAACTTGAACTCAGAGGGCGCCGTCATGAAGCCGGTTACGCTCATAGCCATGCTGTCGACTTCCTCCAATGGTACTATCTCAAAGGCCCACAACAGACTGGCGAATACCATGAAGGCGTTGTCGAGAGCCACCCGCTTGCCCAAACAGCTCCGTCTGCCTTGGCCGAACACGGGCAGGGGCAAGTCAGTACGCAGGTTACCATCCAAGTCCAACCATCTCTCTGGGATAAAAGCTCCCAGGTCTCCAACTTCTTCACCAAACACCTCTTTATCTCGCCCAATGGCCCAAGAATTCGCAAACAGTGTCGCCCTCTTGACGATGCGCTGACCGTAGATCTCATCCTCTTTTTCGGCTCTGCGCGGGATACTTCCCGGTGAAACCGGTCGCCAGCGCATGACTTCCGACATCACAGCATCGATGTAAGCCAACTTCGTCCGGTCCGCAAAACGTGGTAATCGCTTCCTTCCAACGAGTTTATCCAGGATGGCCTGCGATCGCGCCACAAAATCAGGGTTCGCGTGCGCAGCGACCAAAAGCCAGAGCATCTGCCGCGGGCCAGTCTCCATACCGCCCTGGACGCTCGTTGCGATGGTGAAGGCCAGATCTATTTCCGGCACGGGGCCGGCCTCGGCGTACTTGGCGGCCACAGCTCGCGCCTGCTTCGTCGCGTTCCAGCCCGGTGAACCCGTACCCAATTCTAGAAGGCGGAGGTTTAGTTCGCTCTGTTCTTTGAACAGGCTGTCCGCGGCACGTCGCCAGGGTGAAATGATGGCCGGGAGATGTCGGAGGGGCGGGATGAAGTCGACTAGGTTGGGGTTGGCAGCGACGTAGGTGACCTTCTCATGCACGCCTGCGACTTCGTCGAGGAGAGCGTCACTGTAGGACGGAACTCGGATACCGTAGTGCAAGCCTAAAATGACGCTGGCTTGTGTGCGTTCGAAGTGGTGGTGAATGTCTGTACTTCTCATGGCTATCCCATCTTTGCCTCCTCCTTCGGTGGCATTCAGTAGGTCCAGCAGAAGCTGCTTCGACTCCAGCTCCATCAACGGCTGGAACTTCGGCGCGGCAATGGATCCAAGACTCGGACTTAGCATTCGGTGATGTAGCCTTAGGTGGGCATCATAGTCGTGCATGAGAGTGAACCTCGACTTGCCCGGCCCCGCTCCGGTGATCATCTCCATGCTCACAGAGCTCGGTCTGTGACTGTAGTACGCGCTGCGTTTCCCAAAGAGCTCCGTTGCTGCTTCGGCGGTATTGAGCACCACCATGGGAACGATTCCAAAGAGTTTCGTCGTTGTGACTGGGCCATTTGCGCTGACCCATTCATCCCAGTTCAGAAGCGGCCTTTCCAAAGGTGAGTGATGAAGGTCGCCAATGATAGGGAGCTTGAGGGCCTTTGGAGTCGACTCATCACTCTTGGCTGCTCTTGATACGAGAAAGAAAATTGTCACCAATGCGACCGCCGTCAGTATGGCTATGATTAAGTCACTAACCATTTTATCGTGCAGACGATTCACGGCAAAGAGTCGAGGCTGGACGTGGAGAGATAGCAACAGGACGAAACACGGATGGTACAGACAACTCATTTATACTAGTGATCGCACCATTCGCCCAAAAGACACATACATTTGAGCGGGGTCAACGACGAAATCACATCTAGGCATCTTCAACTTCCAGATCAAGAACTAATGACGGTCAGAATTTCACCTGGTCATTTCCTCACGCCGCAAGGACAAACATACTTACGCATGGAACCTACTCCGCACGTCATAAGTACAGGGCTAGCAGCGTCCGCCCAGAAGGATTCACACTAGCCGGGGGCGCTGCCTCACCGGCCGTATGAATGGCTGGTTGAGTCGGACGAACTGCCAGGATCTACTGTAAGCTCCGCTCCGGAAGCCACCCCGGGCGGGGCCGGACCGTTTGGACTAGCGGCCCGTTTTGACCAGCGGATGACGGAAGCGGGGCCTGCATGAACGCTAGCGCACCGATAAGCCGGGGTAACAACTTCAAGGCATGATGATGGGGTCTCAGTCTTCCTCATCAGGAGTGACTATGTTTAGAGTTGAGGGTCGCGAACAGTTTTCCATAGAATCTAGTGACGGTAATTCCTATGAATGCTAACCTATGGTCATACTAAGGAAATTGGACCTTGATACTGCTGTATCCCACCGTCTTACACACCTCATTCCTCTGCCTCCGGCTTCTGCGCATATACCACGTGGCTACAACGGTATTCTGTTAGAGACAGGCCATGATCCAGATCGATAGGCAATGGCGGGTATAAAAGACTCACAACTCAAAATAGGCATGGAAAGTCTTCGACTTCAGTTCGCGACGGACTTCGGCGAGAAGAACCATGACTTCCTCCTTCGTCCACCCGAGGACACCAGTGAAGAGCCTGAAGGTGAAGGCATCTAGTCCATCAAGAACTTGCATCACGTTGATCATGCCGCATTCCTTGTAGTGGGGGTCCTTGGGCCAGTCCCCGATTGGGATCTTGTACTTTTGGTGGACCACATTGACGTAATCACCGGACTCCCTGACCCAGCCTTCCAGTTGAGGTCCCGGGTTAGGATCGCGGCCTACAATCCTGCAAGCCTCGAAGAACTTATGCAGCCACTTCCAGGTCGAGTGCTGTTCAGTGAGTGAGCCATCATCGCTTCTATACTCCAAGTCGTAGTCCTGGAACTCAACCCAGCCGCCTGGAGCCACATTTCTAAGTTAAATCAGTATGCGAAACTTTAACTTATCAAATTCTTCTTGGAAAACTTACTCATAGACACTTCTCATCAGTTTGGGCCAGTCTGCAATGGAAGATGTCATGTATCTACTGAAAATGAAGTCGAATTTGCGTGTGTGAACCCAGGGACTCTCAACATCATCAATCTCGAACTTGACGTTAGGCAGGACCCTGACTATTGATAAGCACGGTAACCTGGTTGGTTCGGGAGACTGATATGCTTACCAAGTCGGTTGGATGGCGCTCAAATCGTTTCCCAGTATCTGCCGGATTCCATATTAGCCCAAAGACATTACGGCCTCACTGTTCTTGTCCGGGTTTCAAAGCTCACCTCAGCGTGCGGGAGCTCTTCGGCTACTTGTAGAGCCCCTGATATATGTCAGTTCATAGTACTACCCGCATGTGGACTCTCTCAACTTACAGACTCCGGTACCTGTTCCAATATCGAGAACTCGGTTGATTTTCCCCTTCTCAAGAGGGGCCAGGTAAAGTTTGTCGCCGATGGTTTTTACCATGAGCATGTGGTTGAAGTCAAGACGGTCACTCTCGCTCTTTGAGCGAAAGGGAGTTAGCTCTCGTCTCGAGTATCAGAACGGTAATTGAAATCATCGTGCCTCATCATTCGGACCCCAATACGCTGATTGTAATTAGCCTACTGTCGAACGTTGGGATAGAGTTAAACCTACTTCCAGAGCGAAAAGCGTGGTAGCGACGGCCATGCTCCGTAGGGTAGTCAACAACGCTTGAAGATAATGATGCCGTATACGAGGACCTGAATCAATATTTCAGCTTCAGCATAAGGTTCTGCAAGTTCGGATGCCTACCAACGACTTTCAATGGTCGATGCTGTGTCGGATCCCTGTTCATGAAGTTAGACCAAGATAAGAATCGCGTAGACTCATGGATAGCAGACAAGGCCCTCGTCGTCGATCTCAATTTCGCCGGCCTCCTCCTCGTGTTCACTTTCGGGAGATCCAGGTTCGGTCGGAGAGGCAGTCTTGGACCTCAATGGTGATGCGGTCTTGGACCTGGTAGGTGAGGTAGCCTTCGTGCGCACAGGGGACCCCGATGCGGGTGGGTCGCTTGTTGATTCAGCCATATCAAATATTTATATGAGCAAAGTTTGGAACCTCGGTCCTAAAAGTTATGCTCAGAGGCTATGTTGCTTGCAAAGACTGAGAGGAATGGTTGTTGAGAAAGAGCGCGTTCGACAGCTACAGTCGTACTACGGAGAATTTGTACTCAGTTGATTTCTCCTCTTTCCGCGGCCCCTACAGCTTGCGAACCCGTTATTGATGCATGCACAAACGTTCCATTTCCCAGAACCAACGCAGCAAACACGCATGTGCCTGAGGGGCAAAGACTAATCAGCAGCTTCTTAACGATTCCGTAGCGGGGGTTGTCAGGCTGTCGCAACCCATGCCCGTTGATTTGAGTCCAATAAAAAGAATATGCCCCAACCTCCCCGGTCTTCATGTGGGTAATGTGATGGGAAAGCAACAAGTCACCTCATGCATGAATCAGCTCAGAGAACACTTCTGCCACCCCCCTGTTGCTTGGGGCAGAAAACCGAGGGCCGAGTTCCCCAAATGGAAGGTGAAGAAACAACAAATTTCGAGCCTCCATAGCGGGAATAAGCACGTTTTGGTTTAAGAAAAGATCACTCAGATGGGTTTTGAGACAAATCCAATTGAAGCCTTGTCGACTACACCATACTCGTTCGTTACATGTATTCACTGCGTCTAGCTAAGCTGCCGCCTCTGGTTTCTGTGCGTAAACAACATGGCTATTTGTTCTCATAGTCAGTCAAAAAACATGCTAGGGGGGAACACCAAGGTTGGAAGCACGAATGAAGAGACCTACAATTCCATACGAGCATGAAAGGCGCCTGTCTTCAACTCATTCCGACAAGCCGCTAGCATCACCATGACCTCCTCCTTCGTCCAGCCAAGTACACCAGTAAGGAGTCTCAAATTGAAAGCTTCCAAACCATCCAGGATTTGAACGAGGTTGCAGAGGCCGAGTTCCTTGTAATGGGGATCCTTGGGCCAAGTACCAATCGGCAGTTTGTACGTCTGATGGGTGATATTGGTAAAGCCGGCTTCCGTGACCCAGTCCTTGAATAAGGGACCCGGACAGGGCTCACGGCCAATCTGCCTGCAGGTGCTGATAAATGTCTTGTTCATTTTCAGACTTTCGTGCTCATCGGTGATGGAGCCATCGTCGGAGCGGTAAAGGAGGTCCCAGTCTTGAAATTCGACCCAGCCTCCGGCGTTGGTGTTGCTGTGGCGACTTGTCAGTATCAGATTTTGACGACGCGATATTTGAGTGCTAACTTGTAAATATTTCTGATCAATTTGGGCCAGTCAGCGATAGCACCGGCCATAGACCGGCAGAAAATGTAGTCAAACTTGGTTGAGTGCAGCCAAGGGCTTTCGACATCGTCGACCTCAAATTTGACGTTTGATGGCACCCTATCGACCATTAAATATCATCCCACAAATGTAGCCTGTATTTGCCTCGTACCAAGCTGGCTGGTTTGGGCTCAGATCGTTTCCGATAATCTTTCCAACCTCTCGGTCAGCTCTTGATCTACAGTAAAGCCATTACTCATTTCTGGAGACATATACGCACCTCGGCGTTGGGAAACAAGTCTCCCATTTCCATAGACCCTGTATTCTTCGTCAGTTGATCGGAGCGAGAGAGATGGGAAGAACTGGAGCCACTTACAGATTCCAGTCCCAGTGCCAATATCCAAGATGCGGTGGGTCTTGTTCTGCTCAATTGGGGCTAAGTACAACTTGCCAATGGCCTTGAAGATCAAGGTTGAGAGGAAGTCAAGGCGGTCCATCTCATTCTGTTTCAATGCAATCGTCAGTATAGTTACGTCCCTGATCTGGTTCAAATGTGGCAGCACCTCATCGTTGGGAGCATAGTAAGCTGCTGTTTGTTAGCCCATGAAAATGATACACATCGGCGATAGTATACTGACCTCCACCTCGGAAAGCATGATACCGACGGCCATGCTCTACAGGATAGTCTACCACACTAGAGGCCAAAGAAGCTGTATAGGATGATCTGGCTCAAGTTGTGAGTTTCATGTCTGGGAACATTGGGCGAGGTGGAAGTCTACATCTGATCATCAATCGTTGAGGCCCCATAGCTAACCTGACCTCTTTGTCAGCAAGGTCGGAGTTCGTCCAAATCCATACAAAGAGACTACCAACACTGAGTCCTTCGTCAACCTCAATATCGTCAGCAGCTTCGTCTGCGACTTCGCCTAGAGGTGAGTTCTGCGCCACGGGTGAAGCAGTCTTTGACCGCGACGAACTCGGATTTTTTGGAGACGCGGTCTTGGACTTGGTGGGGAATGCGGCCGCTGCCACCGGAGGAGAGGCGGGCGCCGGCGATTGAACGCTTGGTGATCCGGCCATGATGGATTGCGATCTACTTAAATCGCCTAACTGTTAGACCCTTCGTCCCAAGAGTTCGGGTCAAGCGACGCAATTCAATGAAACCTGGAGGTAATGAAGAATAATTAAAACGGAGAACACCAGGGAGAAAGCTCGGTGGGAGGCAAATCAAGCCAGACAATCAGCGAGCTTTGTAGTTGCTGTTGGTTTCCCTGCATCCTGCGGGCTCCCGGCCGTTGGCACCTCGATGTTGGTGCGCGATATGTGATCTTCCATGCAGAATGTGCAAACAAACGTGCCATTCAAACAGCTTTGCTTGCATATCTCCGGGGTTAGAAGCAAATCAGAGCGATGCCAATGGCTCTAGCAGCGGGGCATTCGCTGCTGGTTGCAGTCAGGCTTTGTTTAGTCGAGACCAATGAAGACTGTAGGCTCCGGTCTCCCCGGTCTTGTGGTGGATACTAAGTCCATCTAACCCGGAGCGATGCATAGATCAACAAGCGTACCCCTCTCCATGGACCATGAGGTATCGTCTTTGGAATTCTCCCGAACAGCAGACAGGGGACAGTGCCAACCGAGACAGGCTGGGTCAACTATGGCCCTGCCTCTCGATAATGTGTTACGGCTGTGTGGCATCTGGGAATATGCACTAATGTTGATTCAGTAAGGTAGGATAAGTAGCTTAGAATTTAATTCAACATCAGCATACAGCCAGCCCCAACAACAGGTCTGTTGAAATCATTATGATACACGGATATCGATGATCACGTCCCCCTCTCAGCCGCCCACAGACCGCGGATATTATTCAAGACAGACTGGTCATGTACCTTTCACAGGCAGAATGGATCTTCATGCAGTTCGTAAGTTCTTACTATAGCTTTTGTCCATACACTACATGACTATTGGTCTTGTCAGCCATATTTGGTCTTCGTATCTTATCTTTGATAGTTCCGTACTCACAATTCACCATACGCGTGGAAGGCTTGCGATCTCAGCTCTTGGCGAACTTCGGACAACAGTGTCGACACCTGTTTCTCTGTTCTGCCGAGAACCCCACAAAACAGCCTCAATGTGAACGCCTCGAGCCCGTCTAGGAGCTGTATCAAGTTACCCAAGCCGATCTCTTTGTGGTACTCGTCTCTAGCCCACGGCCCAAGGGGCACCTGGATCGTGCGATGCACGATATTGGTGAATCCTGCATCCTGCACCCAACCCTCTAGCTTGGATCCAGGGCACGGTTCAATACCACAGAGCCTGGCTGCTTTCAGAAAGTCACGATCCCACTGATGTGTCTTGTGATGAGACTGTAGGCTTTCGTTGAGCGACGAGAATTCAAAGTCATAGTCCTGAAACTCAACCCATCCACCTGGCCGAAGATTTCTGTGCAAAAGAAAGAACATCAGATATCCAACGTCGTGCTGCTTTCATTTGGTGTCACATACTCGTATGCTCTGCTCATAAGTGTAGGCCAGTCGGAGAGAGATCCAGCCATGTAGCGGCTGAAGATGAAGTCGAATTGGTCTTCATAGAGCCAATCACTTTCTACATCATCAATCTCAAACTTAACATTGGACGGAACTCTTATAACTATTAGCCATACATCGAAGAATTTTGGGATAGTGGGAGTTGGCAAATCCTACAGCCTTGGTTGGACGGGGCTCAAGTCGTTGCCGATGATCTACAGACTCTCAGCTTTCGGCCGTACGATCAGATCCTAGTAGTACAAACCAGCGCGTTCGGGAAGGCATCGCCCATCTCAATAGCCCCTGCTAGTTATAAGCTTGAATAGCCTGGGAGGTTGTGTCTGGAGACTTACAGATACCTGTGCCAGTGCCGATATCAAGTACTCGATGCATCTTCTTCTCGTCAATTGGGGCTAAAAAGAGTTTGTATTGGAGGAACTTCAGGACGAGCTCGTGATTATAATCCAAGCGACCTAGTTCATCCTTGTAGCAACAGGAACCCGTCGTCAGCACAAGTACCTATCTTCGCGCACTACAATGTGTTTACCTCGTCGTTTGGAGCAAAGTAGGCCGTGCCATAGTTAGCAGGGTCCCTGGGTAGTAATAAGTTACAGCGGGATATTCAACAAACTCACATCCTGCTCTAAACGCATGGTATCGCCGCCCGTGTTCTGTAGGATAGTCTGTTGCGCTAGAGGTTGCCGATTTGGTGTACGAAGACCTACGTCGTTAGCTTCCATCGCGTGGGGTGACTTAGGTTCTACATACATCCGGTCGTCAAGGGTCGAATCGTTGTCCTCCTTGCAAGTATAAGCTGACTGCGGTGCGTCTATAATAGAGTGGTTTATACACATCTTACACTGTCGTCGATTTCAAGTTCGACACCTTCATCACTAGTGTCCGAGGCAGTACTCATAGGGGAGGCGGCATCGGACCTATCCGAGGAACTGCCTCCTGGGGCGCTCATCTGGATTGCCGGCCCCGTGCGCATAGAGGCCGTTCCGAGCGACTGGTTCAAGGCAACCAAATGGGTCTACACAGTAGCAAATTTACCAAGATAGTGGGGAGAAACACTCACGAGGGGGTCTCGACCCGGCTTCCATGGTTTTGTATCCGACGATAATGTGTGTCTCTTGCATACCACAACCCAGGCAACCGCGATTGAGTCTGTTGGTGATGGAATCGTACAGCATGCAGATAGCCCAAGCGAGAATACCTAAAGTCCTACACCGGTTGTAATCCTGCAGACTCCCGAAGTCGGGAGCTAATCGCTGGCCCGCGATTTGGCGCTTCGCTTCCAATGGCTGGGCACTGTCGTCCTTGGCTACGGTGAGACCAATCACATCTTTATGCGTTGATCGTCCCTGTTTCTAATCTGGACAAGGGTTGGGCGTATGACACGGCCCAACTTATGTCGTGGACTGTTGGAAGAGGGAAAAGAAACAACATGCATACTTAGTCAGGATCTGACGGGAGGGGAAACGAGTTGGAAAGATCTCGTTGTCTTCGATCTGTGCGGGCCTCAGAAGCCCGCAATAGTGCTACTGTATGAGCGGCTAGATAATATCAGCGCATTTTCAATCATTGGAGTGGAAACTGTCATATACCTGCTCAGAGAGTGACTTCTCCTTGCATCTCATATTCGAGGTCACCGCCACCTTGTCCGTCAACGCCCACTGGATACACCGAATTCTCGGTGCCTTCGGCGGGAATCCCGTCTCCGAAAGTCTGGAAATAAGAGACCTTCTCAAACCCCGCTCCTTCTCAGCCGACTCAAGAAGTTATCGGACTGCAGCTCGGACAAGCGTACGCCGAAAAGTGCTGCATATATCGGGTCAAGGTCGTGTGGTCCACAAGGCCTAGCATCTCCGCTGGCCCTGCGTTTGTCCAAGAATCCATTCATTACTGTCTTGATAGCCTTTTCCACAGTCAGCCCAATTATCCTGACTCTGAGGTCGCTGTCTTCATTTTCGCCGCCTTCGTAATTGACTTGAGTAGGTGCAGTGAGGTTGATCGGGAGGTCCACGTTTACAGTGGCTTCCCTGACTTGCTTGGCTTGTTCCTGATCGAAGTAAGGGCCACTGATGTAGTTAGCCTCGGTTATTGAGTTGATTCGTTGTTGCGCATCGGGATTCTTTGCTTCTTTGAGGAAATCGAGGACGAGAACTCGGATCTTGTATCCAAGAACTGGGTCGGTGTTTATAGATGAGGTTGTCAACTTGGGAGACGTCGAGGCTGGCGCTTGCCCCATGGCCAGGTTCATTTTGTTTGCATTCGGCATCTTGGACTTGATCGGAAGAATTTCCGTCATGTAGCTTAGGTCTCATGTTCCATATCTACTGTTGAATTTATATGTAGACTAGCAAGAGGGGCCAGTGGGCAACGGCAGGGTGGATGTGGCAACGGAGATGTTGCGAGACTTTGCCTTTTTTCAGCACCTAGAATTCATTCACCTTTATGTCTCTAGGATACAACGTGCACTCATCAAGGTTGTCGACCAGTCCTTCCCCTGGTTCTCTGCTTCAGAGGTGGGAAAACGTTCTACTTCCTTGTCGTTGCTTTCTCCGCCTTGAACGAGAGCAGGTGGTGGGTCTCAGACAATATGACCGAGAGTAAAGGAAATGTGTATCCAAGTACAGCACCGAAAGTGAGATGCTCTAGGTATGAGAGTCGGGAGTGCGTCATGGTTCAAATATGGTCGGATTTGTCATGCACATCAAGTACTAGCTAATCGGTAATGGATTAAATCAGTCTATTTGATGTGTTTCATCCTGATGCTCGAATCTGATATTGACCAAAAACCAAACCACTGTTCTTCATCAATCACGGGAGCACCCCTGACCACGGCTCTACAACGAAGGAGGTCTCATGTCGAAAGCCTGCGAGGCCCATGCCCAAGCAACCTTGCCCTCCTCATATCCGTACAAAGCATGCTCGTAAACCGTGACCTTCCCATCTGAACCATTCTTCTGCAGATTCTTATTCTGCGGCACGCCCGATATGGACAGCCTGAGAGCAATTTGCTGCTTCTTCTCATCAACCACAAACTCGTCAACCTCGTACTTAAGACCGGCGATGACGGGCAATAGGATCTTGCTAAGGAACCCTACGGCTCCTAGCGCCGGTACTGTGTTCCCGTGCATTGAGATCGTCTCCGCCCACAGCGCCGGCAGCACGGTGGGCATGGTGCCGTCGTTGTAGCTGTAGATATACTTGCGGTACCGCGCCTCGATCTCGGCGGCCGAGACTGGGTTCTGGGAGGTCTTGGCCGCGACCTCGGGCACGAAAGGCGGCGCGGGTACGGGGCCGACGCCTCGGCTCTGCTGGTTCGCGACCTGGTAGAGGCGCGCAATCTTGCCGTTCTCGAAGAAGACAAGGACGAGGTCCCAGACCTTGGCGGGGGTTCCCTCGGGGGCGTCGCTTATGGTTGTGACGAGGCGGGCGCCGAGGGAGTTTGCGGCCTCGTTGACGGTCCACTGGTCTGCGCTGAGGTGGCTGCCCTTCTCGGAGGTTACGGTGAGGCGGTTGATGAATTCGTCTCTGCTTTCTGAGTTTTCGTTGTAGGTTGCCCTCACTACCGGTTGGAGGTGGTTGTGAACTTCATCCCACTTCTTATTGTTCACTGCGTCCAGGAAGGCCTGGAAGATGGAAAGAATGTCTTGGGTCGCCATTTTGGATTCGACAGGAGAGTCTTCCTGCTTGACTTTCTGTTTTTGTTTTCCTTTTCTCAAACGATGAGTCTAGATGCCTACTGTGGTCTGCTAATAAGAGTGTCAGTTGAGGTCACGCTCGCCATTATTATATATCCGTAGCTGCATCGTCTTCTCGTACCTCTGGCTCGTCATCGTCGCCAAGAGCAGCCAAGAGACTTCGGTCTCGCAAAGCTGACGCTAAACGGGCGTTATAGACGTGTAAGTCGGACCGTCGGCAAGGACCGACGGGCCGATCTCACTTTCCCGCCATCATAATTGGCTAAGTATACTAAAAGGCCGGTCGCAGAGCCTCATGGTGTTATTTCCTTATTCGGACAATAGGAGTAGTCTGTACCGGCGGGGGTGGGGGCGGGTCCCGGATGATGCTGTCCTTCTTAGTAACTTTTCACCGAGCCTACGGGAGGAGATCTTCTTAAAGGAAACCCACTTCCAGTCTTCACTCATATAACTCTATTATACTTTCCCGAGCTTCTATGATTTACTTTTGCATGCCTACTAGTAATTTCCTTTCACCTGTAAGCGTAACGTAATCGTACCTCTCCTCAAAATGTAAGTTTACCACTGCTTGTTGTGTATGTTTACACGTGGTCATCCGGCAAGCTTAGAAATACACTTCTTTATCATCTCACCAGGCATGCTGAACAGACCCTGAGGGTAAAAAGTTGGAATATATCGGCCGACCGTCTCTATGATTTGGCAGGTGGGCCGCCCGAAAGCCCGGCCCGTTGCTGGTGGATCCCGGCCTCACACTGGCCCCACCTCCACACCCGTCTCCGGCCAGCATCCCGGCTGGGTTGTGATGACTTCGGCTCCTACGATTTCAGGTCGGTCGCTTGCTTTGAGTCTCGCTGAAGCTTTGGCCATGCCTATGTCTAAACTCTTGAATGTTGCGTCCATCGACTGTCTAGATTGCGTGTGCTGCATCTCGAAGATTCACCCTGCAACGGCGCTTGTCGCTTCGACGTAGCAGACCAACGAACATTATTGCTGGCTGGTAGCAGCAATCGAATTTCTTCACCGCATTTAATGAATCGCAGCGGGAAAGAGAAAGGACATGCTATTGCGTGAACGACTACACAGGCTAGTGCCCCATGCAAATTTCACCATGCTCTCTGAAGGCTCCTGGTTAGGAACGTTGTGCTTGACGTTGCCCTGGTTACAAACTCCGTGATTGATCTGAGTTCGCACGGGACTTCAATTATGTTGGTTGTGAGGTTGTGATGAATTTGTGACACAACCAATGAGGAGCACAGTCGCATTTCTCATCCTGGCAGGTCTCTATCACCATGTCCCAATTCATCAATGCTGTTGCCTGATTTAGGCACTGCTGAACCACCTGGTTCGTTTCCCTTGGTGCTATCGCTTGGTTTCAGCTCCTTGCATACCTAGTATGTTGTGCTCAGTCTTCGAAGCGAAGACCGAGGTTTTCTCATAGCCTGTCAATGTTGATGATTGATGTATGACCTGGAACTAAGAAACAGTGCATCCACGCTTGCGGCATAAAACCCCAGATTGCTTTTGCGGCCAGGCACGTCGAACTTCGTCTGCTTTCTCATCAACAACCGACTCATCTCCATCACCGGAACGCATTTATCTAAATCAACGTACCTGCCAACACTCACGCGTCTTAACAATAATCATGGCCGCCGCCGTCGAGTCTGCGCCCTACACTGGTCCCTCTCCCCGCGAGATGATCGAAAGCCACACTCTGGCACAGGAAATCATCAATCGCAACAACGACGCCTGTCCCATCCTCGACTCTGATGAGCTCTCTCTCCTCTCCGACTTTGTGAAAGACCCATCACAGGCCCGCGCTCTACTCGAGACACGCGGACTGACCGACGAACCCACCAAATCTGGAAGTCTTGTGGCCTACGTCATCTCACTACACGGCACCGACAAGGCCGCTCTCACTAATGATGAGATCAAGATTCTCAAGGAATGGTTTGAGAATGGCCAGAAGCTTTGAAGGAGATGGAGAAACGTGCAAGGCGGGCTTGGCGTGTTCATATATCGATGTCGTACCAGCGGCGAAGAGGCTTCCTTTCAACGTTGCAAACAGTCATTCTGTGAGCGGTAGGAGCTAGCTCGACTGAATGCTTGAGCAGTGATCGATCAAACTTGCCGAGTATCCAATAGATATTCTCATCGGTGGCGGTAGTGCCTGGACTCAAAACTTAAGCTTAAACGTAGTTTGATTACAGTGCCAGCGGCTTTTTTTTTTCCTCTCTTTTTTTTCTAAATGGTCCATGTGATGCCAATTTGTAGACACCTTCCGTCATATCCAAATCTATGAACTTATTCTTTAATTCAGACACTATCCTGCGGAAGCGGCACCTAGAGTTATCCATCCGAATTGGTTTGATTTATATAATTTGCGACTCTCTAATGAGGATGATGGTCTGGGTCACAAAAAGGGACTTGATTCTCCCTGCTACTTTCGCTGGAAATGGAAACGCAACAAGGGCTGCTGCTTCCAACTTCACCAAGACACACAGCGCAGCACCGCGGTACAGATTTCCAGAACGAAAGTGGTCCTTTCTTGCCGTAGATGCACCTCCTCCTTCCCGTTCTCCTTCATCGCTCAAAAAGAGAAAGTACTCAACTCAACGGGGTATGAATAGAGGGAGAGGGAGAACGAAAGACCGACGAAGAGACGGTTCAATTGAGTAAGTGCGAACAGTCCATAACTGTCGTCATCTAGGTACCGAACATTTCAAGATCTTCCTTTCCAACACACAACTTCCATCTACACAAACGACGCACATTCCGATGACCAAGCCATCAAGTCGACGAGGTCATGTTGCGACTCCTGTATTCTGTTTCCTTTGATAATACCTGATTTGCTCCATGTTCTCTCTGATCACCGGTTTCTATCATTTTGGCCCCTACGCGCCACGCAGGTCGAAGGCTGGCGAGGCGGTGGAAAGAAAACTCAAGCAAGGGTAGAATTTGACGTCCATCCAATCAAAGCCAGGCGCTGACCATAATTCCGAGGGTCTCGTCCGACCGTGCAGTCGTGGCCATATCTGCAATCTCGTCGCAAGCTGCTCGCGCATCGACAATAGTCAATTAATAAAGTCAGCTTGGTTCGCTGTTGTTTCGTCGATGGATAAGCAGGAGTGCCCAGGCTGTGAATCTGCAGCTTGACGAATATGCTGCTGAAGACCACTCAGCATCGATGATCAAGGAGAACAGAGATCTCAGTGCCAACACACCTGTGTCTTTGACAGGCGTCTTCGACGCCTCAATCATACATGCGGGCGATACCAGGATGGTCCTAGACCTGTCGATCCTCGCGGAAGAACTGCGTTTAATTTGTTGGAATGCGATACAGGATTCATCTAGATCCTGCAGGTAGCAGGCATAGACATCCAAGAGTTGACCATCCTCTCACCAACAGTCACCCGGCTCAAGCCGCCCATGCTCGACTTGATGCCAAGGAGCCGGCCTCGAACAGCAGCCGGGCGGGCCCCTGGTCGGTGTTCAACATCTGACTGTGTCGGGCCCAAGCCTCAGAGTTTACCATGGCGTTTACGCTCTTCCTATCGTGCGCAAGATACATGATCAACCTCACTTACAGTGTGGATGGTACGAGCAGCTCCCTATCTCGACAAAATTTCATCTCACAGAACGGCTGGTCCAAGTCCCTTTTCAACTGTCATTCTCCTCCAGGGCATGGTTGCCAAAGTGGTATATCTCAGATGGACCCCAAACTCGGCATCACGGATCCCCTCCAACGGTATCCAATGCCTTTCCCCACACTCGTCCTTGACCAAACCACACCAGATCGTGTCTCGTTATCGCGACCCAATAAGATATGGCGAGGCACCTAGGCAGAATTGAGTCTCGGCCACATCCGCAGGTCGCCCCCCCTTCTTGCTCGATGGCCAAAGTGGCAGATATGTCAGAAAAAGGCATGCTCTCCTCCGGAACTCCTCCGGAGCCCATTCCGTCCAGGACCCCGGTTTCGTACGCCGACCAATGTGGGAGCGAGACGCCTGTCCGTACGAATACTGTAATACAGGCTCCTCGCGTGTCCCCCACAGAATGTTTCGTTTCAAAGTGGGATGGGAGTTGGAGCACTGCGGACCTGCACAGCCACCAACACCACACCACTGCGGTTAACACCACGTTTGTCCAGGAGGGAAAGTCTTGTCGGGAGGGCACGCATCTTTGCACGGTCAGCAAGCAAGATGGCATGCCCGCCATATCACCCCACCATCCTCTTTGGGCGACTCAGCCGCAACTCAGGCTGGTATCCCTGCGAGCTGTAAGTGGCAAGCCACAACCTCCCTGCCTGTCTATGGTTGTCGTTGATCTCCTGGGTTGATCCCATCAAGTCAGTTCAGCATCACCTTGGCTTCCCTTCCCGACCCCTCTCTTTCTTCCGTCTCCGAATGCCGACCAAGGGGTGCGACATGGAACGTTGCCATTGCGAAGAAACTAGACTTGGCCCGCCAAACTCAGCTTTCCAGAATTGCACTTCCGGGGCAGTGTAAGTTCTCGTTGTCGGCATAGACATTCCGCACAAGAGGGAAAGCAAAACGGCGAAACAACGAAAAACAAGAGCAATTTTGCTTCGTATCAAGCGCGGAGCAAATTGTCCCCTCTTCATGCGTTGTAGCTGTCAACCCATGCAACGCTTCATGCGCCGCGAGCCTAGAGCCGCCAAGCTGCAACAGTCTCTTGTCGACACTCAGTTGACGAGTAAAGTCAAATGCCTAACTCCCACGATCTCTCAAGCAGGAGACTTTCAGCCTAAACTTTGTCCCCCTAAGCAACCTACCGACTGCGACCCTTTGTCCTCAATATACAGCATATTTCTCTTTACTCACTCAGCGCGGTGGCCCAACAGGAACGCGTAACTCTTCCTTCCGTGAAGCCTCAAACAACTCAGCAGCGCCGGATGGCACCATCCCTAGCACCCGTTAGCACCACCCGCGTCCCAAAACATGATAGATGCCAACCTGAATCTTATATATCAAATAACTAGACAGAAACCCATTTCCAAACACCCACCTTCTTTCAGCTGAGTAGCCGAGCTCGAGGCGCTGCGAGATGGGCACATCCCCCCTTAACCCCCTTTTCATTCTGTCGCGCGCTCGCTTCTAACGCCGCCTCGATGGCGAAACTCCTGCGCGTCGTAACCAGAGATCCGACTGCCATGGTTGAAACCGTGCCAAAGTTCCCTTGCTTCTATTTCCCCGTTCCCCGGAACCGGTTGAACCCATCTGGCCGCCCGTTACACCTGTCTCGCCTGTCGACATCCGACAGGACAAGAATTCCCCCGGCGTTCAGACGTTCCCCGTCCGTGCGAGCGCCTGCTAGCTAGCAAAGGGCCGACTTTGGAGCTGGACCGTGTTCCGAGAAGCATGGTGGTGGTGTGGTCCAGGTAGGGGTTGGGGTGGACATGTGTAGTGTAAGTTGAGCGTGCGACGACTGACCGACAGCGGCCAGACCAGGATGGTCGATCACGTTGTGCCCACCGGCAAACGCTCAGACGCAGTGATCAGTGATACCCGCTGATCGTCCCTAGAAACCCCCGTCTTCTAGAACCTCCCGCTCAGTGCCGCCCATCCTTCGGATAGGCTCGCTTTCTCGCAAGATTCTTACTCTCGCCCTTGTCTCGAAAGAGATGGCTGATCTAGGCGGGTGTGGGAGATCCAAGAATTCGATTACTATCGCGCGCCAAATCATGACGATTACATTGCCTCGATAGGGTTGGCTGTCATCTTACCTTGCCGCAAGTTCTGCCCCGAGACCGAAGAGGACGGGCAGCATCCTGAGCAGGCTATTCGTACCAAACGACTTCAGGGGTAGCTTTTTTTTCGTTGCCGCCTCTCGAAAACAATGCTAAAATCCGATACAGTCAGCTGCCAACTCTGAAGACGCTTTCAGCTGAGGGACCAGTCGCCCTCACGAGCAACGATGTCGGAGACCATGAGAAACAGTTCCCCCTTGGAGTGACGAACTCTGGATGGTGTAAGTGTCTTTGCCGAGTCATGCGTTGGATGCACAACGCTGACTTTAAGAAGAAGGAAAAGGAAAACCCCAAAGACCATCCCCAACCCGTCTGAACCTGGTCCTGGACCCTTCAAAACTTTTTGTATCTTTTTGACATTGGCTCTGATTTTCGAGGCTGGCCAAGTTGACCATCTGCCTGCCCAACTTCATGCGCCTGAGGAGACATCTCCCGTCCCCGACTCCCTGCCGAAGCCGCAGCCCGCAGCCAGCTGTGCTTGTCAGATTTCACGGGTCTAGATAGTACTGTTTCCCCAAGACCGGGATGGACGGTCCTGTCGAAACTTGATGCCCAAAATAGAGAAACATGCAGAAACGTAGAAACGCGGGGGCTTATTTTTTTTCAAGGGGAGAATAAGCACACCACAACTTTTGACACCACCCTTTCCTTCCCCCCCCCCCCTCTCCCCTCACTGTGGTGAAGCTGAAAAACGAAGAAAAAAAAGAACCAAAGATGGATGGGCAGATCTTTTCCCTGTTTCTTTCCCAAAAGTGCGTGAACATGCGAGCATCCCAACTCTGTTCCCCCCATCACGCCCATCAACCCACCATCTCAGATCCCCTCAACTTTAGGGTCTCGCCGGCCTAAATGCTCCTTGCGCTTAGTACTGTCAGGATACTCTTACTGCTCACACAGCCCACATGCCTGCTCACTTACCTCCCCACTTAGACTTGTTGAACACACTTGGGGATAGGTGAGGGCAGGATTTTCGAACTTTTCCAAAAAGTCACTTATGCATGATGGGAAAAGGCACACGAGACACAATGTTGGTGAACAGAATTTTGTTCGAATTAACTAATAGCGTAAAATGCAAAATAACCAGTTGAGCTGCGTGTAAGCCAGACCTGGGCCAAAAAACCTCCAGGGTTTGCCAAAGGTCGCTCATGATATTTCCCCCTTGCTAAAAAAGAAAAAAGGTTTTCCTGCACCCTCTGCCGCTGGAAAAAAAACGACCAAGTTAAGGTTATCTGTCCTGCACAGCAGAACCAGAAACCCGGCTGGTGTTCCCATGCGACTTTTGTTCCTCCGCCCAAGCAATCTAATGCTTCTCCGAGTCTTTTTTTCGGCGATGGCGGAGTCTCTCACGCAGGAGGGCGAGCTGCATGTCGCCTTTTCCGCCCTGTCCCTTGCTCACATTTCTCCCTCACCCGAAGCTGCCACGGGCGCGACCCCCCTTTCACCAGATTCCACACAATGACCCCCAAGCCCGGTAACAACGTTCCATTCACATCCAGTCCCGACTTGCAGGTTTCCGTAGTGTCGTACTTGTGTCCAGGTGGGGTAATCAGCATGGCCTGATTTGGGTTCGTTCGCGCCCGCTTAAGTCGAGCGGGGAAATTCGAGAGTGTGAGAGCAGAGAGTCCAAGGCTATGGCCAGAGGTCTCTGCATCATATCCTGCCCAGCAAGACGTCTTTTCTGCGATGCCCAGCTTCTTTTGTTCTGTTGATTCGAGTCCCATCTCTCTTCCAATTCCATGTCAGCCGTCTCTCTTTTGTGCCGCAACGGGCCTCAAGAAGACGGCTGAAGCCAAAGATCTTGTCGGACAAGCCAGTGTCTGCCTTGACAGTTGTATCCCTGATACAATCAAGTCACAGCTACGCGATGATTGTTGTTTGTGTACATCGACCTCTTGCAAAGAAGCGTTGCCATTATTGGATCCAGTCCGGTCTGCAAGCCTTTTGCTGTAACTGAAATTCGATAGCCTGTGCGAAGCGAAGAAAACCAAGAAAATCGTGTGTCGTGGCGTCGAGCCCGGAGCAACGTCATCTTGATTCGTATCGTTGAGCGCGCAGTCGTGAATATTCGTCATTGGTCGTAAAATTGTCGTTATGAATCATCCGTAAGACAAGAATCCAAGCCCAAGGAAATGAGAAGAAAGCAAAATGCGCAGCGGTTGGTATCTTCCGATCCAGTGTAATGCCGATGGGGGTATCTCTAAGAAAGCCTCTTGAACCAAAAAAAAAAAAAAAAAAAAAGGACAAAAATAGAAATCCAAAACGTGGGAATCGAGAATCAAAAGGTTGTCGGTTTCTTCTGTCTCGGGCTCCAGGCCTGGAGCCGAGCGGGGGGGTTTTGCATTGCTGCGTGTTCCTCTTGTGTAGATGAGAGAAGACCCAAAGGAAATAGTAGAGAAAGGGGAAAGGAGAACAGGCCGCTCAGATGTTCGAGAAACCCCCCAACCCAAATGTAAATGCACTCAAATGCCCGCCCCGGACCCAGCCATGATGAGATGATTCGAATAAAAAGGTGACCGAGCTTGCGGCAGAGTGAGTGGTGGTTGTTGTTCCCCGGATATCGAAAAGACTGTGAAAAAAATCATACGCTCGCTTGCTGCCGACAAAAGAAAAAACCCCGATTACATCTTTTTTGTTTGGTTGATCTCGCGAGTCCCGTAACACCGTTCGCTCCCCTGCTGATGCAAAACGCCGATATGCCTGTGGATGATTCTATGCGGAGCAGACCGAGAAGAATTCAACTTTTCTCCGGGAAACATGGGACCATCGTGCCTGGCAATGCTATGAGGTCGTTACGACAGGGTAAGTCTCAGATGTGACGGATTCTCGTTGTCACATCGTCGTCGTGTACTCCTGGTAGCGATCCCAGCCGAAGCCACCGTAGCCGACGCTCACGCCACACTGAGGCGTGAACATGCTGGGGAGAGGCAACGCTGGGATGGGCGCCGTGATTGCTGGTGCACTGTAGTAGAACCCGGCCGTGGAGAATGGTTGGCTGTATGCAGGCGTAGGGGAGGGGATCTGAACCTCGCTCATGCCAATGTTGGCCCAGATTGGCGTCGACTCGTGAGATGTTGATGCAATGCTCGGACTTGATGGCAGGACTCTCCACGCATCGACGGCGACCAGGCTGGCCGGTGTAGGGGGTTGCGACCAGATGCTTGCGTTTGCCGGTGAGCTGGGGAGCAGGGGTGGTTGTCTGATGACATCGACAACACGGGGAGGAGGAGGTAGCAGGGGCTTCATGAGACCCATGATGTTGTTCTTGACCTCCTCGCTCTTACCAGAGAGCAGCTCACCAGCGCCTTCCTCCTCAAGCCCCTCCAAGGCGGTAACATGTGTGCGGTAGACGAACTTGTTGATGGCTTGGACGAAGTCCTCATGCAGCTTCTTGCACTGTTGGTCCTTCTCAGACCAGTCGTAGGTGTTGGCCTTGCTGTCGACGCAGTGAATTTCCTTGTGGTACTCGACCAAAGCGTCTATTGAGTCGGTGGTCAGCTTGAAAGCGACCTCGTTGCGCAGGACCATGTCGACGTGGACGATGTAGGCCTCGATATGGAGAAGCTGGTAGTTAAACAGGGCTTCGACGAGGGGGTTGGCGTCCTGGCGCAAGTCGGATTCCGGGGCCTTGGGGAGCATGATGGAAGTGAGAGTCCAGATGGCGTTGGGTGATGAGAGTGTCTCGGTCAGACATCTTTGATGTTGAGGGACGCTGTTGAGTGGACGCTTGATCCGGTTGATGCGCTTCAGTGTCTGTGTCAGCCACGGCTCGACCTTGGATCCCAGCACGACATTGACTGATGAGGCTCTCGGGGCGAAAGCAGCCGCGGAGGCTGGTAGCAGTTGAACAGGCATGTTGTTGGTGGGGGATATCTGGAGTGGAGGATGGAGAAGAGTCTGTGACCGGAGGAGGAACGGGGAGGATCAGTTGGCGTGAGGGAATGATAAAAAAAAAAAGAGGTGGGTTTGTCGTTATCGTTGCCGTCGTCGTTGTTGTCGTCAAGGATAAGTCTCGGGTAGAGGGCCTCTCTTTATGGTGGTTGATATCTTGTGCGGTATTCTTGTTGATCTTGTCTTATTGATTTTGGTAGATACCTCGAGAACAGC